CTCTTCAATAAAGTCCTGGTGCTTCCATCATCAGAGAGGGAGGTCCCTGCTTTGGAAGTGAGTCCGTTCCTCTTACCTACCTGGGTCAGATAGCAAATCTGTGTCCACTCTTTCTCCAGTGCCAACCCACTGTGCAAAGCCATAGGGGACACTTCACATTCAAACCCTGGCTGGCATGGACCACACGTTCATATTTCTTCACAAATCTTGATTTTTTTTTCTGAATCTGAATGTTTCTAAAGATACATTGTAGCAGTTCTGGTACTGTTCCTTCTCACTGTTAATCAACTAGACTTGTTATTTTTTAGTGCTCAGGTTTTTTCAGTGACATTATTTTGCTGTTTCCACCTTCCCCACATCTGTAGCCTGCCTGTGCCCACTGTCAGCCCAGCACGGCAGGGTTTTTGGCACTTTGTGTCTCTTCCCTGAACACATTCATCTGTTGGGCACCACCAATGGCTCCCATTGCCCTGCTGTTAGCGTTGCCACAAGCATAGATTGCTTTCCACACTGGGAAAATGTCCAATCAATTTTGGGCTCCTTTGGAAGGATAATTCTTAAGGTCAATGTTTGACATTTATCTGATCACACAGACTCTTCTCAGCTGTCTCTCCTCCATTTTGTTCACAGAAAACCCAGGGCCTACACTTCAGTCTGTCTCCAGCCAAGCTACCAGATTTCCCGATTCCCATTCCTTAACCTCCACCACATTTGGGCTTGAACTTCTCTTAAACATCTGCAAATGAAGTCAGTTCCTTTGAAAGAAACTTTCATGATCTGCATTGTTTGCAGCGAAACCTCAGAGCCAAGGCTCTGGAGATGGAGTGGGGATAATGGTGCACTTGTCACCAAGAGATGCCCTCATTAGAGCCCAGTGTTGGGTACATGAGGGTCAGTAATAGACAAGTCCTCCAGGGCAGCTTTTCTCCACATGAAACCACTCTCTTGTAAGCCTAGCTAAGGGCAACTGAGGATCTCACATTTTCAGCAGTAGAGTACTCATGGGGGACCCCTGAGTTGGGACAGGGTAGGAGGGAGTCCCTTCCTCTTGGCTGTGTTCATTTGAAGCTTAGCCTCATCAACATATACTGAAGGCCAGATGAGAAATGCTGACTCCTGGCTGTTCCCAGAGAGAGCACACTCCACCTGGGAGCTGGGGCAGATGAAACCCCATGTTCTTGGCCACAAAAGGCTAGCGTCAAGCTTATGTCTTGTTGGATTGGGAAATTGGTGTGTGTGTGTGTGTGTGTGTGTGTGTGTGTAGATACTGCTTTAAATAACTGTGATGGTTTAAATGAGATGTCCTCTGTAGTCTCAGACATTTGAAGGAGTTGTTAGGAGTGTGTCACAGGAGGCAGGTTCTCAGAGTTTAAAGAGTTACATTATTTCAAGTTTGTTCTAGAATTCTGCTGCCTGCTTGCTGTTCAAGATGGGAGCTCTTCACTGCTGTTCCCGCTGCCATGACGGTTCTTTCTGGAACTGAAAACTCAAACCCTTTCTTGTATAAATTGCCTTGATGATGGTGTTTTATCATGATGTCTTAGGGTTTCTATTGCTGTGATAAAACACCATGACCAAAAACAACTCGAAAGTTTATTTCACTTCAAAGATTAGAAGATTACAGTCCATCACCCAGGGAAGTCAGGGAAGGGACAAAGGAATTCAAGGCAGGAACCTGGAGGTAGCAATTGAAGCAGAGGCCACGTGTGAATGCTGCTTCGATCGTATAGAATCCAGGACCACCAGCCCAGAGGTGGCATGGCCCACAGTGAGCTGGGCTCTCCCACATCGATTATCAGTTTTAAAAAATGCACCACTGCCTGGCCCACAGGCCAGTCTGTTAGGGACGTTTTCTCAGTTAAGGCTCTCTCTTCCAAAGGGACTCTAGCTTGTGTCAAGTTGACATGAAGACTAGCCGGCACATACAGCAATTGAAAAGCAATTAATACAATAATATATACTACTCATCAACATTTAGCATGTTTCCTTCCTTCCTCCCTTTCTGTGTTTTTGTTTTGTTTTGTTGTTTTTAAGAGTTTCTCTGTGTAACACCAGCTGCCTTGGAATTCACTTTGTAGACCAGGCTGGCCTCAGACTTAGAGATCTGCCTGCCTGTGCTTCCTGAGTGCTAGGATTAAAGAGGTGTATGCCACTACGGCCCAGCTTAGAAGGCCTGTTTTTTTTTTTTTTTTTTTTTTTTTAAATATTGTCACCAGTTTCCACAGGCAGTGAGTTCATAGAGCCCTTGATGCTGTTGGGCTAGAATGTAACTCTTAAAGTCTACTTTTGAGGAATACTTAGTGTTAAGATTGGCTTGGCTTTGCAAGGATAATTCGGTCTGTCTCCTCACTTCTTATTGTGTAACTCCATTCCCACCCATGTTTGCCTCCCTCTCTCTCTTCTATTTGCCTGAGGTTGTGGGTGGGGAGATGGCTGAGTCAGTAAAATATCTGTAGCTCAAGTAAGAGAACCCAAGTTCAGATTCCCAGGACTCACATATATTCTGATCCCCAGGGCTCATTGGCCGGCCAAACTATATGAATGGATGAATTCCTCCTGTCTCCAAAAGAGGGTAAGAAGTGACTGAAGGAGACACCTGATGTCTTCCTCTGGCCTCTGCCACACAGGCTTCTCTTCTCCCACAAAGGAGTCCCATCCTTCTACACAGTGTTCGTCAACTTAGCTCAGGCTATTCACTTAGAATCCTGAATTTAACCAGGATATATGTGAAAGGGGGCCTGTATCTTTACATCTCCCTGGGTTAGGGACTGAATCTTTGACATAACCCAGCTCTTCTCAGTGTGTGTGTGTGTGTGTGTGTGTTTCCCAGAGTAGGTTAACAGTAGCTGAATTCTCTCACATTCATTCAAGTTTCTTGGTAATACAGACTTAGTAATACAGAATTCCAGAACTTTACTACCGTTGAAATAAACTTGGTATTTTGTTTTCTCAGTAGTAACTTTGCTGATGTTTTGAAATATGTGTTTAGTAATTTAGGTAATATTTAGGTCTCATGAATAGTTCATGGTCTCTTTATTGGTCTCACAGAACTTGTCCATTCCACCTCCCTTTCCCAGGACCTTCTGCACCGAGGGATACCAAGCACTGTTTCCCAGACCAAACTGCACTCTAGCCCATGCTCACCTGACTGATGTAGCCCAGGCTAAACTTGAACTTGCAGTTCTCCTGCCTCTGACCTCTGGGATATCTCACCACATGTTCCAGCCCTGCCTCCCTTTGCCACTTCCCCAGGTCAAGTTGCCCGAGGACTTGAGTTCTCTTCTGGACCTCACCTAGCCTGTGTTTTCTTTGATCTCCAATGCCTGGCCCAGCAGAGTGGCTGACGGCATGCTAGTAAGATCACGTGACAAGGTTTTACGCTGCGGTTTCCCCCACAAGGCCCAGGCTTTGGTTCCAGCAGCACTGTAGGCCATGCTGAGGGGACAACTGCATGGATTCCCAGGCCTTGCTCTGGGTGGCAAATGCCATGTCGGAATCCTTCAACTGCACAGTGCCTCGCTTCCTGACCTCTCTGTGCTCTCACTGGGGATAGCATCCTGGAGCCCAGCAGCCCCACGCTTGAGGAATGAGGCACACCTCCAGGGGTACAAGCAGCCGCTGCTCCCCTCTCCTGTGAGCAGATGTGTGCTTTCATTTCTGGTTAACTGTTTCCGGTCCTTGCCTTGGTCCGGCACTGCCATCACACCCGCCTTGTTTCTGTAGTGACTCGAGGTCCAGTGGTGGGGTGTGGCTCAGGCTGGCCAGGCTCTGTTCCCCTAGACAGTGATTAAGATGGGATGTGGAGCCAGGCGGTGGTGGCACACACCTTTAATCCCAGAATTTGGGAGGCAGAAGCAGGTGGATCTCTGAGTTCCAGTCCAGCCTGGACTACAGATCGAGTTCCAAAAGGGCTACAGAGTGAAACCCTGTCTCAAAAAACAAACAAAAAAAGCATGTAGAATTCCAACTGGTCAATGAGACTCTCTTCTGACATGTTACTGGTAATGCTAACAAAGAGGCTAGATGGCAGAGCTGTGCTTCTTAGGGCTCTGTCACCACTTGGGGAGACCCTGGCTAAGAATGAAGCCAAACTGAAGGAAAGTAATGTGACTATCTGCAAGGCCAATGACTGGGCACCTAGATACATTCCAACTCAGTTATGTCAGGAAATGGATTCCCTTTGGGGTCGAGCTAGTTTGACTTCTATCCTGTATCTCAGAAAAGAATTCTAACAATCATAAAATGCCACAGTGAGAGTGGTTTCACTTTGGAGAGAAAAACCTTGATTGAGTTCTTATCTGTTTAGAAAGAGAGACTGTTAGCAAATGTTAGTTTTCCCATGACTCTGTAACATGTTGATGTACACAAGACCATGTCTTCCCCTGGGCTAGTGGCTAATGTCACTCCTGCGGCTGCCTGTCTGGGGCCTTGCTGTGGTGCTCCAGGAAGGCAAGTCCTTGCTAACTGAGCCTGAGGAGAACTTGTCATGATGTGAAAGTGGGATACAAGCTATCATACAGCCTAATATTCACGCTCCACAGTATGACTAAAGATAAGACTAAGTCAATCACAGACTTTTTTCTCCATCCCAAGGAGTGTCCCATACACACCCTTTCATTTCCATCCTCGTCTGTACAGCTGTCTTTTCCTCTGTACTAAAAGCTGAACTTTGACACAAATCTTGTTTAAGCTTTTGAAGACCCACATTCCATCCCCAAAGCCTCAGCTCTGGTTTTGTCGGAGGCTCCAAGGCTACCCAGGCATGCCTCTCTCCTGAAGGAAAGAGGCCACTGCTCCTCAGCTGGTTAGTCACCCTGCTTGCCTCTGTGGTTGGCAGTTTGCATTTCACTGTTTTCCAGTACAGACGGAGAACTTATCAACCTTTCCATTTCTAAGACCCTTTGAGATTCTCATTTGCAGACTAACGTTTATTAATCTTCAGAGGAACAATTTGTTTTGTTGTTTTGAAATGTGAAGTGGGTTTACAGACATGGACAGAATTTCTTTATATCCTTATCTTTATTTCAACAATTTTCTACAATAGCTAGGAGAATACAGTGCTAATGAGAGATACACACTAACTACAACGTTGGACAGCTACAAATTCAGAGCATAAAACGTCATTCTGATATTGTTTTGGCTTTCCTTTCAGCATTAGGTGATATCCAGTGAAAAACTCATGTTTCCAAGGCTTTGTTGATATGAGGTGAATTGTTAACCTTCTAGAAGACTTCCCGTGAGACACTCTGGAATGGGCTCAGTTCAGACCTGAAGAGGCTTGGTAATGCCTCTCACCTTTCAGCATTTCTGCTTCCTCACCTAACCACTTTGCAGAGATTAACTGTGTAGATCAAGAAAATTCTTTCTCCAGATCCAAAGAAGAAAAAGATTTGAAAACTGTAGTGTCCCATTTCACTGTATTGAAAGGCAGGTCCATTTCATAATAAGTTAGTTACAAACAGTTAAAATAAACACACAGTAAGTTAAATGCCATGGACTCATCTGTGCAATACTGTTGGGACAATTGAAACTTTCCAAGAACACAAGAAAATCGATATTACCTCAGGAACCCACAAAAAAACATCATTAGGGAACATAAATCACAACACTTATCCAGATTTAAAGGAGAAATCACTGTTTTCAGGAAAAATAATGGCTTGCCTGACTTAGGCTAAGATTTTATAACACATAATAACAGTAAGTTATTTGAAACTACTGACTCTGGAAAAGGCATGGAAATGCATTAGCTTTCTAAGCATTAAATTATATATGACAATTTCAACCTTCAAAAAGAAACCCAAAACTTTCCCAACTATTCCAAGCAATATCACAATGCCAAGGAAATGTTAGTTGTTTTCAGATATGTTATGAGTCTAATTCTACTCATGACATTAAGCTAATTAACATTTTTAGCTAGACCAGATTATAAAATAAAAAAATGTATCAAATGCATTTGGGAGATGTCTGACATGGCATCTTTCAGTTTTTGATCTATGAGAAACCGACCAGAATTCTACAGTTAATTTAGGTACTCTAATGGATTAGAACTTACACAGCTACTTCTCTGTGTTTCCTCAGCCTTTCACAGTAGGGCACCTTTACATTTTAAAAGGATGTCCACAAAAAGTTTTTAGAGTTGTATTTTTGCCTTTATTACCAAAGGGTTAGTGAAAGGCGAGACCCCCACGAATACTCTGACCTCTGTCCTGCTTCGGTGCGTGCGCATTTGCTTACTGTCATCGGGAGTTACCCTACCCCAGAAACACTCTTAAAGCTAACATTTCCTTGGTTGCTTCATAAACTCTAGTCTCTGTTTGGAAATGACAGTACAGAGGTGGCAGGGAGACGCAGGAAAGGGAGGAAGAAATCAGTGACAGGAAGCCGCATCCCATCCAAATCCTCACAAAACCTCAAGAAACATGGCAAGATATCCCTCACTGAGGACAAGTTCTGGGGACTTAAGGCAGCTCTAAAAGGGAGGGGGCAAGGGTTAAGGCGGCCCTCACAGCACAGTCTGTCAACAAACTACAACTCACAGCACAAAGTGCCTGTGGCTCAAGCATGCAAGCCCACAGCACAGCTCCTAGCTCCTCCCCTGCAGCGTGCTGTGGCGCTTCCAAGCTTACACCAACTCACCTAGGGTGGACAGCCCCAGGGAAGGAGGTACTTAGTGTCCTGGGCTCCTCTATGCAGCAGCAGCAGCAGCAGCTTGAAACTAGAGGAGAGTTCTCTGTAGGCCATGCAGCTCAGCCACAGGCTCTCACAGGGAAACCTCAGGGTTGTGGAGAGTGGCCTGCCTTGCCTCTTCACATCTGAGGTTTTTACTGCTTCCTGCCCTTTTAGTTCGGACAACCTCTAATTTGAGAGTCCATACCCTGTCAAGGAGCACTGATTCGTGACAAAAGGCAAGTCGAGTCACAGCTGGTGCTATATGCACTGTGCCCCGGCTTCCCGAGAAGTAAGTGGGTGCTCACTGTCTATTCCACATACCAGTAAAGATGAAGAACACCTTTACTAGCCCAGGTCACCCCGCGGCATCTGGAGGGACAGAACAGCCTCTGCCCTTCCTGCTAGAGGGCAGGGCCACCCTAGGCAAGTCACTGACCATCTCATTGTCCTGAATTACCTTCACAATGATTGTGGGAGCCATCTCCTGTCAACGCTGTGAGGAAGTGAGGTAACAAAGGAGAGTGCTGGCGTGAAGCACATGCATGTGGTACTATTTCTGTGCTACTTTCAACAGGACCGTGCAGGGTCACACACGGCCTTTGCTCTCTATCCTAAGAGGTTGGTCTTACCCAGAGGACCCTGGATTACGCCTCCTGAAGAACTCTCAACTGCGTGTGTGTGTGTGTGTGTGTGTGTGTGTGTGTGTGTGTGTGTGTGTGAATTCCTTGTGGGGTTCTCAGAATGGTGATAGCTCCTCTTTTCCTAGAACTGTCAGAAAAGTAATTTCTCACAATAATCAAGACACCGAGACTCAAAGGATGTCCAGTCTCCTGTATACACTATTAAAGGGTGTGTATCACACACACTTGCTCACCCATAAGGAGTCTTTCTTTAGCTACTGAAATGGATCAGTAACGAAGCAGGTCATCTAAGGTGGCACAAATCTAAGTGTCCTACCACTTGGCTTTGGAGTCTAGTTTGGTCTATCTGCGTTCAAAGCAGTACCAGGTCACGTGGAATGCTCAAAGCCTCCAGAGGAACCATCAAGCTGTCCTTTGTGCATTTTGTTCCATGCTCATCTTTCCCGCTTGGGAGTTACTCTAAGGCAGACTCAAGCCTCAGGCTAAGAAAAGCTGCAGGAAGGAAAGGGTAAACTGATGCTTCTCACCTTGGATTCCAAGGGTGCGAGCTGCTGTGAAGCAGGGAAAGTGGGTGGGTACCGGCAGGGGCTGCTAGAGGAAGAGGTGCTGGGCTGTCATGCCTTTCAAGAGCTCCTTCTCGGGAGGCCAAGTGTGTCACTGTTGAATTATGGAAAGGCTAATTTGTGATAATGATATCCTTAGTACAAAAATGAGAACAGAAAGGCGTGTGCAGACACCAAACGGTGAGTCCCATGCATGCCAACCAGGGCCACAGAAAGCCATCCGGCCGGTAAATTAGGCTGAGGGAAGAGGTGGGAAAGTGGGCCAGGCAGAGGGAAGCTGGGTGTGTGTCTGAAGCTGGGGATACTGATGACAGAGTGGAGGGGATCCTACCTAGTCAGCGGAAACCTGGTGCCTCCTTAACAAAGTACACACAGTGTCCTACCAGGTTTTGAGCTTGAAAGAGTTGGAGCTTGGAATCATAGAAACTCTGAGCCACTGTCACTGAACAGGAGAAACTGCAGAGGGAACAGCTATGGAGCAGGAGCTCTGGTTCTTGACAGCAGAGAAAAATACATGAGAGAAATTGCCAGAAGCTGTAGGACCCAATGTCTGGAGTAAGGAAAAAGGGCCGCAGGGACAGTGGCTATGATAGCGTGGTCTTGAAGACAAAACTCAGGGTGTACATCAGCCGTCTACACAGGATTAAGCTGGGAGCAGGGTGTGGAGGACTGCTGGGGCGGAGGGAAGACAGCCTACACATGGCTCTGTTCGCTTAGCAACTCTCCACCGCACGCCTCTGTGGTGTGACACACAGCACTAATGTGGTTAGTTACGGCTCGGAGCAGTAACTGAAACCAGGTGGAAAATCCATGAAAACTGAATCTGGTTGAATTAGTGTTTTAGGTTCTGCAAATAAATAAATGTATTAGAACTGATAAAGGGTTGAGACTGTAACTCAGTGATAGTACTTATTTAACATACACGAGGCCCTGGGTTCAATTCCTAGCACTACAAAAAACAAAATCTCCAAACAAAAAAGCAGTTCATCATGTAACAAAAATTACCTCAACTAAGTAACTTTCAAAGAATACAAATATATTAGGATTTTTCTAAGTATCTAAATGATGTATGTTAAGAAAACATTGTGGCTATATAAACTTGTGATTACTGTATTAACCCTAGGGAACTGACAGGCACTAAACACTGGTCTTTCCAACAGGATGGACTGAGTAACTATGGTTCCTTCCTCTAGGAACCAAGCACAGGGAACTGTAAATGGGGAAGCGGCTGGAACAACCACTTGTCCCACCCTCTTATTTTATAAACAAGGACATTCAGGCTCCAGTCAGATAATGGACAATAACCGCTGTTTAATAACAGTATTTATCATTGACTTGAAACTGTTTAGCTCTCATCAATAATATTGCACATATTTAAATGTCACTATTATAGACCATCTTACAGTTAAACTATATAAACTGATGATTGTAATTAAGAACAGAGGAATAAAAGCTAAGAATTTTTCCTTGCATAACCCAAAGGATTTATTATATAAGATTTCCAGGGAAAAAATGGAGAATATGCTTAATTAGAATTTCATAATGAAAATTTACAGAATCTAGGTCTTACTTAAACCAAATCCTCTATAAAATGTAATAATCTTCTTATATTTCTTACATAAATCTTCTTAATGTATTTATAATATGATGTTTTTAAAGTATCCAGTGATATCTGAGAACATTTATAGAGGTTGCAACACCTGAACCCCCTGAATTATAATGATTTATTATGTCTTTTTTGAATAACTTAATAGGATAATCAAAGTTTCAAGATCTGAATCATAAATATTCTGACAGTCCTTTCTAGATAGTGACTGAGGCTAACACTTAATAAATTAAAAATAGAACCTGTTAAGGTTGAATATATGCATGGCAAGAATCAGATTTGGGAACTAAAAATAAGTAATTTTACAGAACACTATACCATGATGTGATATCCACACAGGTAAAATTAATTAGCATATCAATGTAACACATCCTGATCAGCAATGACATCGGCAGCCACTCTAACTCTACACTAAACATCAAGCAACCTGTCCTACTACTACACGACTTCCAGTGTCTGTTCCTTGTGCAGATGAACCTGTGGATAATTGCATATACTCCAGTTAAAACTGATCTGGTTGAATTGTAAACTGAGTGATGAAAGAGAAGCTCACTGTGTAGTGCCTAATAAGAGCATCACTTAGGTCAGGAGACGGCACACAGCAGTAATTTCAGATGCTTGGTAAGCTACAGTACAAAAGGTCAGCTACGCTACCCAGGAAACCAGCATCTTTACAGTTGCTGTACCATGACGACACACAGAAGGACGTTACTTGGGCAACTACTTTACATATTGCCAGTTTATTTTTTTGATCCAGTTTGACAATATCAACATGATTGGCTCCTAAGCTGATATGATATGTGTTCAGTGGTGATTTGTCTTTCGGTTCTTTCTCTGTGCCTTGCTAACAACAGTTCATACATATGGAATTGTACTTTTGTATGTCACTTAGTGCAGCACTAAAGATTTAAAATCAATGCTGTCAGCTGAAGACACACACTGCTTCCCCTCCTTTCATTCCTCCTTGCCATTATTTAGCTGTATGTAAACTCAACTGATGAAGAAGAACGGTGCTTTAAAGGTGACCCAGGACACGGCGTCTCTTCCCAGTGAAAGGGTCCAGGGGGGTTTCCAGTTAATAACGTCTTCCTTTAGAGATGATCAGTGCTCTTTCTTTAGAAATGCATTTTCACCAGCTCACCGGAAACGACTGTTCTTATGCTCTGTTTGCCTGGACAGTGCTTCAGACCCGGGCAATGAAGCCCAGGCCCAGGCTGGCTGGGATCTGGATGGTTTCTAGGGCCAGGGAGGATGGGTTAAAGGGGAAAGTGACAGGAAAGATGTGTTTAGCATCCATGAGCAGCTGTGGAGAGTCTTTCCTGTCTCGTAATCGCATCTGAGAAGAAAAAGAACAAACAGGGTGTCAGCCCTTCCAATTTGTGAGACATCTACCGAAATTTCTATAAAAAAAAAACTTTAATGAAAAATGTTAATCTTTGTTTAAAAATATTTATGGCTATAATCTTATATAAAAAAGTTAATGCACTGTAACACAAGTAAGATGGAAAAGTAAAAGATAAAAACACCGTAAGTATTCTACTCAAATGACCATGCAGTGAAACCGTAAGAAAGAAAAAGCACCTTACCTGGATAGTGCGGATAAATGAAACAGAGACCCTTTCTTCAAACTCATTAACGGGTGTGTAGAGATTCAATACCTTGACGATCTGGAGAGATAAAAGGTAAAGCTTTGGGCATAGTTCACAAACAGGCTGGCTCTTCATGACCTGGTGAGTGGGAAGGACCTGTGTACCTCCCTTTGAGTTCTACCTGGGGGAGGCTGGGAGAGGGAAGGAGACACCGAAAGGCACATTTGCCTTTGTGTTTGAAGTTTTAGAAGAAGAATGTAGTTATGTAACATTTTAAGAAGAAAAAAAAATAGAAAGACATTCAAACAGTACAAAATACAGCATGGAAAAAAAGTGCCCCAACTTATACCCTCTCCACCTCCTAAAACAACAGCTAACCACATCCTGGGCAACCACTGAGCTACTTTCTATACATGCTGGCTTCTGCTATTTTTGTACAAATGGAATGAATTGATTTTTTTTTTTGCTATTTTGCAACTTGCTGTCTTTATATAAAAGTACATATGGGCATATAAAAATAGCAGAATTAAATATTATTCACTTTAAACAATCTTAAAAACTCATATGTCTAGAAAATGAATTACTTACTATAAATGAATTACACAAAAAAACAAGGTCTTTAAAAAAATTTAACCAATAACTTAAGGAGTAAATTCTTTTTTATTTGTTTGTTTGTTTGTTTGTTTACAACAGGGGTTCTCTGTATAGCTCTGGCTGTCCTGGAACTCACTCTGTAGACCAGGCTAGTCTTGAACTCACAGAGATCCACCTGCCTTTGCGTCCCAGGTGCTGGGATTAAAGGCGTGTGTTACCAGCATCCAGTTTAGTAGTGAATTCTTCAAAAAAAAAAATCAAATTTCTTTCACAAAATGGTCAGTCCTCTTTTCCTTTTATGGTGCTAGAGGGCTTGAGACAGGGCATCTCTGTGTACCCCAGGCTGGCCTGGAATTCACTATGTAGCCCAGGTTAACCTTAAGAACATCATTGTTTATGTAAGGTAGAAAGTTACTTTAATCCTCAATGAATATGTGTGTGTGTGTGTGTGTGTGTGTGTGTGTGTGTGTGTGTGTGTGTGTGTGTGTGTAATGTTCTATAACACCTAAATCTTTGGGGGCATGTACTAAAGTTGAAATATTTAAGTACTAGAGTATATTCTTTAAAAGCTGGAGGAGAGGAAACATCTATAAACTGGGTTTCACCACTATACTATTACTTTCTGTACTTGGCAGAAATGGGGAAGGTCTCCAGACCTCACCAGTCCTGCAGATTTACACTTACATGAAGCTCCCAGCAGGTTTTGCAAACGTGAGTCTGACACTAGGAAGTTACAGATGATGGTTCTGACCGTCTTCCCTGAGCAAAGTGAATGACACTGGCCACCGCTGGAGACTGAGCACTGGGAAGATGAAGCCTCAGTGCAGGAATACCAGGCAAAGAGAACAGTGGGCTCTTCTTGCAGCTGCTGCGATTTCCACTAACAGCCTTCCTATCTGGTCCCTGTCCTTAAGTTCAATGCACCTCTCAGAAAAAGGCTGTCAGTACCTCCAATGCTTCTTGTAAAGCGTAAGAGCAGAGTTTGCTAGAATTTTTATGATAGTGTCAGCTTCATGCATTTCTGTTTCCCTACTGAACTGTAAGCCCCTAAGGTAGAGATCTTTCATTTTTTTTTTTTTTAAATATATACAGCATATGTGACTGCAGGCCAGAAGAGGGCACCAGATCTCATTACAGATGGTTGTGAGCCACCATGTGGTTGCTGGGAATTGAACTCAGGACCTCTGGAAGAGCAGTCAGTGCTCTTAACCCCTGAGTCATCTCTCCAGTCCGAGATCTTTCTTAACTGAAGTATTTTCCCCTACAAGTACGATACTGTGTGATGGGAATTAATCATGTGAAGAACTGAGAGAGGAAGAATTATTCTGTGTATGTGTGTACATGTATGGGCAGTGCCAGAGCATGCATGTAGAGGACAGAGGACAGCCTTGGGAGTTGGTTCTCTCCTTCTACCACATGGGTTTCAGGGATGAAGCTCAGGTCATCTGGTTGGCAGTAAGCGTCTTTACTACCTGAACCACCTTGCTGGCCCCAAGTAGAAAAACATAAAGAACCATTAATTATTAGATAACATAGAACTGGATTCATGAATTGGAGCACCACAGAATATATGCCCCAAGGGAGCAAGCACTTTGTCGTATTCCAGGCTGTATCTCAAGGCTGAGACCATTATACAGAGTACTGGGCACTTACTCTTTGCTGTATATTCTATAGATGACTGCTATAGCACTGAAATGTATTAACTGATCATAAAATCTCCACTCTTCTAGATTTACATAGTCATGTATCTTCTGTCAAGGGAGGAGGTGAGTGCAGAGGACAGCAACAGCCAGGCCTGCCTTCTCTGAATTCCTCTGAGATGGCTACTACGGTGTGCCACCCTAGGAGGCGGTACCTGGGCAGTGGTCAGGGCATTGCACATGGAGCAGATGGCTTCGGCGTCATCATCGGTTTTCTTTTTCACTTGCAAAAGTTGAGCAGCCTGAATGAGAGGTTCCAGAGTCTCTTTGGCCCCGCTGTTCATTAGATTCTTGTCACGTAGCCATTCTTCCAATTGACTGACATTGTACCTACGCCAAAAATAAAAAGAGAAAGTGTAAGAGAGAATAAAAGAGAAAATGCAAATTTTCTGAATGCTGTCATAAGTGTCTTAATTTTGTGTATGTAGCCTTGTCAGTTAAAATGACAGGTAGTATTTTTGTTCAATTTTCTAAAATCTAATCAGCTGTGCTTTAACATTTATCATTATAAAGTCATGAGGCTTATAATTGTAATTATGTAAGACTGAATGACAATAGACTGCAAGTCTTTATTGGAAGATGGAAACAAATTCATCAGAGGGAAAGTTATTAGACTTGCTAATAAACAAAACTGAATACATCGTATGACTCTGTCCTTACCAAACAGCTGACTAAAATGTACTTTCTGGCTTCTCCTGCAATTTCAGATACAGGTTCCCTTTGCAGGATAATCCTCTTAATTCTTCATGCACTCCAAATTAAGAAGATTCCAAACTGGGTGACTGAATAACCAGAGACCCCACCATGTGCCTTGGACTCAAGCTTCTCTAGGGAAGGGCCTTGACAATGGGAACAGTGGCCTTAGAAAATCCAGAGACAGAAGAAGAGAGGGCAAAGGAAAGCCCCTGGAAGGGACAAAGACTCCAAACTGGAGAGAGAAGAAAATCACACAGATGCTAGGGTTTAGGTGGCCAGATATCTGACCATAGATTTTAAACTACAGTTAAGGCAGATGGACACACAGACAGAATTCAGTCATCAGGCAGATGGAGGCATTATGATATTAAGATGAACGACTTCAGTTGGTTGTGATGGTACATGTCTGTAATCCTGGCACTTGGGAGGTAGAGGCAGGACTATCAGGAGTTCAAAGTTATCACTGGGTATGCTGTGAGTTTGAGATCAGCCTGGCTACATGAGACCTTGTCATTAAAAAAAAAAAAAAAAAAAGAAAGAAAGAAAGAAAAAAAAAAAAGAAAATGCATGACTTCATGAAAAGTTAGACTCCCTGAATGGAGGTAATACCTTAAAGTGAAATGTGGATAAGAATGGTCAATATAGAACACTAAAGTTCTCTAGTAGTTAACTAAAGATTTAGTCGAAAAACCCTTTTCTCTTTTTCAGTGAATATACTGGCTGCATCAGAATAGCAATTTGCCCTCCCCCCAATTCACTTATGTTACAATAATGAGACAATGATGAGCAGTGGGTACAAAATTTAGCTGCTGCTGGGCATGGCTGGTGCATGCCTGCATTCCTAGCTGAAGCAGAAGGATTGTGAGTTCAAGACCAGCTAGGTTATACAGTGAGACCTTTTCTCTAAAATAAAAAAGAAACTAAAATTTAAAAATGGAATATAGTTTTTCTTCAAATTCAACTGTAAGTAGACTATCTCTTTGGACCTATTATTTTTCTTCAACTTAAAACCTTTTCTAATTAAAAATTTTTTAAGTGTATGAGTTTGGTTGGATATATGTATATGTACCATGCATGCAGTGTGCACAGAGGCCAGAAGAGGGAGTTACATCCCCTGGAACTGGAATTACAGACAGTTGTGAACCACCATATAGGTGCTGGGAAACTTATCTGGGTCCTACGCAAGAACAGGAAGTACTCTTAACCCCTGAGCCATCTCTCCAGCTCCTGTTGGGTCTATTCTCATTCATATTCCTAATATGGAAAGATATTTCTAGAACAACCACCAAATACTAGAAAGTTTCATCTTTTTCCTAATGTTTTCTTATTGTGCAACCAAAACAAACAAAGAGAGAAAACAAATGTCTGTTGTTGTGTATTTTGCACATCCTTACACTCCTACGAACAAGGGGGCTGAACAGAGGAGCAGGGTTTCCTCCTGAGCAAGAGAAGCCACCCAAGCGAGAGACCCGGTTCTACGCCACTGGCCCCATGCACTCGGCCATGTGGCACCAACACTGGCTGCACTGCTGGGAAACAGGGCACCAGCCCTCAAGAGCAAGCAGGGCAAGGCTGCCACGTGTTGGTGTTTGCTCACCTGATCTGCATGCCTTTGCTCCAAGAGCACATGTCCTTGCGCAGGAGGAGGTTGTTTAGGGTGATGGCACCCACGATGTAGAACATCTGCTTGACCACTTGCTTGATTAGCTCTGGGTCCATGCCATGCTGACACATGACTGAATGGAAGGAGTTGAGCTGCCGCAGGATGGAGTCCAGGGTGTAGGTGCCCTCGTCTGCGATACTGGAGGTGCGCTTTCTGAGCCCTGTGGGCTTGACCCCGGACACACCCTGGATTGTTTCATGCTCCAGCATGCCTGAGACTGTAGAAGTGTTTCAGTTATTAAGAGGATTCAGAGGGAGTGCATATGTATATGCACACACTACACACACACACACACACACACACACACACACACACACACACACACACACACACACACACACTTTAGGAAATGATCTGAGAATAAAGACAGTGGGGGAAGAAACTGCCCCAAGAATAAGCCTTTGGATTTTAAGCTTTAACAAGTAGTCAGTTCTTTAAATAAAAATCTTCCGCAGTATTAAGTAACCTTACTGCTGTATTTTCTAAAATACACAGCAGCTTTGGGACTGCACTGGCATGTGGTATCTGAGAAGTTTTTAAGAGTGGTTAAATAAGTGTTCTTTGTATTTGTTCTCAGACACTAAAAAAAAAACAAAAAAACCACACACACAACCACAAATCAAACAACAAAATAACAAGAACAAAACAGTAACAAGAAGACAGTAAGAAAGAAAGGCATGGCCTTGGGAAGCAGTCTTGGAGAAGATCTTAGAGTCAGTGGTATAGAGTTGGAGAACTGAGCCCCTCCCTGTCCAGAGATCCCCACAACTGCATGAGACTCTGGGATAGCTTCTGTTTCTCCAGACTTAGTCTCTGTTCCTGTACCTCTCTCTCTATGTGTGTCTAGCTTTGCCTCCTTAGAAAGCTTCTAACAAGTCTACTCTGACATACCCACTCTGACATGTCCACTTTGAGAAGCCCATCCCCTGCCTGGGAGGCCCTTGAAAGCAGTGATCAGACCTGGGTTGTTTTGCTTTTTTTCCCTTGTGCTAAACTCAGCTCCCCACAAACCCTATACTGACTCAGGAACAGTTGTTGCTATTAACTGACTGGGAGATGGGGACAGTAAGAACAAGACAGCGTCGAGGCAAACTTCTTGTTCAGCCAATACCCATGGGCAAAGACAGAAAAGATTGCTGGAAGCTGGTCTTCTTTGCCTCTGTGTTACTTCCTGCATTTTGGTCAATCTAGAGTGTTTTAAGTTTATAACTTCTCAAGGCACAAGAGAAGAAATAACTGCCATCTCATATGACGTCCTCAGACTTTTATGTCCCCAGCTGTTTTAACTATGGGCCTGTGAAAGGAAATGAAATCTACAACTTACTAAAGGAGGTGAAAAGGTAAAAATGTGGAGGACACATGGTCAGGGGAAGAAAGCAAGGGAAGCCTGATGTAGTCTGAAGAGTTGAAAAGGCTCAAATCTGCCTTGAGATAAAAGTGTTCGGTAACTTGTAAAACAAAACAATCTGCTACATTAAAAATCAGCAGCCTGCAATTTGGACATGACTAATTCCTATCATGCATGCTATACATCCCAAGGGAACCAGACAACACAAATTATAAAAGAACTCAGAATGAGTATAGAGAGAGGTGAGGTGCATGGGCTCCCAGTCCATCTACATACATAGGCAGAAGCACATGAACCACTCAGGCCATGGGAAACCATTGCTTCCAACAAGGAGTGTCTGGTGCAAACCCATGACAGCTGTATTGCTGCTCCAGGGCCGTTCCAGCCCTTTCACTGTGGACCAGTAGGCCAAGTGCAAACCCATCCAGCCTCCTTGGTTTTCATTGGCGCCCCCCAGAGCCCTGTGCAGTAGTGTCACAGTAGCTGGAGGTCTGAAGTCTATTTGACATTGGACAAAAGGGCAGAGTCTACTGCTAGAAACAAGGCGCAGCTAAGGCTCTAGAGAGAATTAAACAGACTCTAGTGCTTCAGTCCTGTGGAGACAGTGAATTTTGTTGTACTAACTACTTTATGTTTTCCACAGGAATACATGTCTGACACATGTGCCACTGGCCTCCTTTGTTGTCAAGCACATGCGATGCTCAGGGACACCGGGCTTACCTATCATTGGCTGAAGGATGTTCTCTAACACCCTCACAAGCTGCTGGTAGATCTGAATGGCCAAGTCGCTCAGCACTTGCCGGTATTCAGCAAGGTCAAAATTGGTGAGGCAGTGTTCATTCTGGCGAGATGTGTTGTGTTTCATGAAGCCCTAGAATCAACACAGTGTTAGTGGTACCCGGGAAGCCAGTGCCTCTGTCCGCCTCCCTCTGCACACTGCTCGGCACCCTTCATGCCCAGTGCCGGGATGACCATCCTCAACACTGCTCTTGTGTTTTCACTTCTGGTGTCTCCCTCTTCCACTTAGAGCTCTCACTAAGAGATGACCCTGGCCATCTATACTTCAGGCTTTCTAATAGCAAGACGGAGGGGGGGTTAACTTAAGAAAAAGAAACAGCAGGGCTACTGCCAAACACTAAATAAATAACTGAAAGTACTCTTTAGCTCTTAAAACATAGTCCTATTCATAGACACCACACCCAGAGGGATACATATGCATAATCTTCTTGAATAGACCAGTTTTTATGCACTAGAAACTGAATGAACTTTGTCATTTTAGTCTAACTCACAGAATCTACACAATGATTTCATTGAGATCTTAGAAGTCTTTGAGTAGCACTGGTTAAAAGGAGAACTCCCCAGACAGGCAGCACTTCTTCCCGTCACTTGGACCTAAGCACACTGCTCACCAGCCCTGCCTGACGATGGAGCTGCTTACTGGATGACACAGTAGAAATGTGGGGCCAGCCAGGATCTTCTTCACCCTGTTCCCAGGATTCTGCTCTCACAGGCCCACCTTCTTGCGTGTCCTGCTTGTCTCTGTATAGCCTGTCCTTTTGCCACGACAGTCCTCTGCTCTGAGTGCCAGAGATTGCTACTGACTAAGCTGCTCTGTCTGCCTTCCTGACAAAGGCTGGGGATTGGAAGGGGTGGGGTCAGGCCACAGGTCTCCAAGTTGTGCGGATGCAGTCACAGCTCTGTTCCTTATGCCAAGATGCTATGAGCTAATGAATGAGCCCCACTGAGCTTCAGTGTCCTCATCTGTAAAATGGGTTTAATGCTAACCACATGAGATGTTGTTGCTAAGCACAGAAACATCAAATGGCAAACATATTTTGTATATCAAGTGCTGTCAGATGCATAGTAAGCAGCTTTCGATAACAATCAACAGTTTATAGGTTTTTTTTTTTTTTGTTTTTTTTTTTTTGGTTTTTCGAGACAGGGTTTCTCTGTGTAGCTTTGCGCCTTTCCTGGGACTCACTTGGTAGCCCAGGCTGGCCTCGAACTCACAGAGATCCGCCTGGCTCTGCCTCCCGAGTGCTGGGATTAAAGGCGTGCGCCACCACCGCCCGGCAACAGTTTATAGTTTTACACTTGGTTGAAATATATCCAACAATGAATGAACACTTTACTACAAACAAAATCAGTATAGATTTTTTTAGACACACCCAAAGATACATATGTGATTTTTTTTTTTCTTTCAAGACAGGGTTCCTCTGTGTAGCCCTGGCTGTCCTGGAACTTGCTCTATAGACCAGGCTAGCCTCAAGCTCAGAGATCTGCCTGTCTCTACCTCCAGAGTACTGGGATTAAAGGCATGCACCACCATGCCCAGTTACATATATAATTTTTGATTATGCCTTTTTGTTGGTTGCCTTTAAGGTACCATTGGTTAGCCTAAACAGACTCATTTCTTTAAATAATTCTATATCCTAATCTTAATTCTACATAGACCACCACAACATATTAAGAAAAGATTTTGTTTTCTGGTAATTATTCACTTGACTGATGCTGGATTTGTTTTGGCACGCTTTCTCAAATGCTAGCAAGGAGGAAACTACACCATTGCTCAGTTTACCACAAGACAGCAAGCATCAATGAAACAGTACATTAAGTCACATGCCTGGGGGTTTGGGAATTAACATGTCTCGAACGTTTTCTCAACTCTCCCTTTGAAAGGTCAGGGAAAGCACAGCCTGCTGTCCTTACCGCCACGGTTTCCTCACCTCCTCTCCACTATACTGCTTCAAACAGTGCAAGAATCGGCACGTGTTCGAGAGCCAGAAGGAGACAGTTTCAAAATCGTCACCTCGTTTCTGAAAGAGAAGAAAGTAAGTCTAAATTTTCTTGTCCTTAGGGAAAAAAGCTCAGCAGACACAGAAGACCCGCTTCTTTCATGAACCGTCATAAAGTACCACACAAGTAAACCACATTTTAGTTTTACATCTTATCGGCAGCGTTTAACTAGGTCCCCCAGATGTTTCTGTTCTTAAAGCATTCCCACTCAGTTAACTTAGCTGTCCCTGTGTGCAGAAAATGGTTCGATTCACAGCTGGGCCAGACTGACTCACTTTGCTTGGATTACTGAAAGGAGTCAGAAGGAGCTAAAGGCACAAAGGCTATAGCAGTTTCTGTAATGAAGGACACGAAAAAGAGCCTGACACCCTCAAAGGCAGCTCGGATGAACGCTCTTGTCACGACATGTCACGACAAACTTTCCGAGCAGTGAAGCAGAGCTGGCAGAGGGCTCACACTGAGTAGACAGGGGAGTCGGTTGACTCTTGAGCACAATGGGATGAGGACGAGAGAGGAAAAAGACTCATGCTTGAAAGAGACTCTGGCACCGGAAGTGTTTCTCAGAGGTCAAAGAGGAGACACAGTGGAGATGGCTATGAGTTTGTGAATGAACCTTTGATATTAGTTCAGACATGAAAAGTCACAGAATCATCAATGTTTACCTGTATTTTGCACAAGAAATATTAAAATAATTACCTGGGGTAGGTGCCTAGCATTAAATAACTATGATTTTATCTTAGGAATTCTTTTTAAAAAATGATATGAGTGTCTGGGTCTATAAAGTGTTTACTGCCTAAGCCTGAGGACCTGAGGTTGATCCTCAGCATGCATGTAAAAGACTGGGTGTAGTCCTGGGAAGGCAGAGATGGGAGATTCCCTGAGGCTGTTGTACCCAGAGTCCCCCAAAGACCACCAAGAGACCAAATCCGATGCAAAAGCAAAGAGTCTGTATTGTTATGAGTTAACTCGGGACTCTCTGTCCATCTGTCTGACGCAGCAGCAGAGCAGGAGAGACCCTGAGTAGCAATGGGACAGGGTTTTTAAAGCAAGGGGGTTTGGGGTCTATAGACTACATAGGAACAGACTCAGGTTTGGTTTATGCAGGTGGTTAGTAACTTTTAATTGGCTATGGTTAGTTGGGGGTTACAGTTATCCATTTTTGGGCAGGCCTGGACAAGTCCTAGGCTTTGTCCTTGAGATGTCATGGAGGCTGGCTGGCCTTGCATGTACTGACTGTGGGGGCTGACTCAGTGGCCCAGGCTTTGTCCTTGAGCTGCCATGGAGGCTGGCTGGCCTAGCACCTTCACATTGACCTATGCACATAGCTCTAAGTTGGTGAGGGGTCCCAGACAGTAAATAACTGGCTGAACCTTGAGTGGTCAGAGTACGTGCAGAAAGGGAGCTACTGCAAGGACTATGTCCTTTGTTCATGGCCCTCCGAGAAACTGCTTGCTCAAGTCTCAGGAAACTGAAATTGAGGCCTGATCTCTGAGAGAAGACTGAGCAGCCTGTTACGGCGACTGCTTGGTCCTTTCAAGGCCTACTCTAGTAAGCCTAGCCTAATCAGTGGGTCCCAGGTCCCAGTGAGAAACTGTCTCAAAAAACAAGGTAGGTGGTACTCCTGGGGAACAACATTTGAGGTTGTTTTCTGGCCTTCATGTAGAACATGTGCACGTACATATACATACACATAATTTTACACACACACACACACACACACACACACACACACACACACGCACAAAGATATAGATATTTAGTATCTATCTGTCCTCTATATACATACAAACATATAGATAGATAGAATGATATTTAGTATCTATGTATCGTTCCTTCCTTCCTTCCTGTCTGTCTGTCTGTCTGTCTGTCTGTCTGTCTACCTACCTACCTACCTACCTACCTACCTACCTACCTCTCTAGCTACATACCTCTCTATCTATCTCTTTCTCTCTCTGGTCTAATGCAGCCTAGACTGGTCTCAGACTCACTATATAGCTGACGCTAAGCCTTCAATCCTGATCCTCCTACCTCTACCTCCCAAGTGCGCCACCTACCTGGTTTAAAAGGGTATATATTTCTTACTGGTACATCAGAGCACAACCTGGATTTCTAGAAACTACAGAGCATCTGTCTTTGATCCTGGTTGTCACTTTATATAGTACAAGTGTACCCAGAACAGGGTATCCTATGAAGAATGATTAACTTCTTATAGGATCACTTTTTTAGATAATACAATTTATATCCTTAAGTATGCATAAAACACATTAAAAAACCTTAATATTTGGAGAATATTATTCTGAAATGACTTTAAGAAAGAAATCCTACAAGGTATTAGTCCAATTAAGTATTTTTAGCTGAGATAGGAGAACTGAGGTCAGGTCTCTACTTTGAAAAAAACCTAGCTTAAATAATATTGCCAGAATTATAGCTGGGAGTTGGTGGCACACACCTTTAATCCCAGCACTTGGGAGGCAGAGGCAGGGGGATCTCTGTGAATTCAAGGCCAGCCTGGTCTACTGCCACAGCCATATCTGATGGGAACAGCAAAAGTCACAAAGCCAGCACAGCTGCTTGACAAAGATCCAGCAGAGCTGAGTCTCATGATGGCTGCTGTGCCACCTTTGGTTTTCATCTCCATCTGTTGCATACTTGGGGCACTTTTAGTATTTGTACATTTCGGGACATTGGATTGAGGGAAATTTTCTTATGAATCATTTATGCCTTCTCCCAGGAATGCTGCTTCTAAACTTCCCTGGGACAGTTCTGAACATACTACCCCTCCCGCTTTTAGGGAGATATCCTTATCTACTTGAAGGTCTTCCTTACACCTTGGAGGTTGTGACACACATAAGGAAGCCAGAGGTCTCTTTATGAGGCTATGAGACATTGTTGAAATATCCATCCCTGTACTTATGCAGGAACAAGATATTCAAAACAAAGTAAACTCAAAAAAGTCAACAAGATTTGGTAGGCTAGAGGAGCTGGCCACAGTTCAGATTGCAAGCCTCTTCCCAGTGTACACTCAGGCAATTACTTGACATATACAGCAACAAAGTTAGACTATCTGAAGTTACCTCTCTCTATACAGAGACTTATACTGATGAGCAAAGAATGGAGTGGAAAGATGATAAAAGAATGAGCTGTCAGGACCCCCCTTTCTTAGAAAAGTTAGCACATGCAGAGCCACTGTGGTGTCATATGACCAAGAAACAACAGAATGCCAGGATTAGACATATAGACAAATTCTATAAAGATATAAACATTGTACTATGCAATAATTTGAGTAATAACTGCAGCAGCTTTAGCCTGAGGATTTTTCCTGGGTACTCTGACTATTAAGAGTTAATAATACACTGCTTGGGACATGGTAATATGCCTAGGCTGGCTTGGAAATTTTGTTTTGGTCTAGCGTACTTGAAGCAACCTGAGCTACCAGCCTGAGAATAGGCTGTTGTATGCCTCTAGATTCTTAAAAAATGGGTTTTGAGTTAATGAGTAAAATTTATAACTCTGTTTATTAATGATGTCAAAACTTGAGGGAAAATGATTGGATATAATTCTGTTCTGTCACAGTTTATTATGGATGACTAAAAGATAAGCAAGAGGAAGTGAAATATATGTCCAAAAACAAAAAGGATATGATCTATGTTTTGGAACATCATGAATGTATCCCTGCTTACTAAATTCTGTATAAATAAAGAAGCACTCTGGCTGCTAGTGAGTCAGGCTGCAAGATTCTCACCAGTACCATGGCCTGGCTCACCTCCACTGCCCCCTCAATTCTTTACTTCCTCTGCAGGGACCTGCTCACTGCCAGGGATGGCTCCTCTTCTGCAGGGTTCCCTGAGCCCTGAGGGGAGGGATTTTACAATAAAAACTTAAAAAGCCCATTTAGATGCAAGAGAGTTACTGGATCTTCATCCTAGATGCTCTGTTAAGTTGAGTAATCAGAAGGCAAGGTGCCTGGAGCACATCCTAGTTTCTCATAGAAACACTGAGCTAAAAGTGAGATGTGTTTCTCTGGAGTCATTGAAATAACAGGGCTTCTCCTCCATTGTTAAAGCTACTGTCTTTCCCAAACCTTTTTTCTCTGATTACCATCTCCATGTTGTTTTCACAAGGATTTTAGGTAACAAGATAATTCGTGGGATGAATTGGAGAATAGGGGAACAAAAGTTGAAAGAAAAAAATTAATGTCACATCACTCATCTTTTTATAATAATAAGCTACATATTACTGAACCTGACATTTATCTCAACATCAGCATCATATTCTACATATATGTACCACATATTAACATGTATGTATATAATTGGTTTCCACTAAACATTTGAACATTTTACTTATTATTGAGTCAGGGTCTTACTGTTAGATCTGGCTGGCCTGGAATTTGCTTTGTAAGCCAGGTTAGCCTTGAACTCATAGAGATCTTCAAGATGTATGTATGCCACTATGCCTGTCTTCTGTTAAACATTTTAAATTTGTTCCCAATAAAACCTAAAGCAGACTATTACTGTCTGTGAAGAATTACTTTGCTCCACAATTAAATGCAATAATATCAAATTCATCTTGATTACTGTCCAACAGGAACCTGTTCTGAAGGCATGTGGACAGTGTCCTGTTTACCACAGGTCCCCAACTAGTGGTGGTTTCTGAAAGGCTGTGGAATCCTTAAGAGATAAGGATTAGCTGGAGGAAAGGGGGCAGGCCTTGAGGATTACAGTCCAGGCCCATTTCTGAATTCATCTTTGCTTTCTGCTCCTCTGAGATGGGCTTGCACCTCCTTAAGCTCTGAGCCCTCAAAATGATCTTCCTCCTTTAAGTGCCTCTGTCAGGCATTTGGCCGTAGTACTGAGAAGGCAGCGAGCACAGGAAGGTTACATAAATTTCCTGCAACGGGAATTTGTAGTTAAGACTGAAAAGGCTTTGTGAATAGCAGCTGTCCAAGTCTAAAGAAGACACAGTACCTCTGCACAGACTCATCATTAACAACCGTGAGCACTGTGGAACATGGAACTGACCTTCAAGACCTTTTTGATGCTGTTAATGGTTGACGTCAGCAATGATCTTACTTTCTGATCATCATTCAGGTAGTCAGCATGTCGCACACACATAAATAAGATATATGCTGGTAACCCTGGAATCAGATTGACAGCCACACCACGTGGCTTCAATTCTGAGTAAAGAAAAAAAAGGAGAAACAAAATTACATAACCCTGAAAGTCTTTGTGAGGCATGTTTTGTGGGAGATAAAAGCACAGTTGTGTAAGAGCTCAATCATTCAGGGCAAGTCATCCAAAAAAAAAAAAAAACAAAAACCCAAAACAGTATTTTAACAGCTCACTAGTGAAATTATTGACTATGGGCACCTGTCTATATAAAATTCATATATCCTGCCCTGATTTTTCCCTTGAAGTCCAGTCTTGTTTATCAACTGTCTTCCTGATGTCTCTGCTCAGGCATGTCAAATCAATCCTCTCCCAAGCCAAGTTCTCCATTCCTCATGGAATCTACTGTACAAATGGACTTCTCCATCTTCAGTTTCTTGGGTCACAAACCTCATCATTTTTTAAATTCCTTACTTTTCTCACACCATATGCCCAATTTATCAATCCTATTAGTGCTCCCTGAAAAATACAGCCAGAATCTAACTATTTCTACTTCTACTTGCTACTCCCCAGTTGAGGACATTATTACCTCCTCTTGGGTTGCTGGAATAGCTTCCTATCAGCCCCTAGTCCCAGATCATTTCTAAGTATCTACAGCTATTTACTTAAGAAAATGCATGTTAGGTTCTACCACTTTTGTTCTGAGAATTCTCCAAAGAGCTTCTTCACTCGCTTATAAAATTCCAAACCTGAATTGTGCTCCACATCACCTAGCCCTGTTCTTCGCCATGCTCAGCTCACTCTGCTCCAAACAAGTCTCCTTGCTGTTTGCTGAACGTGCCATGGCTCCCACCCAGGGCCCACGTCCTTGCACCTTTTCTGCCTTGGATGTTCTTTCTTCAGAAGCACAACTTGTTCCTTGTTCTCTTTAGCCACTGCACAGAACAGGTTTGTGCATCAAAGAGTGTTTCCTGACAATTTTATAGAAACTGTACGCCTGTCTTTCCTCTCTATCCTTTCACCCTTTCCACCACCAGCTCCTAAGCATTTTTGCTAAGTGAAGATCATGTTGACACTGAAGCACCTGGAACCTGTATATAGCACTGAGCTGAGAGCCACGAAGGGGGAATGTTAAATCAGGTGTGATCATCCAGCCCATTGCTGTCACCATGGCAGCTGGTACGAGACACCGGCAGAGGCTGAAGGTTTTAGTTTCGCAACTACTTAGGGGTTCACGTGTTCGTTCCTTCTTTTACTCCCCCATACATTCTTCTAAGGGGCTCACACTCAAGGCCTTAAGACCCCCTCCAAATGCTTCTTCCATTCCCTTTTCAATTATCCCATCTTTTCTGTACTTTGCTGGGATTTTTTCCTTAGTATTTTTTCCCTCCATATTATTGAATTGTTGTCCTAAATACAGTTAGTCACAAACATTTCTGGGGAATGAAAACAGAAATTAAAAAACCTAAATGGCTTACAATAGTGGCATCCAACTGTGGTTATACTTGGGAAACCCCGAGACATTTTCAGAACAGTACTAGACGTGGCCAAGCTCTTTTCCCTGGAAATTTCAATTGACTTAATTTGGGGTCGGGGGCTATTAACACTTTTAAAGAACTTCCTAAGTGGCTCAGTATCTGTCTACTATTCATGTGGCCCTGGGTTTGCTCTCCACCCCACCCCCCGAAACCCGACCTTCACATGCTGGTCTTAGTGGAAGCACACACAGACTTTAGTATTTGGGAGGGAGAGATTGGAGTACTGTGAATTCTAGGTTAGCTTTGGCTACATATCACGTTCTAGGCTGGCTTGGGCTATATACAATGAGACCCTGTCTCAAAGCCAAACCAAAACAACCCAAAATTCCTAAGTGGTGTTAACATGAAGCCAGAACTGAGAGGCTTGCTTCAAGGGAGCCTTGCAGATGGATCCTAGACACACGTTCTCCACTTTGATAATGAATGCTCAGTAAGGATTCTACCACAGCACTACAATGCAGTATGAAATGATGACTCATAAAACTTCAGAGCTGGACCTGCCAGTGGCGTACATCTATGGCGTTCGCTGCTCAGAAAGCTGAAACTGGATGGTAACTCCCAGGAGTTTAACATAAGCATGGACACGACAGGACCACTGTCTAAAAACCAGAAGTGTTTGAACTTCATTTTTTAAAACATTTATTTGTTTTGTGTGTGCTGTGTGAGGGCCTGTGACACAATGTATTTGTGGAAGGCAAAGGACAGCAAAGGACCACCTACAGGACTCTGCTTTCTCCTTCCACCATAGGTGAAGGGACTGACAGGCTGGGGCATGGCGGGCACGGCTCTGGCAGGCCTTGTCCTGCCCCCCATTCCCTCTTCCTTGCTCCAAACCGTTAGATTACATTCCTAAAGCTGGCCACCAAGGTCTAGTCCCTTATTTGAACACTTCCTCCTCAGGAGGCCGACCACCAACGTCCAGCTAACAAAGTACTGAAGCCCAGCAATCAAAAGCCCCCTTTGGCTCACCTAATTAACATGCCCAATTAAAACCAAACACTTCATCCTAACACGGGGTTTCCCCTTGTACCTATAAACTGCCATTTTTCTATGGGCCACATCTGTCTCCCCTTTATCCAGAGGCAGTCCTTTGTCCCTCTGGGACAACTATCCTTTCCCCATCTCCCCTGTTTCCTTCCCCTTCTCCCTCATCCTCTATCTTCTGTTTCGTCTCTTATTCCCTGCCCTCTGTCCCTCTGGGGCAAATAAATCTCCTTTGTGCTGAGAACTTGGTCTTGGGGGGCCTGAGCTGATACCGAGCTTTAACAATAGGGGTCCCTGGAACCAAACTCAGATCATCAGGCTTGATAGCAATCACCATTACCCACTGAGCCATTTTGCCAGTCAAGAAAATAATTTTAAAGACTACGACATCAGTTTCAAACCTAGTGACTAGCCCTTCCAGCACCAACCTGGCTGGAAGGGATCTTACCCAAGCAGAAAGCACTTGCCTAGAATCAGGTTCTTAACAAGCTTCTGCTCATCCTCCCGTTTGTACTCCAGCATTCCTTGGAAATCCTTTTCTTTCCGGGGAATATTGACTGGCCGGATAGGCTCATCAATGATCTGTCCTGGAGATATGTTCTCCATCTGACCCACTTCCGGAGAAACAAAACAGGAGAGAAATGTTCGTCAGGTAGAATAGTTGGAACTGGGTAAACAGCAACATCACAGGGTAAGTCTACTCTAACAGCCACAGAGCCTGATACACAAGTAGTAACATCAAAAAGCTACCCAGAAGCTGGCAAGGGTTTTGTTTGTTTTGTGTCAAGTTTACTTTGCAATAAGATCAAGTATCCACAGCACAACAGAAAAGTCCCCAGCATATGCAATTTAGCATATTTTCTAAGGGATCTTTAGCAACCAAAAGTAGTTAAACAGATTCAGACTTTCGCTCGCAGAATGGAAAAACAGGGTGGGAACGGCAGAGCATGCCTGTGATCCCAGCACTTGGGAAACAGTCAGGTAGATCAATCATACAGGGTCAGCCTCAGCTCCACGAGACCCTGTCTCAAAAGCAAGCAAACAAGCAAATCTCTCAAACAGAAGAAAAGCATTCTAAAGGGGACGGCAGAAGCACATGTTAGTTCTAAGAATCGAATATCTAGTCATTAAAAGTAAAAGAGCATTGATTTAAAATTTACCACTATCTCGAATTCAAACCACATCAAGAGAGTTGGTAAAGACAGTGTTTATTAGCACAAATTGATGTGAAAATGCCTAAAATCAGGTTTATAAGGGCCTCCCTCATAAGGCTAACACCTTTCTTCTGCTTACTTCAGTCATGTGCAAACAGATGATGTCTCCTTTGGAGGGCTGCGCAATGAGACACCATCTGGGAAGCAGAGACCTTCCCCAGACACTGAACCTGCAGGTATCTTCTTGAACCTCTATCCCTCTGAGAAATAACTTCCTGTGAGAACTGTATTTGCATTGCGTATAAATCACCAGCCAGAGCAGCACAGACAGACCGAGTCAGCAGTCACTTAGCCTGCTGCTGTGGTCCAGGCGTTCTTCTAGAACCTGCAGCAATTTCTAGTTTCATTTTTAAGATTCTCACACACCAAAAAGGGAAAACACTCCTTAACTTTTTTATTTTTTCCTGGAAAAGGAAAGCAATTCAAAAGAGTCTCTAAAATTTTGCCTCTTCTCTCCAAAGTACCACGAAGATCTTAATCTCAGGTTTAACCAGTTGTCAGACAATTTCTTACAAGCAGAGAAATTCTGGAAAGTTTGATCTAAAGTAGAGGAACCTAAAGGCTGAGGTTCTAGACTAGAACATATCAGACAGGGTGTGGGTAAGTCACTGTGGTTTCTGGGCTTCTGTTTGTCTTGGATCAAAACAGTTACTGCCTTCTAGAATACTTTCAGGTCTGATTTTTTTTTTAATGAAAACCAAGGCGTAACACCCACTCCTGGATTAAAATAGAGCATCATGTAGACCAGATTTTGAAAGACTCTCTACTTAGCTGTATAATTTCTGCTAAAAATTATACATGTTGGTACTTTTTCTTTTAAAAAGTTGGCTTTTTTAAAAAGTGTTCTTAATTAAATAAAATCCACAGGAGAGGCAAGAGTCTTGCTGTTTTAAATTAAGGCAAAAGGGTTTAAATATGTTTTAACACTTTTAAAGAACAAACAAACTTTGATTATTAGGAGGTGCCTTGTTACACAAAGATTCTGGTATTTTTCTGTAAAACACAGACCTGGAGAAGAAGAAAGACGTGTTGGAAGAGCTTGTCATGTTGTGTCTATTTCATTTTATCCTCTAGATATAAATCATTTAACTCAAAATATAGACTTACATTAAGAACAAACAAGTCTTTTCTTGTTTAACCCACACTAGCACAAATGTTTTTTGCTTGGCTTTCAGGATAGTTTAACTGAAAAGGTAGATTTCTAATTGACAGTGGCCAAAAATGAATAGCATCTTGAGATATTTTAACTTCTCTCTTCAATTACATTTCAAAGGTTAAGGGTTTAGTTCACTGGTAAAACATACATTTTAAAGAAAACTGATTTAAAATGTGAAATAACAATGGCTTTTATATATATTCATATTCACTAATGTTGGCAAAGAGCCACTAGTTTAAACAATACCCTTGTTTTTATAGCAAATCCTCTGCTGTCTTATCATGATGCCCAGTTCAGTGTAAAAGTTCTCTGAAAAAAGAAACTAGATTTTTAAGTACTGCCAATGAACATTATAGCTCATGTGTGCAGACCTGGAGTTTCAAAAGATTTTTCTGCTTGTGTTTGGATGTATGGTGTGTGTGCATGTTCATGTATGTATGCATGCACGTGGGTGTACATGTGTGTGTGTATGCCTGAGGTTATATTGTGCATCTTCCTTCATCTATCTCTACCTGATATATTGAGGTGGAGTCTCTCTCCCCGAATGTAGAGCTTGCTGTTTCAGTTTGTCTAGCTAGCCAGCTTGTTCTGGGGATCCCCTGTCTCTGTCTCTTTAAAACTAGGATTGCAGGCAGCTGCCATGCCTGACAACTTTTTATGCCGGTTTTGGGGATGAGGTTCTCATAGTTTTGTGGGAGGGGCTTTATATGCAGAGACATCTCCCCAACTGCTGCAGTTTTAATGTAGTATATGAATCATGTAATGCTAAGGCTCTATATGAAATATATGGCTGTAATCTTTCTGACATCTAAGCAACCATTTCAATATCTGGACATTAAAGAGAGTAATATCCTCTTCAAAGTTAACAACCATGATACTATGCTCTATCATAGGTCAGACACTGTGTTCCTTGTAACTGTAAGAAATAAGAGGTGATATCCATGCTCAGAATGCTGCTCTTGGTTAGAGACCAGAAATTCAAACAGAAAAACTGCTAAAAATATGACAGTGAAAAACCACAGAAAGTATGACCCAAACACGGGGTGGGGGGGGGGGGGCAGGGTCATGTGGTCTATGGTGTGATCAGGGTGCTTCTGAGGAGGTGACAGGTGCCTTTGATCCCAAAGACTGAGCAGGGCTTGAGCAGGTCCCTGGCAGTCAAAGAGAACAGTCATGATGTAATGTGATGGAGTGAGGCAAAGCACAGAGAAGTCACTGGATAGAATCTCCTGACTATCTCAAGTGGTGGGGACTCTCTACCCTTTGTGCCATGAGAATCATAAAGATGACAACTAGAAAATACGACAGATGGCCAGGATGAGCATATCACTTGTGGTCATTTCATCTTTGAAACTAGGTCTCTAAAATGCCTGAGCAGTGATGTGGTTATTGGAATGAAGTTAGCATTTCTTGGTCTTTCTCAGCTAGATCTCAAGCGCTTCAACTGTGTCTAGCACCTAGGAAGCATTCAATAAAACTTACTGAATTAACAAACTAACCCACAAGACAAGACTAGTATGTTTAACATTGGATTTTTTTTCTCAAGGAGCTTATCTATTTTATATAGAAATAATTCTATTTTTAAATTGTGTTTCTTTGTAGTTATAATTCATGGTTTCTGATTAACACTTTTCTCTCTACTAGATCATGAGTTCTTTAAGGATAAACTCTACCACATTTCTTTTCGTATCTCTAGTAATAACAAGTAGGTTGTGTATAGCACTTACTAGTACTATTCTAGATGCATCACCTACATGAACTCACTCAGTTCTTACATTATCATTCCCAGTGAGAATGTGGGAAAATTGAGACAGAGAGAGGTTCAGCAATTTGCAAATATTCTGAGACTAGGAAGTAGGAGAGACAGGACTTGAACCTAAGAAGCTGTCTCTAGAATCCTTGCTCTTAAGCACATGCTGTACTGACTAGGGCAGATACTGGCATATCAGAGATGTTTGTTAGATGTTTGCTGAATGAATTTTCTCTCTTTGTAACTTACTGTTATATTACTATGAAAATTATCCCCACATGTAGAAGTAGAAATTTCCACTCCACAGAGGCCAGGATTGTCAAAAGTCATTTTGGTTATTTCTCTGAAAATTCACCTGTAAACCTCCCGAGCAGGAAGTAAAATTTCACAAATACTGTACAAATATATTTAAGTACCTTCTAGTTCACCAATTTTTTTGGCGAAGACTTTCAGTTGTTTTTTCAGTTTCCGGACAGTTTTATCCTGCTTTTCAAGCTGTTCCATCAAATCCTAAATCAAAGTGAGAATTATATCAGAGAGATCAGAACAGGCTCGGGACAGGCACGGGGAGCACAGACACAGTCCAGCAACAGCACTGTTAGTTGACATAAAAGCTGCGCAAGAGTCACAGTGGAGCCACCGCCGGGCTCTCGGGGCAGACAAGGGAGGTGCGGCTACACGGGGGCAATGCCAGAACACACTGCATACGTCCCTTTACAGCGTGATGGAAGTCTTCCCCAGACGCCTGTGCGAAACGACTCACGGACACAGTGACTTGTGAAGGGGGACTGAGCAAAGAGTCTTGACGAGCGCACAAGAGGTTCTGTGGGAGATCTGAGGACGGCTGCACTTCCGTAAAGACTGACGCTCCGTGTGCAAAGCACTGTTACGATTTACCAATTCTAAACTTAGCCTTAAAGCTTAAGAAACATAAAGAAGTCTGGGGAAACGAAAGGTAAGCTGAGCCAGATGTTGTGGCAAACACCTTTGATTCCATCACTGAGGAGGCAGCAGGGGCTGGGTCTCTGTGAGTTCACGGCTAACTGGGGTTACATAGCAAGACTCTGTCTTAAAAACCAAACCAAACTACAAAAAAACAGTAAGAAAAAGGATAAAGAGCTTCTGATACATAGCACAAAGGTGCACGCCTATAACCCAAGTACCTGGAATTCTGAGAGAGAATTCAAGGCCAGCCTGGGTTATACAGTGAGAGTGTCTCTGGGGGGAAAAAGCTGCCTCAAGGTGATGGCCCATGACTTTAATTCCAGCACTCAGGAGGCAGAGGCAGGTGGATCTCCATGAGTTTGAGGCCAGTCTGATCTACAGAGTGAGTTCCAGGACAGCCAGGGCTACAATAGAGAAAATAATGTCTCAAAAAAAAAAAAGAAAGAAAAAAGAAAAGAAAAAGAAAGAGGAAAAAAGAGACTAATTTTGCATGCCTAATGCAAAAAATGAGAGAGAGAGAGAGAGAGAGAGAGAGAGAGAGAGAGAGAGAGAGAGAGAGAGAGAGATCTGTACATTTAAAGCACAGGTAAGACGACATCTGTGACGACTGGCTCTATTTAGTAAAGACAGGCAGTTAGAACTCAGGAACTAAGAGGGAAGTGGACAGGACAGACTAAGAAGGCTTAGAAGGAACACGAGGTGGTGAAGATGACTGGCGGTTGTCACTAAGTTATCGAGAACAACTTTAGAAACCACTGGGTCATTCTCCAGCTGCACAAGAGTGGATATTCAGACGGCAGACTGGGGATTCAAGGGACCAGCTGCTAAGGTCCCCAGGGCTGGGCTGGGCTTCCATCACACTGTAAGCCTTGGGTTAAGATCGAACCACACACAGTGGACACAGGACACTGAATGAGACGGCACACTGGCTAAGGAGAGCTGTGGAGGTTGAGGGAGAGGTTTTGTGAAGACGCTGGAAGAGGCCTCCTGGGCAGCGGCAGGCAGCAGTGTGCTCTTCAGTTAGAGAAGGCTAGAAGTAGCAGAAGACAACGGAAAAGCACTGTGGTTTACATACAATCATCCTTTTGTAAAGTGAAATCCGATATGATTGATACTTCTTAGGGTCATCTGCATATAATTCCTCAAAATACTGAAAAAACAGGTACAATGGATATTTGTTTCTTGTGTTGTTGAGGGAATGCTACCTCTCAGCAAAATTAACTTAAAATTACTTTAAAACACAGGTAATGAAACTATATCTACTCACAAGTTCCAATTTATCACCTGCCATTACCACGTTTTTTTCTGGTATAGAGGAGTCTCGTATTTGCAGATCTAGTTAGCATGACCAGTGGAGACAGGTGACGGCCAGGATGCTGTCATTCAGCAGGTCAACAGAACAGGGGACCGTGGTGCCCAGAGAAGGCCGATGTTTCGGTTCCCAGCCCTATACTCCTCCCTCATTTGTGGTTCTCCCAAGCTGCTACACTGCTCAGCTACCAGCAGAGCAGCAAGGGCAAGGGAGGCAACACGATAAAAAAGGCAGGAGGGCTGTGAGCACCCCACTGCCATCGGGAACCATGGCGCCGGCGAGAGGCAGCATGGGGCAGACCTGTGCAGCCTGTGCACAGTGGAGAAAGGAAGCCATTCCCATGTGCATTGGCGTGTTGTGAGTACATGTGTGTCTGGGGGGTATGCCACGTAAAACTTCAGAAGCACTAAGCCTAGACATACGGTTGCCTTAATATTCTGCTCAAGTGCATCCTTAAAAAATGCATAATGAAGACTGAGAAACTCCAAGTAGTCTGAAAAGGCCTATCTTTCCATACACTTGAGTTTGATCATATTCTTTGAATTAGCAGTCAGTGTAATGGCACAAGTAGCTGATCTGCAAAGGGTAGCCTAAAACAAACTAATTAGAGTCTTCTATTTAGAGTGCAGGATTGATTGTTTCTGCATCAGGTACAAACTGTGCCAAGAATGTTAATAGTTCAGACAGGCTGTAAGGGCAGCACTTATCTTAGTGAACAAACTGAGAACCTACCACCCAGAAACAAACCTATTTCACAGATCACCTAGTGGTTTAGACAATGATTCAGAAGCAAAGAATCTGCACAGTGATCAATCAATATTATTCCACACATTGGTCAATTCTTAATCATCAAAAGCACTGTTAGGTATTTAAGCAACGAGAGTAAAGCACAACTTTTAAAGAACACTTTGTGACTCAGAAGGCTCCCCATTGAGTAGTACGGTTCAGTCACGCTGGAAGAGCCCAGACAACACCCTCACCCTCTTCTCCATTCCTACCATGGAGCTTCACACATAAGACAGACTGGAGAGAAAATACTCTGTGTTGGCAGTTATCACGAATGAAATTAGACCTTTAGAGAAATTCAAACGCTTTTATCACAGATCTTAAAAGGTGTTAATTTTTTCATGTCACTAAAGAACAGATTTTATGTAAAAATTGCAATTATAATATCTCACTGATTTTTTTATGCAGTAAGTATATCAGTAAAATTTACATAGATTTAAAAATTGCAAATATGTAATCAAAGTTATAATGTGATGGAGAAAGAAAAATTATAGAAAATAATTTTTTTTTCTAGGTAAAAACATTTTAAAGGAATGAGAAAAAAAAGGAAAAGTCTTTGGAGTCCATGTCAGCATTCAGAATCTGGTAAGGGGAAAAGCAAAAGTACCCTCCTTACTATTGTACAAGTTTTGCTTAAAAGAATAAAATGTGCCAACCTCAATACTAGGTCTTCTACCGTGTTTTAGAAGCTCTGTCCAGTGTCAACCCATAGTCCATGCTTAGTTCAACCAAGAACCTTCCCTGGCTTGTCTGCTGGACAGGCTGGATGGCATCCTCACTGGATGCGTGGGATCAAAGGAAAATAACCTGTAGCTGTATCTCTCTGGTATTTAAAGCCTAGCACATAGTCAGGAGACTTTCTTCCAGACACTACAGGTAAGGTCTGAGAGGGCTCAATTCTCCAAGAGACTGCTGTGAGAAACAGCCTGAGTGTAGTTTCATTACTTTGAATCATTTCTACCAACATATTCATGTTTCCCTTTCTGTCTCTATCAGAGACAGAAGAGCATCTTTCCCAACAAGGAAGAGCTGTGCTTATCCAAAAACAACACACAGCGGACTGGGGCACCACCACTCTGCTCACCAGGTTTTCGTTGGTCAGCCGTGTGATCTCATGCTGCAGGCTGGCCTCAATGCGGGCCTCGGGGGGCAGCTGCAGGTTCTGGGCCAGCAGCTGCTGTTGCCGGTTGTTCTCTTCCTTCAGGCTCTGGATCTCCCCACGGAGGGCCTCGGCCTCATTCTCATGGCTCCTCTTCTGCGACTGCAGCTGGGATTCCAAGAGCCTGCAGAGAGGCCACACAGGTTTGTAGGGGATAAAACACCCCAAGTTCACACTGATGGGTGTAAAGCTACATGTTCCTTTGCAGGAACAGGATAAGCGGATACTCTAGTGTCTGTGCATCTCCTGACTCCAATGTTATGAAACTCAAATGCCAGAAACATTGGCATCCTTTTGAATTGTATGAAGTTGTCCTTAAGTTGGCAAAGATAGTATCATTGCCATAAATAAATGAATAAATAAATAGCTGCATTGTAAAGGGCAAGATTACACACACCCAAATCTAATGAAATAGACCTTTAAAGCACAGTCACTAATTTCAGGCAAAGGTAGAACCAGAATCATGTTTTTAATATTGTCCAGTTATCCAAGAACAGACAGGCTGGTGTGTAATTACTTGGAAACCCATAGATTAACCCAAATGGAGTCTAGTAGTTCTCTAAGTGTGTGTGTGTGTGTGTGTGTGTAGACAGAATTGTCATCTCTCCCCATGAAATTACATATCTAACAGAATCCTAACAAGATACAGCTTTTGGACAAAGTTATAGTCAAGAATTAACTAACATGAAAAAAAGACACTTAATCCTGATTTCCTTTGTTATTAACTGCTGAGTAAAACTTACTCATGCCATTGTGAGCAAACTATTAATAGCAGACTAAAATATTTTAGTTATGAAATTTCAAGAAAGCTAGCCAACAACACGGAAGTTAATGCCACTGGTTATGGTTAGAACAAAGCCGAACAAGCAGAGCCCATTTAATAGGGTAAGGATTCTAAAGTTATAATCACTAAAATGGAATTTTTATGAGATTTTTAACACAGAGACCTCATTAGGGAAGATGAATGTGTTAAAGAGAGACACAGCTAATTCTATTTTTTTTTTTTTTTCTGGAAGTAAATTTCTGAGCTCAGGTGGTTATCCTGACTTTGGCTTTGGATCTCACAATAACCACAGAGACTGCTGAATCAGGCACCTGACTACACTTTTAGGCAGCATCACAATAATGAGAAAGTGGCCATATCTGTTACAGGAATGTGTATCCCAGACTGACACTTATTACAAATAAGCTACTGTCCAGGTCACAAGGACTAGCGGCCATGCTCCAATAACTTGTCCTAGAGAATCATAATTTTTAGACACTCACTCCTGACAGCACTGTGGGTTATATGAAGCAAGTTGTATTCACCTAAAATCAACTTGAGCCTTAGCAGTATCTGTTAGTAGAGACAATTTTAAAGAAGGTATTTGGCTGCAGATTCTACGTTTTATTGAGACTAATTGTCCAGGAGGGCAGTAAATGCACAAGACACACCGCATCAAAGTTGTGAGTCCTCTGTTAGTAAGGAAAACAGTTAATAACAATCCCCTTTGAGGAGACAGATATAACCTGTTGGCTTGTTTTAACCCTTCATAAACCAGCCAGAGCTCTCCATCCTCATTCAACTCCTGGTAATCCATAGCAGATGATCTTCCATGTAAAGGAACACAATGCAAAACACAAAGGGACACGGGATGGAAATGAGACGATGGTGGTCAAGAAAAGCACATAACATTCCAGCATTTTACTAAGTGGATAGGACCATTTTTAGTATACAAATGACTTTACATAATCACAAAATTACCTTGGTTAATTAAAACAAATGGGTAAGAAGTTGCATCATAGATAAATGAAGAAATGAAAAGAAATGACTGGAAAGTGAGACATTCAATTTCTAATGTTTCATGCGGCTAGCCAGATGACTTGTAATCAAGTATTACATTGAGGCTAACCATTACACATGTATGAAAAGACAAACTCTACGGCAATTTTCATAATCTATTTCAAAATAACAATTTCAGTTTTCTTGATAGGAATTTATTTCAGCATAATCTGATTCCCCATGTAAACTTTTACAAAAATTATTGTACAAATAACATCAGACAATATCCAAAGTTCTCAGCTTTTGACATGTTTTTAAAAAAAATTCATTTATTTAATGTATATGGTGCTCTATTTGCATATACACCTGCACGCCAGAAGAGGGCATCAGATCCTATTACAGATGGTTATGAGACACCTTGTGGTTGCAGGGAATTGAACTCAGGACCTCTGGAAGAGCGGATGATGCTCTTAACTGCTGAGCCATCTCTCCAGGCCCTTGACATGGTTTTAAATTTTTGGATAAAATTAAATTTAAGATCTGGAGAAACTGCCTTTATTTCGGAGGTGTATCTATCACCTCTTATTAAAATAGTGGAGTTTATAGACAACATTTATTTAGTAACAGTTTTCCTACCTAGGGTGTAAACAACACGTTTTGAGGATTTGCTAAATGTCAGATGCTGTTCTTCACTCTTTCACTACCTTATCTGTTCTCCCTGTCACCCACGTTGTATTAATAGATGGTAAGGAAGTATCTGAGTCCAGTGCCATGTGATTTGAGAGTCTAGGTTCTTAATCTTGACATACTTTTGTTACTACGTTACATAACATGAATTTGAATGAATTCTATTTTCAATTTACCATCTCTCTCTCTCTAAAGAGTTATTTATTTCAGAGGTTTCAATTATATTATTATATTCTTATGACTTCAAAATTTATATCCCAGGCCATGTGTATTGATTGGTATTATATATAACTCAACTGCTTAGTGGGCTTTCTCTCCCTGAATGCCTTCTTGTCTGCTAAAATTCAGTATGTGTGAATCCATTTATCACTCTACCCTGGTCTCATGATCATGAAATGGCATCAGCACATCCGAGTCCCCACAGCAGAAACTGCAAGCTTCTCTAGAACCCTCTCACACACCCAACAGACCACAAGGTTTATTGACCTCATCTTCATACACATCTTTCAAAATTTCCCACTTCTTTCATCCCAAATGTCATCACACAAGCTCGCGCTGCCATGACCAGTCAATGGATTATGGCAAAGCCTCTTAACTGCTATTGTGCTTTCAATCTTGCTCCATTACAATCATTCCTCTATTTAAAACGATTCTTTCTAATATCTTTAGACTAAAACTCCACCACTCTCAGTCATTTCTCTAAGGAGCCTGTAACCTCTGTGAGAAGGAACTGTGTTTGTCTGTCTTCTGCTAGGTTCCCATTATGTGGCCTAGTGTCTGGCATGAGGTAGGCACATTTCAGACCTGGTGATGGAACAGGTGAGTGGATGGATGGACAGCATACTACTACCCTTTCTATAAGATGTTCTTTTTGTTTTGTTTTGTTTGAGACAAGGTTTCTCTGTGTAGCCCTGGCTGGCCTGGAACTCACTATGTAGACCAGGCTGGCTTTAAACTTACATAGATCTGATTGTCTCTGCCTCCTGAGTTCTAGGATTAAAAGCATATACCACAACAGCAGCCAGGCTAGTAAGATAATCTTAAATATAAAAGTTTATAATTGGGCTGGAGAGATGGCTCAGAGGTTAAGAGCACTGCTTGCTCTTCTGAAGGTCCTGAGTTCAATTCCCAGCAACCACATGGTGGCTCACAACCATCTGTAATAAGATCTGGTGCCCTCTTCTGGCCTGCAGGGATACGTGCAGACAGAACACTGTATACATAATAAATAATCTTTAAAAAAAAAAGTTTATAATTAATTCATTAAATTTACATTTAACCAAGTACCTTTAAAATGTACCTCTGTACCTTTGCCTGTAAATAAAGAACTATCTTATGTTTTGTAAGGTATATACATATATATTTAATTTGTGGGTATTTATGTGTGTCAATCCTGGAGCTGTGTCATCAAGATAGGATACTAGGAGACTCCAGAACGGTCTTTCACTACAGGCCATGCTCCCTCAAAATGGTCCAGTGTGTAATTTTTTTCTGTTTAGAGTACAATGGCACTAAATCTCTATTCAGAAATAAGGTTGGCAGTAAGCCTGAAAATTGAAGGTATGAGTCTCCATTCTCCCATCTTCAAAGTTGTGGCTTCTAGAGCTATATGGCTCCACTGATGGAATTCCAGGCACATACATCTCCACTTCTCTTCATGCTACATTTCAATTGTTGAACACTGTAGCTGCCTCTACGAACCTTCAAATGGCCATCTTGAACAACACCCTTACTATGAAAGGATCTACCCAGGACAGCCTAAACTGAGCAGTGGGTTTTCTTCTCCAGGAAGCTTAAGGCCAAGGCCCTTGACATAAATATCTTCCTATAATGTGAATAACATTTCCTTTGCCACCAATCATCAACAATTACCTGATATTATGAATGGGATTTTAAGGTGGTTTACACCAGAAACCTTAGGTTCTTCCTGAAGATTGGCTGATGTCTAATAAAGCAATGAGTCAGCACACTGACTTCCTGAATAAGAGGTTGGCTTGAAGCCTCAAATTCATACAGTTAAACCAAGGTGGATGAAAGGATCAACTTACCTGTTGGTTTCTTTCAAACCAATATATGCTTGTGCGATTTCACCTTTGTCTTTCATTTTCTGTACATCTTCCAAAAGTATTGTGGAATCTGTCATGGTGTTCTGAAGGGAGAAATGACACATTTCCACATGAAGGCTCAACTCAGTAGCTGGGGATCACATATAACACATTCTTTTCATCTCAGGCCTTAGTGGGTAAGGGCACTTGCCACCTAGCCTCATGACCTGGGTTCAATCTCTAGAATCCATAGGGTAGAAAGAATCTACTCCCATAAATTATCATCTGACATTCATGTGTTTGCTTATACAAACACATGCACTCTCTCTCTGGTATGTGCACACACACACACACACACACACACAAACCAAAAACATTAAATAAAATTACTAATTTATTGTCTTTAAAGAAAAACAACTTTAGCACCCTTAAAGGTTCATTCTCTTTGTCTAAGAAACATGTCTAATCTTTCAATTTTTGTTCTAAGCTAGGTGTGGCGACTTGTTGTTCAATTCCTAGATGGTCTTTTAATAAACAACCTGGAGTCAGATATCAGGGTGAAAGCTGAAGGATCAGAGAAGCAGAGCAGCCAGGCACTAGTTCTTACTGCTATGAAATCCTCAGCCTAAAGAAAGTGAGTTCTGTTTCCTCACACCTTATACACCTTTCTCTGTCCAGACATCACTTCCTGAGATGAAAGGCCTGTGTGCTTTCCCAGTACTGGGATTAAAAGTGTGTACCACCACTGCCTGACTCTGTTTCCAGTATGACCTTGAACTCACAGAGATCCAGACGGATTTCTGCCTCCCGAATGATAGGATTAAGGGCGTGTACACCACTGCCTGACCTCTGTCTAATCTGATGGCTGGCTCTGTCCTCTGACCCTCAGGTAAGTTTATTAGGTACACACAATATCACAGTGGCTCATGCCCAGGCTGTCCTCAGACTCTTGACCTTCTGGTCTTCTTGCCTCATCTTCCTCAGTACCTGGATCATAGGTGTGCACCACTGAACCAGCCCAGCTTATGGAGTGCTGCAGATCTAACCCAGGGCTTTGTGCATGCTAGGTAAGCACTTTACCAGTTGAACTACATCCCTGGCCCCAAATAAACATTTCTTTAGCTTTATTTTATAAAGTGTATATATTTAGTATATTTCAGCTAGTTTAATTTTTTTCCCTGAAGGAAAAAAATTTATTTGATAAAAATCTATTTGATATTCTCATTTTTAAGACCTATAAATATGATTCACAATGACTCAAGTTTTTTTTTTTTAATCAAATAATGATACATTGTACTTGAATATCCTAGGACTTTTCTGGGGTGTTTTTCAACGTCTAGTAAATTAGGTTACTTGATCTATTCAGCTAGCATGAAGACAGGGGAAGATGGGGTCTCCATTTGCTGGTGTCCTGGGGAACGAGCAGCTGGTTCTTTCCTCATTCTGCCTGTCTTGGGTATAGTATTTGGGAGACAGGGTCAGATCTGTATTGCAGCACCAAGAAGCTTTTGTCCCACTGTTCTATGTGGCTCCCACATGAAGCTCTGAAAAGGCTGTATCATATATGAAGCACCCTACTATCGCTCAACAGTTGACCCCAAGATGAGTAGAGAAATTCAACTGCAACTTCACAGGAGCTACCTTTTAGTCTAGCTACGGGCTTTGCCCTTAGGGAGGGAACGTGGCAGTAAAGAAGGCCTGCTCAGCTCTTCCATTTCTCCTCCACCTTGTTTGCTTTGGTATGAATGCATGCCTGGGAGAACTGTCCATTTAGGAGTGCTCTAAGTGAAGGGCATTTCCCCCAACTTCTGCATGACCCCAGAGCTACACTAGTGAGTCACAGAGGTGACTGTGAGTGAAAAGTCATACAGGAAATTAGTCAGTAAGAAAGAAGCAGGGCATGGCAGCTTACACTGTGCTCAGAGCACTCAGGAGGAGGAGGCAGGACGACATCTTCAACTATACAGTGAGTTTGAGGCCAACTTGGGCTCTATGAGCTCCTAAGGCAAAAAAGGTAAAGGGCTAGAGAGATGCAGCAGCACTTAAGAGGGAGGGTTCAGATCTCGCACCCATGCAATAAGCTAGACATTCCACATATGTCTGTAAGCCAAGTTCTGAGGGGTGGAGCCAGGGCCCTGCTGGGCTTCCTGGCTTCTAGCCGAGGTGAGGAAATAAAAGCCATCTCTACCTCAAAGGAACAGATGGAGAGTGATGGAGGAGGGCACACAATGCCCTCTTGGGGCATTCATTTCCACATACTCACATAAACACAAATAATAAATCAATCCATCTTAGAAAACAGTACAAAATAAACTAGACCTGGTCACAAAGCACCAGCTACATTAACTGAGGAGACCTGCAAGCCAATGTTAGGATTAAACAGAAGTACTTATTAAATATTAAAAATATGTATAATTACCTTGTCATCCTGAAAAATCACATGTTGGCAAGCACAAAAATGCAGAAAACAATAAATCTTTAGCTTCATGAACAGATACATTCACTGAATCCAGACAAGAGTTCATTTAAAAGCTAGGACTTGTTTCTTCTAAAACTAACTCTAAATGCATTAGCATTCACAAAACTGTCAGAAGGTAGACATTGATATATATGTCTGAGATAGGAACTCCTATTTTCTTTTCTTTTTCTTTCTTTTTTTTTTTTTTTTTTTTGGTTTTTTGAGACAGGGTTTCTCTGTGTAGCTTTGGAACCTGTCTGGAACTCGCTCTGTAGACAGGCTGTCCTCGAACTCACAGAGATCCGCCTGCCTCTGCCTCCCGAGTGCTAGGATTAAAGGTGTGCGCCACCGCTGCCCAGCTGGAACTGCTGTTTCTAATGCTTAAGTTCTTTTCTGAGTTGTTTTGTTTTGAAATATTCCTGGTTGTAAAATGCTTGCATGTATGAAAGAATGACTCTGCTGTTGATATATCTGGGTGAGATTTCATGCTAGGTCTTTGAAGAGTTCAAGCAGTGGGCACTGGGAGGGCGACTGTCCAGGAAAGCCTCCCAGAGCTCTCTGGAGGTGGAACAGACAAACCAGCGCTGGCTGTGCTAACTCACACCCTAGCTCACTATGTGTTCACTATTGTTCACCACTGCCTTGAAAACAAGAAACCGAGGAACTCAGGATGACAAACAGACACAGGTGTTCAGAAAGTGTCAGTACACTGCGCACCTCCAGAACAGGCAGGGTGTGCTACACGGAGGCCGGGGCTGGGCAAGCAAGGACTGTGTTGAGATAGGGCCAGCTCATTATGTACAACAGCTGTCACATGGGCTACGTGAACTTAGTGAGTGGGCAGGTATGTAACCAAACTATGTGCTCTACTAGTGAGGTTGGATTTATGCCCTCTGCTTTATTTTTATTTTCCAATCTCTTAATTTTCACTAAAGCTTCCTATGAGAATATCCATTGTACTCCACAAATACATCCAACTATTTGTAAATTTAGAAAGAAAAAGAGAGACTATCAGTTTGCTGAGAGAGAGAGAATACTGATTTAGTCTTTGTCTAGGAGGCATACAGGGCTTTCTTTTCAAGGCCAGCCTGTTCAAGTCTTGGAACCAGATGAGACTGAACCAAGAAAGGTGACAGTGTGTAGACGCTTTCTATTGACTCCATGAACACAGCCCTTCCTACCTTCTCCCTAGTAAAGGGAGCTCCTGGGAGTGAACAGGAATCATCTCCATGTAATCTCCATGAACCGATTTCCTTTCTAACCATTTTGTTACATTTACACTTATGCAGGCCAATTCCAACAAGTAATTTTAGTTAGACTTAATGCCTCTTTATACCAAAATAATTTGTAGATTTTCATATTCAATGTATTTTACTTTAGTTCAGAATATATTGAGGCAAGATTACTACAAAAGTATTTTAAAAGAAATCCTTTGATTGTGAGAAATAAAACTTTGAAAGACACTTTGGAATCCAGTGGCTTTTGCAACTGCCCTTTTCATTACAAACTGGAGGAAAAACGTAAGGAGAAGTGAAAACCAGTCCCCATGCTTCATACTCAACATGTACACATAAGCTTACTTTGGGTTGGATGGCTTCTTTCTGGCTCACCAGCTGAGACCGCAAGATGAGGACTTCCTCCTTGCGGACATCGAGCTCCTCGCTCACGGAGGTCAGCTGTTCCATGAGGACACGGTAGGCAGGAGCACCTGGTGCAGTCACTTCGGGGGCGCTTTTCTCACTGAGAGCTTTGCGTAACTCGTTCAGCTCATTTTTCAGTTTTTTGTTTTCTGATTCCAGTTCTTGACGCTGAGTGAAAAGACAGACAAATTTACTGTGGCCGTTTGAATGAAAGGTGCCCCATAGGCTCACAGGGACTGCCACTATTGGGAGGTATGGCCGTGATGGAGTAGGAGTGGCCTTGTTAGAGGAAGTATGTCACTAGGGGTGGGCTTAGAGGTCTCAGATACTCAAGCCCAGTCAATGTGTCATAATCTTTTCCTGCTATCTTTGGATTTGGATGTAGAACTCTCGGCTACCTCTCCAGAACCATGTCTGCCTGTGTGTACCATCCTTCCCACCATGATGACAACGGACTAAACCTCTGCACTGTAAGCCAGCCCCTTAGTGTTTTCTTTAATAAGAGTTGCTGTGGTCATGGTGTCTCTTCACAGCGACAGAACACTGACTAAGACATTTACTGCTTCATTCTCATCTTTACATTGGAAAACTGAACCTCGCCTAAGCGACGGAAGAATTCTACCAGAAAGGACATCAATCTCCACTCTTAAGTAAGTGTGACATCAGTGGGACTGAGCAATGTAAATGATAGTTTGCATCACCAATTCCAATTCAGCGGCAAATTGACTCTGATCTGCTCAGGGAATACTCCCAGATGCAAACTGCTGAGTCCCAATCCTGGGAAGCCCAGGCTTTGTTTGGAGGTAAATGTAAGGGCAAACCCAAGCATACAGCTGCTCAGGATATTCCCAATGACTGGGTCATCTGGGCAGACCTCTGGAAACCTCAGCAGGGCTCTCTTTCAATCTACTAATTAGTAATCAGTTTTGCATTGTTCATTTTGGGAACAGAAAACAAGGCAATGTCTTTACTTTGGTGCTGAGACTCTGATACAATGTGTCCCCAACTTTAACATGTATCACAGCCATTTGGAGTTCCTGTTGAAACACTTATTTCTAAGCCCCAATTACAGGATTCTGACCTTATGTCTAGTGGTGTGAGGGCTGAGAATTTTGTACTTCCAACAAGGAACTAGGCGACAGTGACTGTGATAATATAGGGGTGAACTTTGAGAACCACTCACCCAATACAGAACGAATCTGGGCTTCACTCATACTACAGAAAACACTTTCACTTATCTATGTTTCTGTGAGGCAGGGGATGTTTTGGAGAGCAGACTGCTACCCTATGCCTTTATCTGCCCCTCAGCGTTAATTAGATGTTTATGGTAACAGATGGGAGGGAGCATTTGAACCAAGTAGTCTGATTCTAGAGTTCACAATCTTTATAGCTGTAGCTTGAGGGGCTGCTACCTCCTGTTCCTGTTCAGAGTGAAGTCCTATTAGATGAAATAGAGTTTGTAAAAAGAAACAACAGAGGCTGGAACTAGTGCCCGAATCAGATAAGCTAGAACCTTCAGCTAAGGATGTTCTCAGAGAAAAAGACAAGTTCTTGGTAGCTTTCTTGTCAAAACAAAGTATACAAAGTTTTGGGCTGAAATTTTCAGTACCTTGAGGGACTCATATTCCAGTTCTGCACCTCTAATTTGTGGTCTTTCTTCCTCCTGGGGAGAAAAATAAAATAAAAACTTTGTATTTTAATTGTCAAGGTTTTACTATTAGAACGTTAGCTGCTGTACAAAGGGCTGTGAAGTGTCGAAGTGAGTGCCGCCCAGCTAAGGAACTCAGGGACCACAGAATGGGACAGCCTTCCCTCCCTCACTGCTGCTCACCTTTGCCTTGCTGCGGAACACCTGCTCCTCCTTTCTGTCCAGCTCATCCTGCAGTATCTGCTTCTCCTGCTCCAGCTCTGTGACACGCTTCTGGAGCTTAAGGAACAATGACATGTCCAGAGGCACCTTCTTCTCACTTGGCTCCTAAAACCCAGAAATTGTAAGAATCAAGTAAAGTCAGAGACTCACAAGCCAAAGAGAAAATGGTAAAAACAGTTCAATAGGAAAACAAACTCACAAAAGAAGTGTAGAACAAAACAAAAAACATGTTCACCCTTGCTAACGATTGGAGAAATAAATACAAGTTAAACAATAGTAAGGGATTACTTCTCTCTTACCTGACTGGCAAATAGCCCACAGGTGGCATTTCAAAGTTAATAATGTCCCATATTAGCCAACTGTGTCCCCTATTATACTGGTGGCATATGAATAAGCCTGTGGAAATCTGCGTGCATTTATTACAGCTGTAGATGTATAATAATATCTACCCTAGCACATCTGTTCAAGAATTAAGACTACATGGCTGGGAGATGACTCAGAAGCAAAAGTGCTTGCTGTAGTCATTTTCCAGTTATCTGTCTAACTGCATAGCCAGGTGAACCACCAGCTTAGGCTTTGTCTTCCTGATGGGCAATGAGATGGTTTCTAATTTCTCAATACACATTCAAGAACATAAATATCTGAACATAACCCTTGGCAGTCTGGTGGGCTGGGGCAACTTCTACTTACATCAACAGCTACATCATTCCTAGGACAATGGTCACTGCTGTAACTCAACAAAGAAACGTTTTCACCTCAGTTGATTGCCCAAAGGTGGCATTTCAATGCTGTCTTAAATTTTATTCTCTGGCTTTTCCTAAGGTTAAAGGGTGCATGTATGGAGGTCACAGAACAACTTGCAGGAGTTGGTTCTCTCCTTCCAGAATAAGTTCTGGGGCTTGAGCTCAGGTCAGCAGGCTTTACATTGAGTACTTTAACCAGTGAGCTATTGTGTTGGCCCACCAAAAACACCTACAAGTACTTAAATGTTCCATTTAAATATCTTAATATCTGTTCATTTATTAGTGATGCATATGTTCCTGAAACTTTAACTTTCAAACCACTGTAACAGGATCCTCCATTCTATAAACAAACATAGTACTTCACTCTCGGCACGTGAAATGTTATTAACTGGAAATTATTCCTTTGGGCTTTGGGCATGTAAAAAGGAATCTTATTAAAATAGGATTGGGTAATTTCTCGGCTCTCAGTTAATGCTATATGCAGAATCCACTGATTGCTAGGTGAGAACGAAATTCTACAGCTAGGAATAAGAGAACAGGAAAAGGCAGGGGCACAGAAGGTAATACTTGCCAAAACACAAAATAACTTGAGCTGTGATGAATGGTAGTCACTTAAGAGTGCTAGATGGTGTCCTTAGTGCCAGTGGCATATCTATTTCTAGCAAGGTCATTTGACTTCTCTGATCACATAGGAAAGGAGGAAGAGTGGGCCATCTGGAGGAGAGGAGTTGTGGGGTCTTATTTTCCTTCCCTTTTTTAGTAAGGACTTTGTCACCCAAACCTGGAGTATGAGTGAGTGAAACTTTGGTATTAACCTTAAAACAGTCTCACAACTGAAGACAAAATAATAGAATCATTAATGAAATTACCACCACTGGTTTTAATTTAATTTTGAAATTATCCTACCACAGCTGAGCAAGTCATGGTGGTCCTTTCCCCAGCTGGGAAGCTGTGAGGAAGCTCAGGGAAAAAGCAGGACTCCAACAGCCTATAGCAGCATGGAAAAGCAATGGTTTCAAACCAGCACACAGCAGCCTTAGACACTGTGAGGACTCCAGGGCAAATGCAGGCAGCAGCTGAGTTCTCTGCAGAAACCGCCTGGGGTCCCACCATGACAGAGACAGCAAAGAAACTACTGCTATAAGGCTTCCATTTAAATGTATACTGTGGGACTGGGAATACTGCTCAGTGATGGAGCACACGCTTGTCACATACAGAGTTCTTGGTTCAATCCTACCACCCAAACAAACAAAAACTAGTACATGTATTGTCAAAAACATGTGCAATGGGTATGCATATATACAAATGATTAAGAATACATAAGTCAATTATTAGAAATGTTGCCTATCAACAGAAGCAAGCACATCTTACTTCTAGTGATAGATAAATGTACCTCTGTCCTTGGTGCAGTGTCTTCAGTTTCTGCAAATTCAGAGCTGAAGGTGTATTCAGACTCATTGCTGCTGTGGGTAGAGTCCGTTCTCTTGTGTCCTGGCTTAGGCACATTCTGTGAGGTAAATAATAACCCAAAGACAATTCATTTAACATAACGGAACAGTGCACAGTGGAAACAGCATCCACAACGTCTTCATTACAATCTCTACTCAGTAATTTGCACTGATGGCCAAATGTTCAAGGGTTCCATCTTAGTTTGACCAAGTTCTTATAAGCAGGTGGTCTCCGCAATGAGAAAGGCGTGCCAGCATGGTAAGAAAACCACATGGCCCAATGTAGATCACCTGTGACTGTTGGCAGAGTCCCCAGGGTCTCATGTACAACAGTTTAGCTTTGAACTCACTCTGTAGCTAAAGATGACTTTGAATTTCTGATTACTGGGACTGATTCTAGAGTTCACAATCTTTATAGCTGTAGCTTGAGGGGCTGCTACCTCCTGTTCCTGTTCAGAGTGAAGTCCTATTAGATGAAATAGAGTTTGTAAAAAGAAACAACAGAGGCTGGAACTAGTGCCCGAATCAGATAAGCTAGAACCTTCAGCTAAGGATGTTCTCAGAGAAAAAGACAAGTTCTTGGTAGCTTTCTTGTCAAAACAAAGTATACAAAGTTTTGGGCTGAAACTTTGTATACTTTGTTTTGAGTACTGGGACTACAGGCAAGAGCTACCACACTCTATGAGTTCTGAGAATGGTACACAGGCCTTTAGATCCATGCTAAGCAAGGAGTCTATCAACGGGACTTCTTCAAGGCTCTCTCTTTTTTTGTTTGTTTTTTTGTTTTGTTTTTTTTTTCCCTAAAGTTTTGAGTTATTCAGCCACTCTGTTCAAGTAATTCTTTGTGTTGTGATAAAATAAAAGTTACAAGAAAGTTTATAAATTACACTGAATGACAGACATAACCATTCATTACATGGTAATTAAGTATACGTGGTTAAAATAAAATAAAATAAAAAATAAGTAGGAGTTATATAGGTGACTCTAATTTCTATCACTTTACACATGACATCCATCTGTGGAGTAAGCAGTGAGGATTAGAAAGTGCAGGGCAGGTAAGCTAGACGCTTGCAGAATTCACTGAAGACCCCTGAATCATGACCATGATGATTCAGGAGATCTGGAAGATACTTTTAGGGCATAGATACCATATCAACCAGTGTTTAGAAAACTCATAGGGAATGAAGAAGCAAATCGGGACAGTCTACTGTACCTAATACACAGAAAAGGCTCAAAGAATCATTTTGTTTCCACTGTTACTCAGGAGTTTTCTAAGTAACCAGTGGCCTCCAAAGTATCCAGTAAGATCCAGAGCTTAATTCTAAGTATAACTGAAACACAGATTAAATGTAAAGGTTGGTACAGTTGTCTAATACATAGAGTAAATAAAAATACACCAAAGAATAGAACGGTGGGGACCAAGAGCACTGAGAGAGAGGAACCAGATGCTGGGAAAGCTGAAGGGGACAGAATATGAAAGGGAGGGGGGGGGGTTCGAGAGGACCTACCAACCTGGAAGCCAAGGAAGCCAAGGCTCAATCAAGGTTCTTCCGAGCTGCCAACCAGGGATCACAGCGACCCACTCCTACTGTAAACGGTTCCTTGTAGATTAGTAATCCTTACAGATTGGTAAAGTGTAGGGCAATCATCTACTATGGGATTTAAATGTGCTTTCTAGCTTCCCTTACACCAGGCTTTCTCATCTGTGAGCCTTGCAAATATTAGTTTTATGTCATGTTTTAAAAATCTCTGCCAAGCAGATCTTTCTATCAAAAAATTTTGAAGTAAATATTCTTTCCTATGGGCACCAACTTAGTTTGCTTTTTACAAGATCTATTTCAGAGCATTCTAGCCACACATACCATTAGGTTACCTTTTAGGAACAAGAGAGCCAGAGAAATCAGTTTCCTGACAATAAGTAGGACAGCTCTACGTGTGGAAAGTGCATTGGCAAGGACCAAAGAGCCCTTGACACTGTTAACATAAATTATTATTATCAGAGACTGAATTTTCTCGGTATGAAAATTTAAATTGGAAATTATAAGCTCCAGTGAAGAAAATAGTTATATAAAAATAATATAAATATACAAAATTTACATTGTCATTTAATGTAGGAAGCACAATCATGATAATCTGATTTTATACTACTATATAGCCCCATCTTTAAGTATCTGACTTTACTGAAGTATTTATGGATAAAACTGCATGATTTCTGGGATTTACTTTAAATAATATAATCCATGAAGTGGGGAAGGTGGTGAATAGGAGAGAAAACAGATACATTGACTATTAGGGAACTGGGTGATAGATATATTGAGGTTCACTCTATGATTCTACTTACTTTTATATATGACTAAATATTCTCATCTTAAAAAAAAAAAAGCAGAAGCCAGGTATGACGGACCATGCCTATAATCCCCAGGAGGTAGAAAATAGAAGGATCATGGGCCTAAGGCTAGCCTGGGTTACACAGAAAGACTCTTTAAAAAACCAAGTGTTGGACTGACTCACCAGCATCAGGGTCATCTCCTCCTTGAGGTCGTCATAGCGCTCCTCCAGACGACTGAACTCATTCAGAAGGTTCTGGTACCTCAGCCTTTCATCATTCAGGTCAATCTCCAGCTGTTTTGTCTCTTCTACTAACTTCTTCTCCATAGTTTCTGAAATAAACAAGAGGGTATAGAGGATAGGGCCCGGATAAAGGGTGACAGGTGACACGTCAGGCCACAGAGGTGGCAAGAAAAAGCCCTTGAAGCAGCCCAAAGAGACAGATGAGGAAGCTGGGCCTTCCATCAGAAGCCAAGGGATAAGAGAAGAAACTCAGGGGCTAAAAGCAAATGTCCCTGGGAAGGGCCCCTGGCCACAGGTGAGATTAGGAAATCAGTTAAAAAACAAAACAAACAACAAACAAACAAAACAACAACAAGCTGTTCCTTATGCCAGAGACGATGGCAATTCCATTCTTATTTATCATCTAGATTCCATCATTGCATCCTTACTCAACCTAGAATGAAGTATTGCCTAGGAATCTGTTTTACATTATAATAAACCTTTTCAGAACTAAACAGAACAAAAACAATCCCCCCTCAAAACTGGAAGGGGAATATGTATACATAGGTGACTCCATAGAATTCAAGAATGTAAACAGGTATGCTGACTTCCGTTTCTCTTAGTGGAATTGAACTTTTAGCCCCATGAGAGAGTTTTGTGAAGGCAGGAAGAGAAAGAAGCATAATCCAAATTAAATTTCTTACAAATGACAGCGCTCATCTATGGAGCTCTCCATGTACTATAGCTTTGGTCCCACTAGTCCATGCACTGGTTACAACACATTCCTATTTGCTTATTTTTTTGAGATAGTCTTGCTATGTAGCCCTGCCTAACCTGGTATGACTGCATAGTATGCATGCATGCATGGCTATACAGTCCATCCTGCTTCAATTTCCTCAGTGCTGGGATTATGGGTGTGCACCACTACACCCAGATTACAAGAACTTCTGGATAAACTTCCACTACGTACTAGTCTAGTAAGCAATAACAAATAAACTAATATATATATATATAATATATATATATATTTACATAGTATTCTCTTAGGTAATTCATGTAAGTATTGGCACATATATTTTTATTCAAATAGTGTTGTTTTAGGATATTCATAAAATCCAATAAAAAATTTTTTTGTGTGTGTGCATGTCACAGCATACATGTGGAGGCCAGAAGACAACTACTTATGGGAATCAATTTTCTTCATTCACCATGTGGCCCAGGGATTGAATTTAGGTCCTTAGGCCTGGAAATGAGCCATCTTATTAATAAATTCTGATATTCATAAATTATTTCAGCTAAATAATGATTCAAAAAGTCATTCTTCAAGAGAAGGGTGACTTTTAAGGGACTTGCCCTCCTACTCTATATTTGTCTGTGTGTCTCAGTCCCATGTTCTATCATATAATCTCATAGCCCTGTCATCCTATTACCCCTCTACTTCTAACTAGATGACTGCTTAGGCTCTGCCCACGGTGCTAATTACTTCTGTGCCATCTCTCACGTGTTGCTTAAGTATCCTAACTTTTCCAGTTCCCCACCTCACTGCCTTTTCTGCCAGTAGCTTGCTCTTGGCTGGACATGGTCTGGAGATCAGAGATTAGCCACTGACTACAGGTAATTAAAAAAATAAAGCAGCTATGTGTGGAGGCTCAGTAGTCAAGAGTACTGGCTGCTCTTCTAGAGGACCTAGGTTTAATTCCAAGGACCCACATGGTGGCTTACAACCTGTAACTTCAGTTCTTTGGGATCCAGCTCCCTCTTTGGACCTCCACAGTCACCAGACATACACATGGTGCACAGATATAAATGCAGACAAAACACCCATACACATAAGATTAAATTAAGTTAAAAAAAATACTTCTTAAAAGAAGGTATACAGTGTAACCCAGTAGCTCAACCAATTACTTTTATAATGTAATTGGTCTCCTACCAATATGCTCTTTGTATTCTTATATTTGGGGGTTAGTTTCAAACTGCCCTAGCTGATTCTATTGCTCTGTCATTTAACTCTCTGCCAGCTCCATGAGTCAAGGGATGCAAGAGTCTGTCACTACTGTTTCCTTGATGCCTTCCACAATGCTTTCCTAGGGGAGGGATTCCATAAATTATGAATTAATAAATGAGAAAATTTTCAAAGACATTCTATATATTATCCTTTATTCCCACCAGTTTATAGAAGCTAGTCCAAGTCTTCCAACAAAAATTTCAAGACAAATCCATTCTTACTTCTTCATTCCTATAGTCAATTTCAAAAAATATTGTATATTTCCTTAGAAATGTTTCCATCATTCTGGATCCTTCCCTGACAATCTGCATCCTGGAATCCTTCTTTCCATACTATTTTCTTTTGCCCCTTTTAACATTTTCCTTTGGCTTCTTGTCCTCACCTTATTTTTAAGTTAAGGTTATTAATTCCAGGACGCTTCTTGTTCCTCTACATCATCTTTAATTGGATGGAAGAGATCATGTGAGGGGAAGTACAGAGGGCTCTTATCACCATGGTCTTAAGGGAAAACTTCTGACTCATTCCTTACTATCTCTCTAATCTTTACTCTGGATTACTTTCACAATGCCTCCATTTGTTACTGTGATAAAACACGGACTAAAACCTACTTGGGGAGGAAAGGGTTTTATTTAGCTTACAAGTTACAGTCTGTCTTTGAGGCAAACCAGGGCAGGAGCTCAAGCAGGAACTTAGAGGTAGGAAATGAAGCAGATGCTGCTTACTGGCTTGCTCGCAGGCTCACATTCAGCTCCCTTTGTTTATACTGTCCGCACCCATCTGCCTGGGGATGGTACCACCCACAGTGGACTGGGCCCTCCTACATCAGTTAGCAATCAAGAGACATGCTAATAGGCCAATCTGATGGACCATTTTAATCAACCCCACAATCAATGAATAGAATAAATGTGCATATCTACTTAGTTCTTTATCTTAAAAATTAGTCTTCATTTTTAGTTTGGTAGCAAAAGGAGTTGAACTTAACAGGATGGCACCCACTGTTTTAGTAAAATATAAATTAAAAAATAAGTGAGGCCCAGAAAGACAAACAGTATATGTTAACAATTAATAAAGATGCTTTTAAAAAACTGATTGGATAGAAAAGAGTTATACAAAAAATGGTCACCGGGACTGGGAAAGCCAGAAGAGGAGGTTGGAGAGAAGTTAGATAAAGGTTCCAAAGCACAGCTGGGTAGGAGAGTGGGAAGGTTCCCCATAAGTACAAATGACAGATTTTGAGGAGATGAAAATGTTGGTTGCCTTGATTTGATCATTACACATATACCAATTATTGTACTGTTCCTACAAATATTTCCAATTACATCAGTTTGAAAATATGCGAATAGCCAGGTGTAGAGGCACATTTGGAAGGGTGAGGCAGGAAGATCTCAAGTTCCAAGTCAGACTTGACTCAAAAAAACAAATGCACGTGTGTGTGTGTGTGTGTGTGTGTGTGTGTGTGTGTGTGTGTGTGTGTGTCTGTAAAAGGACACACACACACACACACACACACACACACACACACACACACACACATTGACCCATAAATTAGCTCAAGAATTCTTATTAGATCAGTAAGAATCCTGTAAGCTAAAACTCATACATACAAAGCAAAGTTTTAAAAGCTACACATGTTATTACTGAATAGCTTCACATTAGTACATAGACACCAGAGATCAACTTCATAAGTTGACTAATTTTACTAAATATTTGGGACTCTTGCTTGTAAACGTAGATGACAGCCAAAACTTTAAATTTTTTTTTCAGCTCTAAGCAATACTGTGTAACTGGTAACATAATGTCAAACTTATAAAACCTAGGTTTGAAATTGGTTGTTTTTTGCTAGGTTGAACTGACACAAACCTTACCTGTCATCTCCTTAGCCTGCTCCACAATGAGGTGATTGAGGGTCTCCTTTTCCTGTTTCAGCAAAGTATTTTCTTCCTTCAAATTTGACACCAGCTATAAAATGAAACACCGAACTGAGATGCCGTAGTGGACCGAGATGTCCCACACAACAGTCACTGTCCATGCCTCCTGTCTTCACCTAGTTACGTCTTGTCACCTGGCATACTTGTCCCAAATTTACTCCCTCCAAAGAAACTTCTTGAAAACCATCTCCATTACAGACCTTTTCTCTGGGCTGTTGCAAAACTCTGTGTAGCCTCTTTACAGTCCATATGAATGGTCTATTTTTTTTTTTTTTGCCTTCTCCAATAAACTAGACATATCTTGGAGGAAAAGGACTGTGATGGTGTCTGTTTTACTCTGTACTATGAACACTTAGCATCTGGCTAGCATCTACAAAACATCTGTTCCCAAAGTAATGATATCACCTTGCTCTATTTTGATTTCTATTGTTGTGATAGAACACTCTGATCAAAAGCAACTTGGAGAGGAAAGGGTTTATTTCATCTTACATGCCCAGGTCACAGTCCATCATCAGGGGAAGCCAAGGCAGGAGTTTGAAGAAGAAACCACAGAGTTTCTTGCTCCTAGGCTCAGCTCAGCTATCTTTCTTATACAGCCCAGGCCCACATGCCTAGGGATGACACCAATCACAGTGGGCTGGGCCCTCCCACACCAATTAGCAATGGAGAAAACACCCCACAGACATGCTCAAGGAAATTCTGATAGAGGCAATTCTTTGGGATTCCCTCATTCCAGTGTGTCAAGTTGACAACTAAGATTAGCCATCAAACACCTTCTCATTGTACCACTAGAGTACCACAATTCAAATGGGCAGATTCAAGAGATTAGAGATATGAGTCTTTAAAATTGTTTTATGTGTATGTGTGAGTGCATGCTACATGTGTGGGTGTGTCCACAGCCAGAAGAGAATGCTGGACCCTACAGAGCTGGAATTACAGATGTACAGGCCAGAAACTAAACTCTGGTCCTCTGGAAGGGCAAGAGACACAACACACTTAACAGCTGAGACATCTCTCCAACCCCATGAATTCTTTTAAAAATAAAATGTTTTATTTATTCTGAGAATTTCATATATGTATACAATGAATTATAAACATGGGTGCAGCGCCAAGTCACTGCACTATGTGTTGTGGAATATTACTTTATCCAGGCAAAGATGTGTTACATTTGGACCTTGCTTTCCTTCCTTTTTGAGAGGGTAATGGGGTTTTAAGAAGGTCAGTCTCCAGCAAAACACACACACAGAGAAAGAAAGAAAGAAAGAAAGAAAGAAAGGAAGGAAGGAAGGAAGGAAGGAAGGAAGGAAGGAAGGAAGGAAGGAAGGAAGGAAGAAAGAAAGAGAAAGAAAGAAAGAAAGAGAAAGAAAGAAAGAAGAAAAAGGCATCTTTCCAGAGGAATCGTGGAAGCATTCAGAGACTGAGGAAAGAAAGGGATCGTAAGTGCTCAAGGGCATCCTTTAGAACGCATATTTGAATTATTTAAGAACAAACCCACCATGGTAAGGGACGCTGCACAGTGGCACTGCCCTGTCTGTGTATGGTGTCAGGGTCTCACTCTGATGCAGAGGAATTCTATGGACCCGAGCACCATGAGGATAGGGCAGCAGTCTTCCTGGCTACACTATTTTGCCTGCAGTTCATCTAAGCTCTTCCTGAAGAGGTTACCATCCATGTTCAGAATCCAGTATAGAAGAAGCACGTGAGGATTATTCAGTTGCTGCTGACAATTCAGCTGTTTTCATCTAGAGAAGGTGATCCCTGTGGACTCATTCAAATCAATTACTACTTCTCAGGCAGCCCAATTGTAAGGGTCTTTTAGAAATGTTTAAATATACTTTTTTTTTTACCATTACTTGGGAGCTCTGCAATTTCCCATGTTCAACGAGTTTTTACATAAGCTAAATTCATAGCATGGAAGCATGGATGAGACTGAACATTTGGGGAGTTCCATCTGCTCAGCAGCTCCTGCCTAGATTTCTCTAACTTGGACTTAACATGGTTTAACACAGGTTTCCATAGGAATTCGAACTATACATAAGTTCAGGGACTAATAGTTCACTGCTGTATCTCAGAATCATGGCATCCCTTATCAAGAATAAGGATTCTACATCTCATGAAGTTCACACTGGAAGAGTCTGTAATCAATGCTATGATGTGACTGTCTTCTCTCAATGTCCTTAAACTCACTGTTAATATCTGCAGGTGGGACCTTAGGGAGACAACTGGGTTATAAAAACTGTGCCCTTAGCCGGGCGGTGGTGGCGCACGCCTTTAATCCCAGTACTCGGGAGGAAGAGCCAGGCGGATCTCTGTGAGTTCGAGGCCAGCCTGGGCTACCGAGTGAGTTCCAGGAGAGGCGCAAATCTACACAGAGAAACCCTGTCTCAAAAAACCAAAAAAAAAAAAACCAACAACAACAACAAAAAAAACTGTGCCCTTATGAACAGGGTAACCTATTTATGGATTAATATATTACTGAGGGAGTGGTTTTGCTATAAAAGTGGCATACCTGTTCTTCCTTGCTATGTGATCCCCTGATATTATGATGTAACCAAAAAATCTTCACCAGATGCTGGTACCATACTCTTGGACTTCTTAGCCTCCAGAAATATGGTGCTGTAAGCCTCTAATCTTTATAAATACCTAGTCTGAGGCATTTTGTTATAGCAACAGAAAACTAAGATAGTACATAGACATCACTTTGCTGAAACATTGCTTTGTTTCTGTTCTTACTAGAGCTAAATGTTCTACACCTCAAGACTATGGCCCACTAGTTGATTATGGGGCCGAGATGTTTGGGAAACATCAGTATGAACTATAAACCCTCTGGAATTTACATGATGTCTTTGATTAAAATGAATATAGAGTCACATGGGCCAGGGCAGGATGACAGCATTTACTCTGTACACAGGGCAATGGGGATAAGAATACTACTCCTACCTGCTCAGTTTCTTGTTTGTATTTATCTGCTCGTTCTTCAATGCATTTTTTCTCTGATCGAGTTTGTTCCAGGTCTTTGCGGAGTTTGGCAATTTCTTCCTGTAGACTAAGGACGCGGCCAGTGGCAACCTTAGCTTCCTCCTCACTTAGCTGAAGACGTTCTACATCATTTCGTAGTTTTTCAGTCTCAGAGTTGTATAGTCCTTCCAGATTGGTCAGTTTCTCCATGAGGCATTTGTAGTCTTTATTCTTTAAATACAAACTTCAATAAGTAAATACTTATAATATGAACAACCAAATGTATGCAGCAGGAAAACCATACTGATTAGATTCTTCTAGGCTTTGATTAATTACATTCTTTTAGGTTTTTCCTTTTGCTTTGTTTTGGAGACTGGGTCTTACTATTTAGTCCAACTGCTCCAGAACTTGTGTAACCCAAAAGCCTAGAACTCATGGTCCTCTGCCTCAAATTATAGGTGTGCACCACCAAGTCCAGCCATGAATTCCTTTTTTTTTTTGAGACAGGGTCTTATTATGTAGACCAGGCTGCCTCAAACTCATAAAGATCCACTTGCCTCTGTCTCTGCCTCTACCTCTGAGCTGCTAGGATTAAAGGAATGTTATACCATGCCATTCAAGCTATGAATTCTTGTTACATCATTACAGTATTGAGATAGAATCTGGCCAAATTTGCTATACTAAAACGATCATAATATACCTGGCATTAAAAACAACATTGAGCTGGGCATGGTGGTACACCCTTTTAATCCCAGCAATTAGGAGGCAGAGGCAGGTGGACCTCTGTGAATTCAAGGACAGCCTGGTCTAAAGAGTAAGTTCTAGGACAGCCAGAGCAAAAATAGTAAAAACTGTGTCAAGAACAAAAACAAAAACCCACAATCAAAAAAACCTCAATAACATTGAGCATCAGAACCAGGACATAGTAACAATACATTTCCTTAGTGTAAGTAGTTAAGGATATGGGCATTAGTTCTACCTATGCTCAGCACTTTCCATAATCTAACCAATGGCTTCTTCATCATACAAATAGTTAACAGCACAGAGCAATTAATTCTGCTTTATATGATATGCAACATGAATGATTTTCTCATAATCATAGAGTTTCACAGTAAATTCTTAAGTTCCTAATTTTTAAAAAGGATTTATTTATGTACTTTATGCATACGGGTGTTTTGTCTGTATATACACTTGCACACCAGAAGAGGGAATTGGATCCCATGGGACTATAGCTCTAGATGACTGTGAGCCTCCATGTGGGTGCTGGGAACTGAACTCAGAGGATTTCTGAAAGAGTAGCCAGTGCTCTTAACTGCTGAACCATCCCTCCAGCCCCAGAGTTTCCTAATTTTTAATTCAGAAGTAAGGGAAGGGGCTAGAGAGATGGCTTGCTGGTTAAGGGCACTGGCTGTTCTTCCAAATCTGGTTCAATTCACAGCACCCACACTGGGGCTCACAACCATCTGTAACTCCAGTTTCAGGGAATCTGACCTTCTGACCTCCACAGGCACTGCACACACATGGTGCACAGACATACATACAGGCAAAATATCAATACACATAAAATTAAAATAAATAAATAATAATTAATTAAAAATTAATGGAATGGACACTTGCCTTTTGAAACTATGTTAGAGTAATATTAAAAACCATGTACTAAACCTGGGTGTGGTAACACAAACCTGCAATTCTAGCTACTTGTTGGGCTACAACTTTAAGGCTAGCCTGTGTAATTCAATAAGGGCCTCTCTTTAAAAAAGAAAGAAAGAAAAAAGAAAAAAAAAAGAAAAAAGCTGGGCAGTTGTAGGGCATGCCTTTAATCCTAGCACTCGGGAGGCAGAGACAGGCGGATCTCTGTGAGTTCAAAGCCAGCCTGGTCTACAGAGCGAGTTCCAGGACAGGCTCCAGAGCTACAGAGAAATCCTGTTTTGAAAAAAACAAAAACAAAAAAACAAAACAAAACAAACAAGACTATGGATATATATATATATATACATATACATAAGAATTTATATTTATGTGTTGTTTTGAGACATAATCTCACACTGTAACCCAGGGTAGCCTTGAATTTGAGGCAGTTCTCCCATCTCAGCTTCCTGCATACCTATAATGCAGATTTAAGCCACCACATTTATCTTAAGGCTTGAGATTTTAGCTCAGTGATAGTATCTGCCTACCATAGGTCAGAACTTGGGGCTAATACAAAAAAAATAAGCATGAGCTAGGTAGAAGATGAGTAAGAATGATAAAGTAGACTAAAAATCTTAAAATTCCTCTTATTTCCCTCATAAAACCTTTCTGATGAAGCCCATTTCATTTTGACCCATCTCTCCTTGCTATCCTTATCTCTTACATATTCTTAACTATCTCTACATTATTTGCATGTACTAAAATACTATTTAGTAACTACTCTTAAGCAAGAGGATATTTCCTCTGCCAATAGATTGGGCCCCTCAGAAGCCTGTACATCTTCCTGCTTCTCTCTCGACTGCTGCACCAAACAACCATTAAGAGGCAAAAACCAGATAAGGGGCAGTGGTGAAAGACTTCTTCTGCCAAGCGTACATTATCATATGATCCATGATCACAGAGGTCTGGAGCAGGGTGTTTTAAAAAGTAAACTCCTGTCTGTTGCTTTCCTTCAGGGTAAAGTCAAGAAGAGAGGCCACTAGAAAGAACCCAGTGGGTCTCTTCCGCTGTGCTCTAGCTTTAGGGCTCCTTTAAAAACACACCTGCTCATCCACTTTGCGCTGCAGCTGCATAATCTTGTTTTCCATGCCAATGTGGAGCTTCTTGTAGCGTTCCACAGAGCGAGCCTCAATTTTCAGTTTCTTCAGCTCACGCTTGGCCATCATTCGCCGGAAGCAGCACTGAAGGTAGATGATGGCTTGCATGGTCCTCTTATAATGTGTACGAGCCAGCCAGCCACGGACACGTTTCTGGATGATGACTGCTTTGTGCTCACGGAGTATCTGCAGAAAAAGACAGATAACCTGAGGCTCTAGACTCGACTCAAAATTCAAGTCTATCCACCTATGTATGTCACACTGAGAATCCATACCCAGAGAGAAGGACAAAAATTCAATCAACAGTGTTTTTATGTGGATTATACATCACAGAAATATAAAGGTATATCAATTAAAAAATATATACATACACATATTTCTCAAATCATCTTTCAATGTCCACTTTTCTAGTTACATTACACACACACACACACACACACACACACACACACACACACACACACAGGACTATAAATAAAAATACATAGAATTGGAACCAGATTGCAAAAGGGAAAAAATTCTACAAAGAACATAAAAAATATATCAGTTTCCTTATTGGTGTATGATTTCTGCTGGTAAGAGGTCTTATAAAACTAAGAACCAGGTACTTTATTAACGATGTGCTATTAAAATAAAAGATTGTCCTGCTACACTTCTTCACTATATATTAGGCCTGAACTTGAGGTCGTGGGATGGCCAGCAAGCTAGCTGAGAGGCTGACACCTGAGATAGTAAAGGTTATTAATGACTTATTGACCTCACTCCTGAAACTCAGAAGGTGACAAGCTTTTTGTTTGTTTGAAACAGGGTCTTTCTGGGTAGCCCTGGTTCACCTGGAACTCACTACGTAGACTAGGCTGGCATTGAACTCATGGAGGTCCACCTGCTGAATGCTGGGATTAAAGGCATGTGCCACCTCCCTCAGCCTAAAGCTGCTGCTCTTGTCTGCCACATTTGAGGTTTATCATTCTAGTGTGATTTCTTACCGCTGTTGTTTCTAATGACCCAGGAATCTGTTGTGGATGCCAAGGTAAAGACACAAAGCTTGAAAGGGGAAGGTAAACACAGGAAATGTACAACAAAGTAATCTTCCTTTGACTCTTATAAAGTCATGATAATCTCTTAAAGTTTTACACAACTTAGAAGAAAATGGCTACCTTATGAGACAAATTTCTTGTCACCAAAGGCCATTAAGCAGAGACAATGTGAACAATTTTTAGGAAAGAGGTTTTTTCCCTGGAACCCACATGATGGAAAGAATCAAGTCCTACAAGATCTCCTCTAACACCTGCACTGACACTGTGGCACACGTGTGTACACCCTCTCTATGCACACACACACAACCACATGCAGGTGATCTATGATCTACAGGGTAACAGTGATTCTAAGATAGAAAGAGTAGGAACTTGTCAGGATGAGAGCGTAGCTTAGCAGAAAATGCATGGTTAGCATGTATGAAACCTTGAACTCAACCCCAGAGCCTCATGTAAAAAGATTATTTGTTGGGCTTGTAAGATGGCTTAGTGGGTACGAATCGTTCGCTACACACACATGAAGACTTAAGCTCGAGTTCCCAGCACCCACATAAGATACATGGATACATGTCCCCGTAACCCTAGCACTGGGAGGTAGAGAAGCTGATCTTGGGGGTTCACTGGCCGACCAGCCTGGCCAAGGCCATGAGCTTCAGGCTCAGTAAGAGGCTGTCTCAAGGCAATAAGTAAGACAACCCAAGTCCTGCTCTGGTCTCTACGTATGTATGCACAACTTGCATATATACACACTGACAAGCCTGCAAAACATACACACACACACACACACACACACACACACACACACACACACACACAATCAAAAAAAAAGGTACCACATTCCAGTTAATGTATTTTAATCATACAAATGTTACAGTTATTTCCTCTTCACCATGCAAAGTTCTCCTAATCTTTTCCCATTCTCAGGTTGACCTTCTGTCCCCCGTCATATATTTAACCTATTTGTGTACTTTACCTCTCTGTAGCTGTCTGAATAATGGGCCTCAACAACACAATGTCCTAATCTCTATAACTTGTAGTTGTCATTTTATTTGGAAAAAGGGGCTTTGTAGATGTGACTAGGTTAAGGATCTTGAGATAGGGATATTATCTTTGATGATGAAGGTCGGACCTAAATATCATCATAATTTAAAAAATACCTTAAAAAACAATTATTGGGGGGGGGCATATGGAGGAGCTGATTCTCTCCTTCCACAATGTGGGTTCCAGAGATCTAACCAGCCCGTGATTATTTTTTGTAAGAGACAAATGATATAAAGACAGAGCAGAGAGAGGGGTAATGTGGCCACAGGTACAGGAGTGCAGGCCACCACTGGAAGGGACAAGGAATATATTCTGTCTTGGGGCTTTGGAGAATGTGGTATTGCTGATACCTTGATTACAACCCAGTGGTTTTGGACTTTTGGCCTTCAGAAAGCTGAGAAAATAAGTTCTGTTGTTTTCATCAACCAAGTTGGTGATTTTTATTTCACATTTACTTTTTTAATTTTACAAACTACACAAACAAATGGAAAGGGAAGTAAATTTTCTTTTCTATTATCTTGTTAACAAGTATATCTAATTAATACCAGCATGCATTTCAATTGTTGGTTTCCTCCACATGGCTTCTCTGTCCACAGCAGTCTCTATGGTACTTTGTACAGACAGAAAATATAATTAATGTTACTGGAATGCATGAACAAACTTGAAAACAGCATCTTACCTTGCGATATCGATTTCTTGCCAAATAGCCTCTCAAATAAGACTGAAGAACAATAGTGGCCGCTCGTCGAACCTTGTACCTCCTGCGGACCACATACATGCGCCAGTACTTTTGAATGGTGGTTGCTGCCTTGGTCCTGCGCAGAAACTTGGCATAGCTGGCCAAAGAAAACAGCGGTGTACTGTCAGTCATGGAGACTGCAAAACATCAATGTCAATGTCTGCTCAGGTAGCCTGGGCAGAACCTCACTGTTCGTTATTCTAATGTTCACGGCAAATAAGCATTTGTATTAACTTACATGTGTAGCTTCTGAAGTATTTTTTCACTGAGTTTCCCTAATTTTGAAAAGCAGGATGTCCCATATTGTCACATTTCACAATAAAGAAAAGGAAGTTCATAAAGCTTAAAACTTCATAAAATTAAAACTGTTTGTATATGTAATCACACTGAAATATAGCTATTTGTTAGAACATTTTTGTTAATTGCTCCTCCATAGAGTCAAGATTAACTGTCTCATATTCATGGCTATTTCAATTTATATACAATTTCTTCAAGTTCCATGTTATGGTAAAAGAGTTACAAATTCTAAGGACCTAAGTTTGTAGCAATTCAAATCTGAATTATTATAAGTCTATGTGAAATTTTATTCTTTTTAATTGTCTTGTAAGTTAACTTGTTGTGCTTTGACACGAATAGCGAGTGAGATGCTATCTTCACAGGTAGGGCAGTCATTCAGACTACCTGTCCTGGATGGACCATGAGTCAGATGAGGAGACCTACCATCGAGCCTGGTAGCCCCGCACGTATCGCTGCACTGTGATGGCTGCCCTCTGCATGCACAGGTATTTCTTCCTTAGCAGCCACCCACGGATGGTCTTCTGGATCCGGATGCAGGCAGCCCTCAACTTGTCAGCCCTCAATTTTTCTAGATAGGCCACTTGACCGGCACGGAAAAAGATCTTTGTCTTACCAAACTGGTATTTGTCCTTGTCCTATTTTAGAGGAAAAATACAAAGAGATACAATGGCCTTATAAAAGAAATTCAAGATAGGGAAAAGAAAATCTAGAAGCAGAATTAGTAAAAGGATGAATCTATTATCGAAAACCTGGGCTACATCTCAATGAACTAATGGAGCCAGATTTTTTTTTTTTTTAAATCCTACTTAAGTTGTGTAAATAGAAAGGATTTTAGAGAAGATGGTAGCCTAAGAGTTATTTTCCAGAATTATTCTACCTGGAATTAATATCTGGGCCCCAAACTGGCTGTGGGTTTTATGCAGCTATTATGTGCTTGTTTGAATTTTAAACCTCTTAAGGAGATGGAGATGCTGACAGTCCCTCTGACTGACCCGCTGTAAGATTACATCAGTCTGTATAATCCATGAGCAGCTGAAGAAACAAAAACACCAATGTGAAGAGTAAGGCAGGAAGAAAGCACATAAAATAAAAATTAAAAAAAAAAAAAACAAACCAACAACAATTCCTCCAAATCCCTGTGTTCATATTAAGGGTATGCTTCTAAATAGTTATCACTTTGCTTCAACAGTATCTAAAAAACAAATGCAACCTCATATATGTGTTTAAAATCTTTTACAGATTGCCAATTTTTCATAAGAAATACAATTATTTATATTGCATTGACTTTTGTGCATAAGCAGAGCTATAGAGTAGATAGAGATATTCATGTGATTTAGGGTGATTCACCTCAGATGTAAGCATGCAAATCATTAACCATTTTCATATAAAAAGAACAGTGGAACTTACATATACTAATCACTACTCTGTCAGAAATTCTAAGCAAAAATAGAGAAACTCAGTTTTTGCTATAAGCACATATCCCTTTAAACATGAAGTTAAAAAAATCAGAAGCTGTAACATATATCTGAAAAGTCTAAAATCAATTAATAACTTTGCAGAGGAACCCTAACTAGGTCCTCTCCCACTGTCCCATCTTACCGCAGCTACTGCCTCTGCCTCCATTGGATCCAGGCCTGCAGTGGTCTGGGTGAGGAGGCAGGTGCATGATTGTCTCAGCTTTCTGTTCCATATTCCCATCTGAACCCAAATTAGAAAGGAATTGGGCCAAACTCAAAAAACAAAAACAAAAAACCCACTAGATCTTAAAAAGCATCACATCCTTAGAGAAGGATGGGATCCTTAGTTACAGATGGGATCCTTAGTTCTCTCAAAGGGGAAAAGTCATCAAAGAAGAATTACATTTAATTAATAGTTAGTAATTATGACTAACTACTTCATAGTGAGGCACAAGTAAAATTAATTTTTAAACAACTTTTTCATGATCTCAAACTCATAAAGACTCAGATTAGAGATTTTCTATGTGTACTGTGGGGACCTGGGGAACTGTTAAAAATGCAAATTATAAGGGATTTAGTTCAGTGGTAAAACATTTACCTAGCATATACAAAGCCCTGGGTTCTATCACCAGCACAGAAAATAAATAAGTAAGTAAATAAACAAATAAATAAATAAGTGTGGGGGAAATGGTGTTCAATTATTGGGCCATCCCAGACCTACTGAATCAGAAATTCTAGGGGTAGAGGCCAGCAATCTGTGTCTAGCAAGCCCTCCAGGTGACGACACACAATAGTCTGAGAGCTTCTTAGACAGATATCCAATTATCTATCTATTCCAATAATTTCTCTATTGTCTGATACACAACTCTTACCCTATAAAAGGCCACCTTACTGTTTCCTTTCTTAAAAATTTTTATGTGTGTCAGTGTTTTGCTTGCATGTACATAATGTGTACTATGTGTATGACTAGTGTCTGTAGAGTCCAAAAGAAGGTGCTGGATCCTTGGAACTTGAAGAATGGTTGTGAGCTGCCATGTGGGTGCTGGGAACCAAATCAAGGTCCTCTGAAAAACAGTAGGTGCTTTTAACTTCAGAGCCCTCTTTCTATCCCTAAAGATTTAATTTTTTAATGCATCTATATGAGTATATGTCGTGTGTACGAGTGCCCACATAAGTCAGAAGAGGGCATTAGATCTCCTGCAGCTGGAGCTACAGTTGCACGCCACCCAATGTGGGTGCTGGGAACTGAACACAGTCTTCTGCAACAGCAGCAGGAGCTCGTAAGTGCTTCTCCAACCACTTTAGTAAATCCTGTATTTTCTACTTTTTTTCATAGCTTATTTCCATTTTATCCAAACATACCCATTCTTCAGGGCCTGACTCAAATCCCACTCCTCATGAAAGCATTCTTCCTTCTCATGATGGGATATGATTTTGCCTTCCTTTGATATCTGTCCTGCTTCCTCTGCATTTTTTGTCATTTTTTGATTTTAAGATTTTTAGTTATATGCATGTGTGTGTGTGTCTCTGTGCATGAAAATGTAACTATCCAAGAATGCCAGAGATGTTGGCTCCCTTGGGAGCTAGAGTAACAGGTGGTTGTGGGCCATCCTACACAGGTCCTAGAAACGGAACTCAAGTCCTCTGGAGTCCAGTATGCACTCTTCTACTGAGCCTTATCTCCAGTCCTCACTCAATATTTGATGTAGACATAATCATCTGCTTGCTCATCTATAAAATGCATTACTTGTCTTTAAAATAAAAATGGACTTTTCCCCTTAATTTTGTTGACAATGATCAAATTATCTAAAACGCACCCAAAGTCTGAGCCCAGCCCTTCTCAAAATAGTTTCCTGGTGTTGGCTGTCAGTACCCACATTACTTCTAGCACACTAAACACAGTGAGTCTCACTTGACCTCTAGGTCAGGTGTTTCCCTACTTAACCAACCCCAAATAACGTGGGGCATGGTATTTAACACATAAGTTTGCAGGGCTTTTACAGCTCATAATGACAAGGCCTTGGGCTAATACCTCACAGAAACATTAAGTGAAAATCATTCTCACCAATATCAGTTTCTCTAATACATTCTTGCACGTTTGCTTTCTATCTCCCAGCACATCCTTTTGCTTCATTAGGACCCGATACCGGCTGAAAAACTCTTGGTAAGTCCACCTAGAACAGAAGCCCACAACAGCTTAAAGATTCAAGCAAAATTGCTCCCACAGGGCTCCCTTACATCTGCAGACCGTGGGCTCACCGTGAGGGAAAACCCGCTGCACTGATTCGGATGGTCTCCAGGACACCACATGCTCTTAGTTGCTGCACTGCCCTTTTCTCATCAAATCTGCGTGGAAAAAACAAAAGCTGTTAGCCCACAAGACCCAGGCTGTCCAAGGTAAGATTCTTTTGTCAGGAGCCACATAGATAAAATAGAAAAGAAAGCATTCAAAAGCTAGAACAGTGATCAAAATGAAGACCTCCATGAAACAGTAGGGAAGAGATATGTAGCAGTAAAAATAGAGCTGTAGAGAGCTCCTCCAGTTCACACACTACAGTGTCCTAAGAAAGTCCACTGAGCATACTAGAAAGAAAGAAGACAGAATTCTCTCTCACTTTGCCCATCCTGTAATGAGTGTGCAATCATGGCTTAGCTTGACTGAAAATGCTCAGATTTCATTAGCTCAGTACATAGACCTCCCCTAGGATAAATAAAGATTGATGAACCTGAAAAGACAAATTAAACATGCCCCATTCAGTTATTTAAAAAAGCAACTTTTTAGAGGCAGGTGGATCTCTGTGAGTTTGAGGCCAGCCTGATCTACAGAGTGAGTTTCAAGACAGCCATGACTACACAGAGAAACCCTGTCTCAGAACAAAACAAAACAAAAAAGCAACAACTTTGTTTTTCTACAAGCTGCTTACTGTGCACATACTTATGTAGCCACAGCAATGAAAATATATCTATTTTATTACATTTCACATTTATTGCATCCGAAGCATTGTGGTTTGGATGAGAATGGCCCCCATAGGCTCATATATGTGAATACTTGGTTCCCAGTTGGTGGAAATGCTTAGAAAGGATTAGGAAGTATGTGGCCTTGTTAGAGAAGGTGTCACTGGGATTTCAAAAGCCCCTGCCATTCCCAGCTAGCTCTCTCTGTCTCTCTGCCTTGTGCTCTCAGCATGGGTTCAGCACCATGCCTGCCTGTCTGCTGCCATGCTCCTGCTATGATGGGCATGGACTCTAAACCTCTGCAACTGTGAGCTCCAAATTCATCTCTTGTAAGTTGCCTTGGTCATATTTTTGTCTTGTCAAATATAAAGTGAACTAACACACTAAAAGAAAAAAATGGCATGTTAACATTAAAATGACACTAAATGAAGCAGCTGAAAGTTCCTCTTCTAGCCAGATGACTGCCTGTTGGTTTCATGACTAAGCTCTGAGTATCTACCCAAGCCCGTCCTATGCTGTCTTCTCAGGCCTTGGAGCGCTGCTAGGAGATGGGGCTTGCTAGTGCAAGTTCACAGTGAAGGTGGAAACCTCTTCCTGCTCCCCACTTCCTCCAGAGAGAGGCTCTTGATGATGATGATAAGGATGGCACACTTCCAGGACTACCCTCAAATCAGAGGCAGAATCTGCAGAGGAGGCCAGCAAGACCATCTGGATATTCACTGATACACTGTAGAGTGGGGGTGCAACCTTGAGTCTATATGGCTAGTCTTTTAATATGTATATATATATATATATATATATATATATATACATACATATATACATATATATAAAAGCCTGAATGTATATCTGTATAACCCTTGAGTATCTGGTGCTCAGATGCTAGAAGAGGGTGTCAAATGACTTAAAATTGGAGTGACAGATGGTTGTGAACTGTCATGTGGGTGCTGGGAGTCAAACCTAGGTACCTTGGAAGGGCAGTCCTCTTAACAGCTGAGCTATCTGTATAGCCTCATGGTTGGTCTTTAACAAAATGTATTCAAAAATTCTTATTTGGCGCAATATTTGTGGTTATTTATGGGGTAAAATGTGGTATTTCAATACATATGTATAGTGATCAAATCATACACTTGATCCTTGGCCCACAGATTCTTCTAGAACTGTGTATCCTAAGGAGGTACAGAAACCTTTGGCAAAATATACTTGACAGAAATTGTTATGAGAAATAAGAGGGGTTTAAGGAAGGGTAACTGGGAGGGACTGAAGGGAGCAAAATGATGTAACTGTACTTTATTAAACCATATTTTCTAAAAAAGGGCTGCTGTAACAACCTAAATGATTTACATAGATTATGGAGCATCTATATCATCAGATACTCTGCAGCCACTCAATCAATATGTAGTATATATATATGTATATATATATATACTCATCTAGGAACAATCAGTGCTAGTGCGAGTGGAGATGAAATAGCAGTTACAGCATGAGACCCCATCCTGTTAGCCTCAGTCTCCCCCACGTCCCCTGCCCCCCCCCACACACACAGGGAAAGAGGGAAAGCTAACTAGTCCAGCACGTGCCAATTCCCACTACTTATCTCTCTACTTATCTTCCTGAAAACCATCACAAGAATGTATATTATTCCTTTTTTTTTTTTTTTTTTTTCCAAAACAGGGTTTCTCTGTGTAGCTTTGCACCTTTCCTGGAACTCACTCTGTAGTCCAGGCGGGCCTCGAACTCACAGAGATCCGCCTGCCTCTGCCTCCCGAGTGCTGGGATTAAAGGTGCACATCACCACCGCCTGGCTATGATGGCTCAGCCGTTAAAGGCTAGGCTCAACAACCAAAAATATTATTAAAGTTAGAGAAATATTTATATTTTTGAAATCATCTCCAGAAAGATTCACTTTCACCTCTGACTTGGTATGTGAAGTAGGATGAGATTTTTGATACATTCTCTGGCTCCAACAGATAAAATAAAGCAGCGGGTAAGCCTTGGCCAAAAAAGCCTTAGCTCAGCTAGCTCTGTTTTCAATGTCCAAATTATCAAAAAGCCTAGAAAGATCTCCAACAGAGATAAAGTCAAAACAGAATCAGAAATAACTGGTTGGCCTCAAAATTTCAAATCCTTAGAGAGTTAACTGCTAATTTGCTTTCATGTTCCCCAAAGGAAACAAAACCTAAAAATTTTATCAAGTAGTTGATTCCCTCTACAAGACATGAAGATTTTCTGTAGAAGTCTTTCTCCTCATTTTGGTTTGACTTACGTGAATGGAAACTTGAAATCATTAGGCTTAATGCAGCGTACGTAGTGAGGAGTCGTGGCATTAAGGGTTTCCATAAGCAGGTGAAGAGAGTTCCGAAACTGCATGAGAAAGGGTTAAAAATTCAAGTTTGTCGGAGGCCAAAGACAACTTAAAAGTGCTCCTTCTTTGACATAAATGGAGGTGATTTTTTTAAACGACGAATTTAAAGCCATCTTCATGGGGGGGCACAGTTACTAAACAAGAGTTCTAGGGCTTTTGTTTACATTTGCCTAAACTCTACATGTTCGTTCTGCTAAATATGCATGTACCTTTCTTCTACCCCTTTCTCTGTAGCTTCCTGTTGTGAGCTCCATTATATGTGACTTATCATTTTGCTACTAAGGCCATTTAATCATATAAGGCACGAACTCTGCTATATAATACCAAGATAAGCTGCAGATTTCTTACTATTATATAAGAAATGAGCCGAGAACATTCTGAAGGACAGACAGAAAGGAAGCATCACTGAGGACACGGGTCAAGACTGGAGCTGTGGACCCACGTCGGCCCTTTGCTGAAGCTGAAGGGAAGAAGTCTGGCAGTGGCAGCTCCTGAACCTACCTGGTGTCCTACTGTTTTCTTGTGCTCTTTGGCCATCTGGCCAGGTCGGCCCTTGGTGGGCTTTACAGGAACTCGAGTGAGAGGCGTGCGCCCTGAAGAGGTGGCGGAGGTGGGACTGATGGCCTTCTCGTCATCTTGAAATAGTTCTGGTAGCATCTTAAACTGTAAGTCCGAAATAGTAAAGAAAATTGTATTCTAGAACCAAGTGTGGAGGCAACACAGCTAAAATCCCAGTATTTGGGAGACAGAGAGAGAAAGAACATGAGTTCCAGGCCAGACTCAGTTAAGATGTGACTTCAAGGTCAAATGAGATACTATCTCAAAAAACTAAATCAAAACAACAAAAATGCATACCCTAAACCCCAAATGGAAAGTAAGCCTTTGTAGAAGCCCCGTTACAGACGATAAACACTTATTTTTGTAGATAGCTATAGTAAGACCCACAGAAATAAGTCCTGTTTCAGGAGCCAAAAAATATAAGAGAAAGAACATATAAATGTCACAAATATATGGTGGAAAAATAAAATAATTCTATAACAATATTTGGGGTGAAACAAAGTACTAAATACAGACCTGAAGATCTAACTAATCCAAAGAAAATGTCAGTTAAACATACAACTGGTTTTGAACTATAATTATTTTATGAGAAAAATATTTATCAAGAGACTGAGTTTATTATCTCAGGTCTATAAGAGGTTTTATGTAACAGAAGCAAAGGACTAGTCCAGGTTTGCATGTGTCTGAAGCTGTAAGTACTAACTCAAAACACCTGAGAATCTCAGCAGGCAGGCACTATGAACAAGCTTTCAATATTGAAATGTAAAAGTTAATGATGAATTAATAATTTTAAGGAAATAATTTGGATTGTATAAAAAAGGAGAAAACCCAGCTATTATCCTGTGTGTATTTATATTTGACTTCAAGAAATTTAAAACTTTAGTGCAATTACCATAACTATATGTTTTTTGAGATGGGGTCTCACTATGTTACCACAGGAACTAGCTCTGTAGATCAGGCTGATCTCAAACTCAGAAATCTGCCTTCCTCTGCCTCTCAAGTGCTGAGATTGAAGGCACTCACTATATAAGTGAGTGGATACTAGACAATGTAGTTGGATGAAAATTTCTGAAACAAAGACCTAAAACTAGTCTGCAGCAACATCTTGCTATATGGACACACTTTTCTAACACTGTTATATTCCATATAAATAAAAGTAATCATCTGTGCAAGTCAAGTCACACTTGTAAACACCAATTATTTACTAATCTCAGATTATTTAGTGTAGTTTGATATATTGTGCACCCCAATAAACTTATCTGGGGGTCAGAGAACAGAACAGCTATAATATTAAAATAGAGGTTAGGCAGTGGTAGCAGATGCCTTTAACCCTAGCATTCCAGAGGCAGAGATCCATCTGGATCTCTGTGAGTTCAAAGCCACACTGGGAACAGCCAGGCATGGTGACTCACACCTTTAATCTCAGGAAGTGATGGCAGGCAGCAGAAAGGTATATAAGGTGTGAGAACCAGGAACTAGCCTGGTTAAGCTTTTAGCCTTTTGAGCAGCAGTTCAGCTGAGACCCATTCAGATGAGGACACAGAGGCTTCCAGGATCAGCTGAGGAATTGGCAAGGTGAGGTTAGTTGTGACTTGTTCTGCTTCTCTGATATTTCAGCATTCACCCCAATACCTGGCTCCCGTGTTTTTTATTAATAAGATCCTTTAAGATTTATGTTACAATTTAGGAAAAAAAATTTCCTATGAGAAAAACAAAGTCATAAAAATAAAGTCATGTGATTTCATATTCTATAAATGTTTGGGGCTGGGATACCGTTTAGTAGCAGAGTGCTTCTTTGGCAAGTATAAGGCCATAGACTAAATCCTTAGCAACACACACACACACACACACACACACACACACGCACACGCACACGCACACGCACACGCACACGCACACGCACACACACACAAAAAAAAAAAAAGAAAAAAGAAAAGTAAACACTCAGAAAAACCATCAGGGTAGTTAAAGAAGTTATCCATGATGAGTCTAACCTAATAATGTCAGCCTATTAAACAAATACAAATACTCCCTGTTTTACAGAATAATTAATGTAGTCTAGCATGGTTGGCTATACAGAAGTAAAGAACTGTTTTAACATTATGTTGTAAGACAAAACTAAACCCACATTACAAAGAAGAAAAATTAGTTCCTAGAAGCTCTATATAAACCTCAGCTGAGTGGTGGCGGCAGCGGCGGCGGTGGCGGCGACAGCGGCGCACGCCTTTAATCCTAGCACTTAAGAGGCAGAGACAGGTGGATCTCTGTGAGTTCGGGGCCAGCCTGGTCTACAGAGCGAGTTCCAAGATAGCCAGGGCTACACAGAGAAATCCTGTCTCAGAAAAAAGAAAAAGAAAAAAAAAGTGAGACCATTCTGTGATAGCCATGTACTACAAGTTCTTAGCTCTGCTATCATTCCCAATAAATTGCTGGCTCCACATTAGCAGCTGCCAAAACTTCATTTTTATCTCTTCCCTGTGAAAGGTTTCATAGAACTAGGCTACCATGCCATGTTCACCAGTGGGTGCTACAATTTAACTTGGCATCTATACTATCCACCAGGTAACAGATTAGTTATCAGAGTTCAGAATACACACACACACACACACACACACACTTGAGGGTAGGACTACTTCTTTTTTTTTTTTTTTTTTTTTTTTTTTTTTTTTTTTTTTGGTTTTTCGAGACAGGGTTTCTCTGTGCAGCTTTGCGCCTTTCCTGGGACTCACTTGGTAGCCCAGGCTGGCCTCGAACTCACAGAGATCCGCCTGGCTCTGCCTCCCGAGTGCTGGGATTAAAGGCGTGCGCCACCACCGCCCGGCTGGACTACTTCTAATAGAAATTCTAAACTAGAATTCCCTGTATAACTTTCCCTTTTGAAGAAAGTGCACTGCCAGGCATGGTGTGACACACTCACAACCCCAGTACTTGAGAAGGCAGAAAGATTGTGAGTTTCGTGATGACCTGGGCTATAGAGCAAAACCTGGTTAAGAAATCTGGTGTGGTAGCACATGTGTCTATAGTCTTAGGAATTAGGAGGTAAATGGAGGTGGTTCAGAGTTCAAAGTCAGCCTCAGCTGCCCATCTACATAGTTTGAGGCCAGCCTGGACTAAACGACATCCTGTCTTAATAAGCACACAATAGTAAAATCAAACAAAGCTGGGGGATGACTGAATTGGTAAAGTGTTTGTCTTGCTGAGCTTGAGCTCCACCGGCCACATAAAAAGTTGGGCAAGGTGGCACATGCCTGTAATCCTAATAGCAAAGAGAAGACAGGAGGGTCCCTGGGGTTCACTGGTCACTCACTCTATGTTTACTGCTGAGCTCCCAATCAATGAAAGACTGCGTCTCAGAAGTAGACAGTGTTCCTAAGGACAGCCTGAGACTGTCCTCCTGCCTCCGCACACATACTCATACACTTGAGCACATGTGTCCCTGTGTGCATGCTGGTGCTCGCGGAGCATATACTTTGAATTACTGCACCAGGAACTGTTCTATAATGTATTCTTCATAGGCTGTTTTTCTTGGATCTTGTTCTGGTGCCTCTGCCGGCTGCCTCTGTTAATTGGAATATCTGGCTTCAGCTTTCGTAGGTTTTATCTACATGCTCTCTCAGTCTCATGCTTTAAAAAGCACCGAGTTCTGAAGCCCACAGCATTTCTACCACTGCTCTGCCTTTCCCTTTGACTTGCCTTTATTCCTCACTTCCCATATGACATTTATACCTGGCTATCTCACTTCCCATATGACATTTCTACCTGGCTATCTCCAACTCACATTTTAAGCAAAATAAACCTAAAACAGACACAAATGGATTTTACATTATTATTATCACCAAAGTTTCAGTTCAAAACACAAAGCATAAATATCAGCAAACTGGTCCTTCCAAAAGAACAAACTAGTACTGCATTACACCTGTTTTATACCAGGTTCAGAGAGATGATAAAATTCAGGTCTCTTGGTTGAACTGCCGCAAAGACTGGGAACAAGAAAGGCCTTCGAACTTATGCAAATCAAAAACTATCCCTACTTCAACTCCAACAATAGTTCACAGACTGGCTTTCCCAATGACTCTTCAAATACACTGCTACCTTATGATTAACGACCCAGTAGTCGAACAGGAAATTAAGAATAAAGACAGAGCTGATTATGGTATGTCTAGAATGAGAACCTGTGCTTTGTTTGAGCTAAATTATTTTGACAAAGTATTAACAACAGAACATCATGCTTACATGATAGATTAAAGTGGTAAAGACCTGTGAATCACACTTTATGACTGTCACTGTAAAAAAAGTTTGCCTTGCACATCAATCCTCTATGTTAAAAAAGTACTAACACTCAATGCTTGTTAGGGTTAAAAAAACCTGATTTTTCTATAAACATTTGACTCATCTCTGAGAGTTAAAACTAGGATTTGGCCTTCATGTAATCTTTATATTATGAACATAACTGAATATAAAAAGTTGTTATTTTAAAAATGAGAATCCTCTTATCTATATACTATATCACAGATGTTAAGAGGATTCTCTTGAAATAAGCCAGAAAAACAAGGGTGCCTGCCAATCAGTGATCTATAAGGTTCACATGAATAGTTTTACTTTTTACGTGATTACTTGCAGCATCAAGTAACTGACTTCCTGGTTTGCTCCCGTAGGCTGACTGTGCGCCCCTCTCCCATCCTTTCCAGATAGAGGCCAACAGTTGGCGGTACAGACAACTTAACTAGCCACACTTCCTTGCCATCTGGAATATTCTTTCTCCTAATGGAAAGCAGTGCTTCTAGCATTTGTTCTTCTGAAAAAGTAATTCAAACCCTTTGGGTCACATCTGAAATCACACCCAGGATGACCTAGAGTCAGTCTCCACATAGATGGAGTGCAATGGGCATGTTTTTAACAAATCCCTTCAAAACGACAGAGCAGAAAAATCCACTTGTCTGCGTTTCTCACAAAGGCACAGGGAGGGTAGAGCCACTGTGGAGACAAGGATTTAGAGCTGGAAGACCACATGGCAGAGTGGTTAGGAGCAGGTTCTAAGCAAGCAAGACAGCCTGAGTTTAACCCAACTTGGGAACTTACCAGTCCTAAGTCCCTACACCTCAGCTCCTCATCTGTAGATGAGAGTAATGTAATACCACATCACTGTAAGAATCAGATATGTCAACATTTGAAAGGTACTCTGCACAGGACCAGACATATATTAAGCAAGTACTATATATTTGATAAATTTAAAACTTTTGATAAAAAATCGTGTTAGAAAAATCATTATTAGTATTAAAAGACTAATGCTAAAGTAATTTACATTTTACAGAACATATCCTGATAAGAGTACGTCTATTCATGGTTACCTTGCTTGACTTAAGGACTTTAATTTGTTCTTCAAAAACGGTGTCTTTATTCTTTTCAAGAAAGCCTTCACACTGGTACTCTACCTGAAATCACATGAAAAAAATATCTCCTTAACTGACAACACTTTTGAATATATGCCGTCATCATCAGCAAAGCATATTTCTCTGCCCAGGCTCTATGACTAGCTCTCAGCAAATGGTATTCCCAGTCTTTTCGAAGAGGTCAGTACCATTTCCAGGGGGACGTGTGGTAATTCACTATAGTAAACCTGAGAAGATACACACAAAGGCCTCTAAGTCCTACTACAGAGCTACCAGCACATCCATGCTTCTTGCTGTACTATTCATAATAACTAAGAAGTGAAACCAGTCTCAATGTCCATCAACAGATGAATAGATAAAGAAAATGTGGTACTTACATATACAATGAAATTTTATCCAGCCACAGTAAAAAATAAAATGTCATGAAATCATGACATCTGTAGGAAAACTGATACAACTGGAAATCACTATGTTAAGTGAAATAAGTCAAACCCAGAAAGACAAATACTTCATGTCTTCCCTCATCTGTAGATCCTAGATTTCTGTGTGTGTGTGTGTGTGTGTGTGTGTGTGTGTGTGTGTGTGTGTGTGTGTGTGTGTGTTTCCATGCAGATATGAATATAGGTCATGAAACTAGAGAAGGGAACATAAGAGGAAAAAAGAGCTCTCAACTGGGAAGAAAGAAAAGGTAATGGAATAGATGTGACCTGAAGGCAGAACTGTGGCTGTGGGATATGGAGTATGAACCCAGGAGAAGGGCGGGGAACAGTGGAAAGGACTGGAGGAAGGGATAAACAAGAACAAAGTATGTAAGAAAGAAGGATCAAGTGAAATCCATAGCACACGCCAAGAATTTTAGCAACTATGAGGTAGAAGTAGGAATATTAGGAATTCAAGGTTGGCCTCAGCTACACAGTAAGTTTAAGACCAGCCTTAGCTACACAGACCTTATCTCAAAATACAAAAATCCATTACCTTATATGTTAACTTAAAAAAACTAATAAAAAGAGAAATATGTAACCTAGTAAAAGTCTACAATTACCAATTTCCTAGATAAGTGTGGCAGTGACTGCTGATAAACTGTGTTCAAAAATGATCAATTCATGGGCAAGCAGGCTTGCAAGCTGCCCTCCCCCAGGTTAAAGAGAGCCCCTTCCAGGCTGACCCAGCATATCTTCTAAGCTAGTCCAGCATCTGCATCAAGCAGAAGTGTTCCTCCTGTGTGTCAGGACCCCTTTGGGGGTCAAAGTACCCTTCCACAGGGGTCACCTGAGACAACTGGAAAACAGATACTTACAATACAATTGACAACAGTAGCAAAATTACAGTTATGAAGTAGTAATGAAAGTAATTTTATGGTTGGGGGTCTCTACAACAAGAGGAACTGTATTAAAGGGTCACAGCATTAGGAAGATTGAGGACCACTACTCTGAGAAAAGATTAAGTGGAGAGAATATGGGAAGAGGTGAGGAGCTGATGATGGACAGAGAGAAGATGGGCAAATATTGTATAATTTGGTAAAATGGGACTACTTGAGAACTAATTCCTTTTCTTCTAAAACCCCACAATGTCAGCCATTTGCCACTCAAGGGGCTCTACATCCTGTACTCCTTAGGTCACCTTAGTTCTTCAAAGGTTTCAAGCTAGAACTAGACAATCAGAAGACTGTTCATAAAGAGGCCTCCAGAAATCTCACAACACAGCCTATCCTACAACTTCTTTGAAATGTAAACTAGTCACCGGATCCCTGACTTGTTAAGTGAACTATAGAACTTGTGAAAAACATAATACCATGCTTTTACAGAAGGTGACAAAAATCCAGTCTCTATTCTGAAGCCTGTGAGATCTTTAGAATTTTATAATTTTTCATGCATTTAGAGATGCAGTATATATATACACCATTTTAAATGCTACCAGAAAATTTTAATAGTCATCTATACCATATATTACATAAACATTAATATTTCCATACTTAAACATGTAAGTACCCACCTTAATTGGGCTTAAAAATTATAAATATATCTCATGCTAGTTCAAGTCAGAGATCAGGTTTCACTGCTAAATGAGTTATGAAAGCACTTGTGGTTTTCAGTTCGTGGATCACATTTTAGACAAAAGACTTTGACCCGTATTTATTTAATATATAATCCAACTGAAGTTAAAGTAAGACAAAACCAAGAAACCAGCACTGAAGACTGCTTTTCCTGAAACGACCTTAAAGAAAGCAAGCATTGCAAAGAAAGACAATACTTGAATACTGATTTTTATTTATATTTATTATATTTATTTATTATAATATATTTATTTATATTTATTATAACTCCTATAAAGTGTTAAAAAGGAAAAAGACAAAAAGTTGCCTTACTTTGTCAGCAAAATGTTTGATGATGAAGGCTTTGTTTGACATACGTGGCTTCTCAAAGAGGACACATTTGTTTAAATGTGTGTTGTACAGTTTTTGAGCCCAGGTATCATCTGTGCCTTTAGGCATCTTGGGGAGAAAAAAGAGAAATGACTGAGCACTAAGGGTCTTCTGGAATATCAGCAACAAGAGACCAGTTCCTATGCTCAACTAAGAATTCATTCTTCCTTCTCATCAGCACAAGTGAACCACCAATGAAGAGCATGGCTGAGGCCTTCCTGGGGGTGACCCAGTACATTTCAGTGATCATTTGCCTATACCAGGAGTTATCAAATCAATACTTAATTTTTTAGCACAATAAAGGCTTTATAAGTTAAAGATGAAATACAACTATTAGGCATACTTTTAATTTTTTGCTAAATGGAGGTAACATTTATACACAGTGAAATAGTAATTTAATCCAGAAAGGTATGAACTGATAGTCTCCTCTTGCCATTTCTAGAAACTTTATTATTTTTTCCTATTTTTAAGACATGTGCTTGAATGGGCTCATTCTATATATATATTCCATATATATATATTCCTTGCATTTTCTCCTCTTACTTATGGTCTAGGATGTTATTAACTTTTTGTTATGACAACTGTCATATTCCTCTTAAATACATACATACCTTCAATATATTTGCAAGTATACTTATAGGTTAAACTCCCAGGTCAAAAGGCATGCATGTTTATGGTTCTGCTTTCCTCTAATATATCTGTATGAATTTTTACCCTTCATCAAATGTAACATGTAATATTAACTTAGTCTCAACAAAAGAAAGGTATCAAATTTAAAGTAACCTCAGGATACCATTTTTGCTTTGCTTTCATATTTTTAATCTCAAGTACAGATGACTACTTATCTATCACATACATTCTTTTGTAAAACACACAATTTTTAATTTATTGTTATTGTGTGTATTTGAGGACAAGTACATGTCATACCCTTTCACTGTTGGATCTGGGGATGGAACTCAGGTTGTCATATCTGTATGGCAAGCATTTTTATCCACTGAGCCATCTCAGCAGTCCCACATATATTTTAACACACTAAGTATGGCGCCTTATGAGGGCCAACATATAGTAAGTAGGCTGTGATTTCTTATAGATAAACTGAAAGAAAATTAAGAAAAAAGATAGATTTGCCTAAGGTCCTTCAGTAACAAAGTGAAGGATCCAATGATTTTCTAACATGCTGAATCTATAAATGTTAAAGACTATTATTTATGTCAGTAGCAAAGAACTAGCCAATATTCAAAACTTACAGCTATTTAGAACTATAATTCAAAATAATTTTTGTGCAATTTCTCTTGTATTTCTTTCAATATATCCTATTGCTGAACAGAAAACATTAAGGATAAAAAAATAAAAGGACCCCTTGGGGTCTAGTGTCTCTTCAAAATGAAAAAGCGAACCCGGCTTGTCACAATGACGTCTCTTATACTGAAGAGTCTCTGCTTGCACCCACTTGTGTAGCTGTGATGCATCTATCGTGACAGGCTAAAGTACTCCAGAAAATCATAATCACCTTACACTCCTCATCCAGCAAATCTAGAATGCCCATTTTAGATTCTATAAGATTGATACAAGGCTGATTATCATAGAAATCTATGAGTGTCCATGGAATTTGTTCCTTCATATATTCTTCCTGTTCCAATTTGAAGACATGCTGAAACAGAGAGAGAATGGTAGTCATTATCAGACCATACCATGAAGAATATAATCAAGAAGCACATGTCTATGGAATACCGAGGATACCAACATGACGAGACTATGGAGAAGTGTGGCTGAAATCATGTACAGAAAACCTCAGCTCAAAGTATTCCTCATGAACAAATATATCTAAGCATGTAAGTGTTTTATTAATTTTTGTTATGTTTGGGACAGGGTCTCAATGTAGACCAGGTTAGTCCGAGGCTCTCTATGTAGCCCAGCCCAGCTTTGAATTTGTACTCTGCCTCAGCCTCCCAACTTTTGGGATTACAGGCATTCATCACCATACCAGGCCTATAAACAATGTGAATAGTAGATAAATGCAACAGTCCATGTGACTTTTTTAATGTACATTTCCAAAACTGTGTCAAGTTTTTTCCCTGAACTTATTGTACAGAACTCTTAACATGAGAGACAAGAATGCCTCAGTTGGCATTGATCAGCTATACAGAATGAATGCCTTCCAGATTACTTAGCAGCTAGGCAGTGATTTCAATGTAAAAAACTGATTTTTCCAAGTTGCTGTGTTCAGAAGTACAGTTGCCTCAGAATTAAATGACAGTTGTCCTTGTATATCTGCCTTGTTTATTCTTCTCAGACAAGGAGTCTCACGTTTCTGGAATGTACACTGAATACTGCAAGCAGCTACAAGCACTACCAACCCACTGATACCTCTGCTAAAGGCTCCAGGCGCCATGCACACCACTGCTTCTTATCTCCATTCACTCTTGGTATTGAGTCTTATACTCAGCTTATGTACTGAGTCTATACTCCATGGCAGCCACTGCGTGTGGTCAACAACACAGACATGGAAGCCACACTTGTGAATTGGGAGAGAACTGGGATACATCAAATAGTCACAAAGAATAAAATTACAAATGCTAATGATATTACAAAGGAGAAAACAAACATCCTCATCTAGTTTGGGCAGGCTTCCCTGGGGAAGAACTTGCCATCAAGTTCTGAATATGAACAGACGTGGAACCGGTCCAGGTGGGCAGAGCAATCAAAGCACTGTCTGAGCTTTGGCCTGCTGGCTGACAACATGGCCTCTAGCCTCTACGGATGCTAATGACCACTACTGCCTTTTCAATATTTCTTATTTCTTCTGGATCCTTTGGCTCACTCTTAATTGCTGTTTTTTTTTCTAGAAAAAGTAGCTTTTTGTGGCTACTAATAATATCTATCTTCTAGAACCCCAAGTTTTAGAACTCAAACTCTAACTCACTCTCTCTCTCTCTCTCTCTCTCTCTCTCTCTCTCTCTCTCTCTCTGCCCTTGATACCTTCCCACTATATTTTATACTTATAAAAATATTATCTTAGCTCATTTACAGTAATAATTCTTGGTCAAAAAGATCATCCATATAATTCTTATAATTCTAATTAACAAATTTAGAGGGGCTAGAGAGATGGCTCGGCATTTAAGAGTACTTGTTGCTCTTGCAGAGGACCTGGGTTCATTTCCCAGTACTCACAGGTGGCTCACAACTGTCCCTAAACGGTGAAAAACCAGTCCTGTTATTATGGAAAACCTTAAGGTTTTAAAGTTCACGTCTACATTATTTCATTGTATCAAACAGCTTTACTTGCTAAACAAAGATGCTTTGTTTATCAAAGTACTTATAATATTTGATGTCAAATACCCTAAAAGCTTAAAACTGTAGTCCCAAATGTACATAACCCCAATCTGTCTCTATGCAAATATTTTTAATTTTCTTTGCTACTTTTTTTAGTATTTTTTAAGAGAATATATTTGAAAAGTATGTATTTTAAAATAATATGCCTATCAGCTTTTATTGACTTCTCAATTTTAAACTTTATTTTTTCTTTGTTTTCTCCATTTTATGGTCTTTATTCAGCAATATATACATATATACATATTGCTGAATACATATATATGTAAAAAGTTTTCATATCCCAGAAAATAAAGTTTGAAAACAAGTAGCATTTAAACATAGCATAGTATTCTATCACAGTTGAAACTTTTCTCTTCTTTAAATGACTCAACAAAACCTAAAAATGAACTATGCTATGTCTAGTTTTATCTAATGCAATCATTTTTGTTCTCTCTGAAAATAAAACAAGATGTTTTCAGCAATCTTACTGTTTTTCACTATTATGACAATTTATGTACAGATTATTTTGAGGAAATTTATCATTCATTTCAGGCAAAAAAAAACAAAAACAAAAAACTTTGTTTGAACTGGGTGGTATGGTGGTGGCAAGTCTGTAATCCAGTACTTAGAATGCAGAGGCAGGAGGTTAGCTCAAAGCCAATATGGGCCACTTCCAAAATATGCCCAGTGCCATTGCTCAGTGAAGAATTTTTTTTTTTTTTACAGATTTATTTACTTATTATGTACACAGAAGAGGGTGCCAGATCTCATTACAGATGGTTGAGAGCCACCATGTGGGTGCTGGGAATTGAACTCAGGACCTCTGGAAGAGCCGTTGGTGCTCTTAACCTCTGAGCCATCTCTCCAGCCCCTGAAGAATTTACCCACTGAAAAGGATTTGGGAAATTCTGACCTCTTGCTAACCCAGGAAACGGTGGTGAAGGTGGTTACAACTCCATAGACTGCTGGCTTCCAAACAGCAAGCAGAAGGACTCGGTGGTAGTGCCTGCCCCACTTCTTGCCTCTCTCATTCAAATGATCTGTCCCAAATGTTCATCATCCTCGATAAGGGATAGCTGACAAACGTTTTTAATGATCCATCAATTTGTAATGCTCAGTTCCCTGGCGGCTTCACTATTCTAAACCCACATGATAATTATAGCTCAGGAGTTTATTTCACAGACCACGCTTCTAACAAAGACTAAAAATTCAAAAGTTTATAAGCAGAATTTTATTCAAGAAAGAAAATTCTTACCATGTTGAATTGTTGCTGTAGTTTTTCATTTGCATAATTTATGCAGAACTGTTCAAAACTATTTATCTCAAATGTTTCAAATCTGTAACACCAAAAAAAGTAAGATAGGAAGAAAAGAAAAAGAATAAATAGCTTTAAAAAAATATTTAAAATATGCATACTTGGAAGGAAAAAACGGGAAGTTCCTTAACACTATCACATTTTATTTATATATCAGATAAAGGTTTGTTGGAAAGACAGAACATGATGAGCATCAGTTGAGACAAAGCTTCCCTCTGTATGGCCCTGCCTACAGATGTGCAGTTTGGGTTTTTGGGTTTTTGAGGTTCATTCACCCTTCAGTACGAAACAACAGACCTAAGCTAAGGCCACAGTTCCTCTCAATGTATACTATCAACATTACACACAGAGAAGGGGGACAGAAATAGTAATGTTATAGGCTCTTCTGAAAAACTGAACCAGAGAGTGAAAAATTAGCTGCCAGTAACCAGATAAGGCAACTAGAAATTATACTTTTTAGAAATTCAATAATTTATCATGTAAGAGTCTGAAACCAATTAATTCTACTTATTGGCTTAGTAAGTAGGATCTGGATTTGAGCTAATTTTTGTTTAAGCAATATTTAATTTTTTTAAAGCATCATTATATCTCTATCATCAAAGACACTTCTAAATGGTCATAAGTAGAATTTCCTTTCTTCTCCACTACAAAACAAAATTAAACAGTGCTCCAAGTTACAAAAAACACTCCCAACAAACAAGTGTTTTCCAGCAGGGTCGGGCAGGAAGCCAAATGCACTTACCCGTAAATATCCAGCACGCCAATGAAAGAATGCTGCTTGACAGCAGAATGGAGAGCCTGATTGACATGGTCTACAATCCAGTTAAAGAGTTTGGCATAGATGTGCTTTGCTAAAGCATCTCGGGCATTTGTGGCCTGCAGCTTAGAGATGGGCTTGATGTATGTCTCTGTGGCAGTAGCCAGCTTTCGGTGGCAGAGCCAGTGACACATCTCTTCATAATCCACACCCATGAGGTCACAGAAGATGATAAGTGGCTCGTGCTTGGGCTGCCAAAAGAGAACGTGTTATTGCCTATGGCCAGATCAGCTAAAGAGTAAGTCCTGCAAAAGGAAGTAAGGAAATTTGCAATATCTCTGTCATATGGACATCAACATCACTCACACCTCATCAGTGAGATAATCAGAAGCATCCATAACCCAGCATCTGAATGTCACTTTGCAATTTCTTGTAGGACTCATTTGAAACAAAGTAACTTTCTTGGTGCTTCATAGATTTGTCTGTATCTCTCTTAGGACATATTCAATCACTCAGTCAGAAATCTGTCAGCTAGTCAACAAATCCGTGTCAGTAAACAAGAACAGGCATGGCCCTGTGATGGTCTGAATGAGAATGGCCCCCAGTAGCTCATGTATTTCATTCAGTACTTGGACACCAGTTGCTGGGACTGTTTGGGAAGGATTAGGAGATGTGGCCTTCTTGAAGGAGGTGTATCACTGGGAGCAGGTTTTGAGGTTTCAAAAGCCCACGCCACTCCCAGTGTGTCTGTCTCTACCTTGTGCTTGTGGGTCAAGATGTAAGCTCTCAGCTACAGCCTTAGTGCCATGCCTGTCTGCCTGCTGCCATGTTCCTTGCTGTGACAGTCATGGACTCACTCTCTGAAACTGTAAGCCTCAAATAAATGACTTCTTCTACAGTTGCCTTGTTCATGGTGTCTTATCACAGCAACAGACAAGTAACGAGGACAGCCCCTTCCCACCAAGTGCTTGCAGTCTTCAGAGGAAGTAGATATGACTGATTGCTTCTTGAAGTGTGAAACACCGCAAAGAGGCAGACACTGTGCTGAGAGTCCACATGAGGAGTTCACTCTGTCCAGCAAGGCAGGAGACAATTACCTTAGACCATTGATTAGAATATGAAAGAACAGCAGGTACTTCTTGGACAAGAAGAGGAGGAACGTTGTCTAATTTGGGGGGAACATGAGAGAAAAGCAATTCTGTAATAGGAGGGAAACCAGCAAGAGGAGGGGCTGAAGCTAAGTAAAGCAGAAAATAGGTAAAATGAAGCTACAAAGACCATGGCTGACCTTTATCCTCAGGCCACTGAAGGTTTGAACTAGACAGTCTGATGTCACTTGAGGGACTTTTTGGATTAGAATTCTTTAATGATCAACATATCCCTGAATAATACCTTACATGTTTTCTGTGGACCTTATATGAATGGATGTTTGATAAATACTTGTCTTGTTTAATCCACATCAGTGTGTTTTATTTTCCCCTGTCTTCCATATGCATCAAATTACATTTGACAACATTCTTGGGGAATGGGCAGGGTATACATTTATTTCTCATTGAAAAATGAGGAAATGAGATCCAAAAGAACAAACACCTTGACAACAATCACATGCTAGTTTATATCAGCATTGCCATTAAAACCTGAGTTTCCTGATGCCCTCGTCCCTGGACCCTTCCCAGTCAAGCAGCCTTTCCCTGACAGTAATCGTTTCAGATACAAATCAGTGTCTTGACTAACAACAATACTGATCTTTAAGGAGTGATACATCCTACAGCATGGATAGACTTTGAAACACCACATATTCAATTTACAATAGTGTCCAGAATGGGTAACTCTATAGAGGCAACAACGCATGACAGTTTGAGTCGAGGAGTTGGGGGCACAAGTTGAAACAGGTAAGGGGTCCAGGCTTCGTTTTGAAAGTATTTTAAACCCACTGTGGTGATGGTTGCATATATCTATGAGCATACTCACAACCATGCATTGCTGGTAGTAAATAGATTGTATCTCAATAAAGCTGCTTTTGGAAAAAAATAAACAACTGGTGCTAGGTATGATTATTCAGACCTGTAATCCCAGCACTCAGCAGGTTGAGGCAAGAGGATTGTCACAAGTCTGAGACCAACCTGGGCCACCAGGCAAGACTCTATCTAAAAAAAAAAAAAAAAAGCTAATATTTCCTTAAAAGAAATTAAGGGTTTAAATCAGAACTACCATTTTCTCCTTTAAAAAAAATAGTAGGGCTATGGAGATGATTCAGTCCGATGACCTAAGTCCAATCGCTGGGACCCAGGGAAAAAGCTGGATGGGTGGCCATCATCTGCAATCCCAGCACTCCATGATGGAATGGAAAAGCAAAGACAGGAGAACTGGCCAAAGGCTCCCAGTCTAGAGTGCCAGGAGCGGGCGGCAACAAGAGAGACCTTGTCTCAGCGGGCTGAAAGGGGAGAACCAACTCCCAAAAGTTGTTCTTTGGATTCCACATGTGTGTGGCACATACATGCCAACACACACACACACGCACACGCACACGCACATGCACACGCACACGCACTCACTGGGGCTGGAGAGATAGGTCAGCTGTTAAAAGTGCTTGCTATACAATTATCAGGACTGGAGTCTGGGTCCCAGCACTCAAATAGCAAACCAATCATGTAACTCTCGCTCTGAGCTAGCCAATGCCCGCTTCAGGCCTCTGCACATACACAGGTTTGTTGTGTGCCTGTGTGATTATGCATGTGCACAAACATACAGAATAAAATAATGAATAAATAAATGAAAAAATTAAACCTACTGTAGGTCTAGGGAGATGGCTCAGCAGGTAAAGCACAAATTTGACCCCAAGAACCACATGTCACAAACACAGTCCTTGCCTCACGTGTGTGAAGCCCTAGGTTCTATCCCCAGCAGTAAAACAAATCTGACAGTCAGTCCACCCTCACATTAGCTCGTTGTGAACTTACAGGTATTGTGCAGCTGTCTGCATCTCGAGATGCAAATCCAACATTGCCTAAGTGAAGGATGCCAGCAAGTATTCTAAAAATTCCCATTTGGTAAGATTCACTAATTCCTGGAATATAGCAAATAAACAAGCAATTTATGGCAGACTAGCAACAAAGTAATTATAAGACAATTTTTTAAGTCCAGTATTAATTCTTGAAAATTGCCAGATGTGCATATTATATACATAGTCACATATAACAATACTTTTATCTTTGTTGACAATACACACTAGGCAGTTTCGCATTGTGGGTTGTAGAGTGTACCTGATCGGGTTTCATGTCCTGCCACTGCTACCAACCTGCTACCTCCACAGACAGGTAACTTCATCCATCTATGCTTTGGCTTTCTTATTTGAGATAAGGAGATAATTCTTCAAAGAGTGTTTGAAACATTAAATGAGATAGTACCCAGAGTACACCTGGGACACGTTAGGTATTTAAAAAGTGATCATTGTCACATCCTAGATATATAGGTATTTTATTAATATTATTGCTACTATCTATCCCTACCCCAAATAGATACTGCAGCCCAATAAGGCTGATTTAAGTTGGATTATTGAATTACTTCTAAGTATAGATTAATTAGAAATCAAAGAGATCCCAAGATCAGAAGCATTCAGATGGTTTTATACTCCAAGCTAATAAGTGAAAGTCCAAACACAAAATAGAACAGGACCTAAATGATATGGTGAGGTTAGAAAGTTGGATACTTTCTAGCTTTTAACAGATCTGGTTTCATTTTCTCAGTGAAGAAAATAAGTTCCAGAATATTAAACATAATTCTATAAGTAAAAGTAGTAAAATTATTTTCAAAACATTTTTCTATAAGGCATTTGAGAATTTACCTTATGGTGAATAGTTTTGCTATCTCCTACATTACATAATGGTCCTTCCTTCCTTCCTTCCTTCCTTCCTTCCTTCCTTCCTTCCTTCCTTCCTTCCTTCCTTCCTTCCTGCCTTCCTTCCTTCCTTCCTTCCTGCCTTCCTTCCTCTCTCCCTTCCTTCTTTCTTCCCTCCCCTCCTTCCCTCCCTCCCTCCCTCCCTTCATTCCTTTCTTTTTTCCTTTTTGGCTTTTTTGAGACAGGGTTTCTCTGTGTAGCCCTAGCTATCCTGAAACTCACTCTGTAGACCAGGCTGGCCTTGAACTCAGATTCTCTTGCCTCTCTGCCTCTCGAGTGCTGGAATTAAAGGCACATGCTACCACACCCCAGCACTGTACTAGCCTTTTTAAATTCTTTAAGGAGAGCAGTGTTCTCTTAATATGTTCATAGATCACTGACAGGCCGTATCTTTGTGAGGTGGTATGAAAGTCTACATTTTTAGCAAGTCCTACAGTGGTTCAGGACCTAAGCTCTCTTGTTTGACAGTATGTCTCTAAATACTAAAATACAATATTTGAGTTACTTCTATTCTGAGGTTTTGTAAAAAGATGGGGGGGGGACATCTTTAAAAGTTGTATAACTCTAAGTATGAACTGATTCATCTGTGGACTTAACACTTTCAAATCACAGAGAGAACAGTGGCATCTGTTTCAAAAACACGAATAACGCTATGTACATGCATAAAATTTTCAAACAATAAGAGATTTAACAACTCCTTTATCAAACAACAACAACAAAAAGAAAACACTAGATACATGTGTTATGTCACCATGCCAACTTAGTTATGCTTCTTAGCTATAAAAGATCCTGAAAATAATAAGAAAAACAACAAAAGCAAAACCCTGCACTGGGCATTGTGGCACATTACCCTCCATCCCAGTACTCCAGAGGCCAAGGCAGAAGGATCAGAAGTCCTAGATCAGGCTGGGCTACATGGTGAAAACCTATATCCAAAAATTACCAACAAATAAAAACAGAAGAACCCAAACAAGCAAGTCCCCAACCAACCAACCAACAAAACCCACAAAATGTGAGTTTATAAAACAAAACAAAACAAAACAAAACCCACTTCATTTAGTTTCAAACCCTAGATTTTTGTAAAAATTTGAGCTAAAAGTTAATCTTACCTCTCCTTGTGCTGAAATACGCTTTGAAAGTGCAATTCAATGATCCTCAGTAAATTTACAAGGTTGAGCAGCTGTTACCCCACTATCTAATCCTGGAACCATCCTAAGAAACCTTATGCCCATTAGTCCGCACATGTTCCATATATGTGAACTCTCCCAGCACTGTTTACCAGTTAACACAAAGTCAAGCCAATATTCCAAACAAAGTCTACTCGAGTCAAATGACCAGCACTTATAGAGTTCAGGAAACGAATGACATTACCCAGCAGAGTGCAGGCCTGCCTGGTGTGTGCCATCTCCTTCGCATCATCCACTCCTTCGATCATAGGGCTGCCTCCTTGCTTTGTGTAATGAAAACTGTCTGCGTTTCCTGCAGTGAAGGAGGTAAAAGGTTTTTCGTCCATGAGGAGAAGCTTGGACATCCACCCTTACAAACATGTTGAATTAGAGGCTGTGACAGCACGCTGGTATGTAGGGTTTGGAGTCTGCCCAGTTTTAAAATCATCCTAATGTAAGATCCAAAACTAAAATGTTTGCAGATTTTATGTTAATTGGCAAAATAAATTATACTTTCTTTGGGTTTAATTCCAAACAAAATGCTAGAATATGTTTCCTCAAACACTTTCATCAAAGCAGTTTTGAAACATGTATAAAAGTAGAGAGGCTCAAACGCTGAGTCCCATCTACTCCTCACCTACCTTAGCCGACTGCCACAGGCAATCCTGTCCCTGATAGAGCCACTCACCCCCACCCGTGGGATGTTCTAAAGCCTGCTGCAGACCCTCAAGAATCATTATTTTCCTAAGTATTTTAGTGTGAAGTAAGATATTTTTTGACAAGCTTGAAGAACTCAAAATTTAACAGAAAAGAACACCAATATAATAAATGTAGTGTCATATCCGTACCTAATCGCAGCATTTTAAACTCAGGTAGCTTTGCTGAAGCACAGAGCTGGTAGAAGATATGGTAGTTTCTCTCCTCTTCTGCCTTTGAAATAAGAAGAGCTTTCAATTGTGGCATTTTAATATAAAATCCAGGAAAACCTACTACAACATATAATCTTAATATTTAACTATCTCAGTAAATTCCCATATTTTCTAATACTGATTTAAATAATTAAACCTTATGATTTATACTACATATACAAAGTAGGAAGAGAGCTTGAGACTTAAAACTTGAAGTCAGGCTGGGCAAACAGTGAGGCTCTTCCTCTTGAAAAATAAAAAATAAATAAGTATAAATGTGTTAGTCATATTCAGTATGAAATACCAGCTAGCAAGGCTTTTAGGGGTTTTGGCATTATAGACTAAACTCAAGGCCACTGCACTGTACCTCAAGTCCAGTTTAACTTTATTTGAGATAGTCTCACTAGACATCCTGTCTGGCTCTGAACTGCTTTGTAGATCAGACAGGCCTTGAACTTGTGAGTCTTCTGATTCGGCCTCCTGAGAGGCCTGTACCACTGTGCCCGGTCTTAGTAACGCTTTCTGAATTAGTGAATGGCTTGAGAGATGGCCACAATTACTAGACACCAGTGATTCTGGGGAAGCTGAAATGATTTTTTTTTCAAGGCTCACCATTATTTTCTACTAATAACTTCTAGATTCATGGTACTCCTAATACTTTGACTAAGTGAGAATAATCTTATCTTTGCCATACTTTAGAGATAATGATCTCTTATATAACTGTAATAAATATACAAATGTACTATATTCTCTCTATATATATCTATATATTATATACTTTGCATTATGTAACATATATATTTTCCTATTAACAACAGTTTGATAAAATAAAAAAATAATTTATAATGTAAGGTCAATTTTTAGTATTTCCTTAGTCTTTTTTTCCACACATACATCTAGAGTATAGCTGCAAAAGTTACTGTACATATGAAGCTGAATACTAAAATCCAATCAACAGACTCTTAGATTTTGGAGTATATTCACGTGAATAAAGATTAGTGTTAATAAGGTTAAGTGTGTGTGTGTGTGTGGGGGGGGGGGGTTCTGAAGCCTAAAGGGGTCAATGACTACTGCAGGGACACAGGACACTGAACAAACATACCAATGATCACAAGCATGATTAGGTAGGAGATCAGGTGGTTCAGCACACAGAAACTAGAAAAGCAGGTGGGTCTGCAGAAACACTGTGGTCATCTTTGTACAGAATAGCTAATACCTAGCATACTTATTTTGACTGTGATTCATTTGATATAACAAATATTCTCAATGTTCTATACTCCTGAAGACTGGGGAACTGCCAGACTTACTACCACACCTATAAGATAAAGATTAAGCTTTACCAAATTCTTCATTAGGCAGTCTTAGCCACTGGTCTACATACTGACTAAGGTCAATTTCCTATCTGTATTATCTTTGCTCACAGTCCTACAAATTTCTTTTTTTTAAAGATTAATTTTATTTTATGTACATAGGTGTTTTACCTGCATGTCTGTCTGTGCACCACATGTGTGCTGTGCATGTAGAGGCCAGAAAAGGGTGTTGAATTCCCTGGGACTGGAGTTACAGACAGTTGTTAGAGACCATATAGGTATTGGGATTTGAACCCAGGTCCTCTCTTAACCTATGAGCCATTTATCCAGCCCCGTGTTCTTACATATTTCTGCGTGTACTTAACCTATCTATATTTCACTCATTCTTTCTTCTCACTATTGACAATTTTTAAAATCTTATATAAGTATTAATGTGTGGAATAGTACTGTTGTTTGTAACTTAAAAGGAGGGTGGTTATTGTCTTACTATACATCTCAAATATTACATTTTAAGTTTATACATATCAAGTGTTATAATTTAAAATTAAATATTTAATCAGGCACAATCCCAAAGTTAAAGCCAGGGTTCTTGGCTCCCCTAACTCATGCCTCTTGATGTATATAAGATAATTTCAAAGCCACAACAGACTTTGGCAACAGAAGATTGGATCCTGCCTGAATTTTAATGATGTGGCATCCAGCACATGGGCCATTGAAACTCTGGCTCTTAGGATGAGGTGTGCAGTGGGTTACCAGGAGCCACATACTGCTATTTTCTGATGATAATCTACATTCCCCAATGCGCCTACAACGTGTAAATGTGCGCCTTCTAGTGCTGCAAGTATACAGTAGGTCTTTCCATCAGAAAGGAACAGCAATGTAAGTGCCAACAAAAATTCTGTACGAATGTTCAACTGTGGTGTGATTGCAGTTTACAGCTGGGTTATGGCAGATTGTTTTTAGCTCTTACTGTGGCAGGAGAACAGGGTCTGGGCTGAAACATCAGGGTAACAGGAGGAATGCCAGTCTGCAAAAGAGGGCTGGAAGCCCTTCCTTACTGGTCTTCTTCTAAAGAGCATGCTCACAAGAAGCCCGGCCTATTCAAACTTGGAAGCGGTATTATGTAAATAGTCTGTAATGGATCTGGGCCACATGGCCCAGTATTTGTTGAGCTCTTTCCTTAGCTCATTAGCCCACTTCCATTCTTTGGATACTTTTCCTTTCTTAATGAGCTGTCTGTTTCTATTTCTAACCATGCCTCCCTTGGCAATCCTTTGCTCTAGGGTACAAGTGCCTAGAACTGGGTACCTCTGAACTCGGATGAGACTCAGCACCCCTAAGCATGTTTTTCCTTATATTCTGGGCCTTGTCTGACCTCCAAGCCTAGCTTAAAAGGCCTGACTGTTCTCTGTTTTCCCTCTTCCTGGTGGCTGCTGGGATTGTGAGCTTTCGTCTATTGCTGTTTTACTTCCAAACTTCAGTAAAATTATCCTCAAGCACCTGAATTTGTTTTTAAATTATTTTATCAATAAGACTAAGAGCTCAAAGAGACTTCCCTCTCTCAATTTCTCTGGTAACATCACTATTCTACTCAAAAAAATTTTATATCCTAAGATTAAAAAATGCTTTCTTTGTCAACTGGGAACTATAAAAGACAAGACTAAATAATGTCTCCTCTTAACTAAGCTTTTCAACAAGCATCTGTAAGCAAAAGTCAAAATCACTACACCAGACTCAGAAAGACAAACCGTGCATATTTTCTTTTACATGCAGAATATAGATTTAAACATAAATAAATGCATAACACACACACACACACACACACACACACACACACACACACACACACACACGAAGCAACGTGAACACCCAACATGAAGGCGGAATAGAGACTATGATGAGTTATGATGTTTAAAGCAGGGGGAGGGAGTAAACAAGAGGTCATGGAGTGGAGAAAAACAACATGTTTTCTTTCACATGCAGAAATCCAGCTTTCAGATATATGTAGATGGATATGCACACATATATGTCTGAGAATGAAAGCAGGAGGACACTGTGGGGAGAGAAAGCACACCAGCAAGAGACAGGAAAGACAGCAGAGGGTGGAGGAGTGGTGTGGAGCTAAGAACAATGTACATACACGGACGTCATCATGAAATCCATTATCTTGTACAGTAACTTAAAAAGTTAGTAAAATACAAAACAATAAACTGAAACCAATGCCCACTCTCAAGAACTACTAGTTTGAAGCAGTAGTTCCTACCTGTGGCAGTAACCATTTTATGTTCCTATCCAAGGGTGGTTTATGGTAATACTGTGAGAATATGCTCAAGAGTACTGAGAAATGAGGTATATCACACTAGCAAGCAAGGGCTCTACAACTGTTGTAGTGTAGCTTTTTCCTTGGGCAATAAATGGCCATCATCTTGGAAAGGAGATTATGTTAGCTCTTGTAGCCATGGAAACGAATTGAGCAGAACCCCAAAGATGTAGCTAGGTCCTAGGTAATGGTGATGAAGCTGTGATATATACTAATAGAAAAAGTTGAGGTGGGGTCACAGGAGCTGCAGCTGGGATTGCAGCAATTACTTTCTGCTCTGTCCTCCCCCAGTGCAAATGATCTTGGGAGATGCTAAAATATATAAAAATGGAAGATTACCTGAAAGGGAGGCTCTATGATGCCGCTTCTATGAGGTTGTCATTCATGATGGGATGGGACTTCATAGTAATACAGCTGCTTTGGGGTCAACCATGCTATGTAAATAAGCCTAATAAACTCACTGGTCCATCAAATTGGACTTCCATAAAAGTTATTTTATTCTGTCATTGGTGCCCACTGTGGGCTGCTTGTTCCCATCTCCCCAGGAAAACTTCACATAACTGTAATTTATATAGTAATCCAAAAATCCACACAAGTATTTGAATGTGTGTGCACATCCAGCTTACCTGGAATACCACTCTGGATTTCTCTAAAAGGTAAGTTCTCATATTGGCACCGATGATTCGATATCTCTTATCAAAACCAATTTCAATATATTTCCCAAACCGGCTGCTATTATCATTCCTGGTTGTTTTGGCATTTCCAATTGACTAAGAAGCAAGAGAGAAGACAAGATTTTAGAAGGGTACTGTATGCCATTTACAAAGCTTACTCAGAGAGAGAAGGATTAGAATATATATCTTAGTTTTAACTGATTGTTTTAATATGAAAACAAATTCTTCCCTTGTAGGCAGCATACTGTCTGCTTGGACCCCGACTGCACAGGTAGATGCCAACAGTTTATCTTAGTCTTGTCATTTCATAGAAATGAATTTCAGGAGTAGCAGGACTGATGCAGCAGTGGTGAGATTTTCATACACCATCCTGTCATTAGCCATCAAAAATTCAGAAGACTGTCTTGTAAATGAAATCATTAAGACAAAGGGAAATTTCCCTGGAAATGCTGGTTTGGTATAAAAGGTCTCTTTAGAACTAGACAGTTCTATCACCTTATCCTATAGCAACAGAGGCCAAATGGGACTGCTTATTAGCAGGTTTTAGTATTATCCATTGTACCGATTGATTTCATTTTGAGACAGCATCTCACATACTCCAGGCTAGCCATGAGCTCCTGATGAAGCTGAGGATGCCTTTAAACTTCTTATGCTCCTGCTTCTACTTCCCAAGTACAGAGGTTATAGGCATGTGCCAACATGCCTGGCTTTACTCACTCAATTTGAATGCCATTTTCAGAAACCAGAAGAAAAAAAAGGGAGCTGTCTTGAATATAATGTGAATGTGTGTATGTGTACAAGTACACATGTGCAGTTGTACTGTGCATGATGCCCAGAGGTTAATGTCAGGTGACTTCCTTGACCACTGTCCACTTTATTTACTGAGGTACGGTTTCTCACAGAACCCAAAGCTGATAATTCAGCTTGTCTAGCTACCCAGCTTGCCCGAGGGATCCCCTGTCTCTACCTCCTAAGCACTAAGATTACAGGCAAGCCACCAAACCCAGATTTTTAAGGTAGGTACTTAGGACCTAAAGTCTGATTCACACTTTATCCATGAGCTACTTCCTCAGACCCCAATTATTTGTTGTTATTGTTTGGGGGTTGTGTTTGTTTCTTTGTTTGTTTTAAAGACATCTTATGTAGTCCAGGTTCACCCTGAACTTGCTATGTAGCTGAGGATGACCTTGAACTGATCCTCCTGCCTCTCCCTGTAGAGTGCTAGGCTTACAGGCATGTGCACAGGGCTTTGTTCATGTTAGGCAGGTACTCTTCCAACTGAGTAACATCTCCAGTCCAGCACTGGTTTTGATGGTTTTATCTAACTTGTAAAATATCTTCAACCAAATACTGAGAATGTAACTTTCTTCTTAATATTATATGTAACCTTAAAATTTTAATGGCACATGTCTGCTTTTTAATTTAGTAGAAAGTGACATGCTTCTGTAAATTTCCCTTTTAAGGCAAAAACAAAACAAAACAAAAAACAAGTGTAGTTAGAAGAGCAAGCATTCACATTATATATATATTAAACACTCAATAACTTTATTTCATAAAAGATTAACATTTGCCCCTTGTGCAAACTCTGTTAGGATTAGTATATCAAAACCATAATGAAGAGAAATAGTGCAGAATGTTAAGAGAAAGAATAATACCAGGGATAAAACAACAGGACCGTAGCCACAGAGTCCACATACTTGATGCTTTGACAGTCAAAGAAAATGTGTCCTCACTGTCTCAAACAGAAGGAAGAGAGCATCAGAATTTGTGTCAGCAATGAGGATATTATTAGAATTTGGGTTAACATTTTTAGTGCATTCTATATTGCTTCAGACTTATCTCCTCTTCAACTTACAGCTTTATGAAATGAATGATCATGGATACTGGTTGGATTGATTTCCACTGGGTATTTTAGAGTAACTTTCTAAAGTGCTCCACAGGTGATAACTTCATGAATTGTTTAGTGACTAATTCTTGGGTATGGTGCTATACTCAAAAAAGCAAAGTTACACTACAAAAAAAATCTCAAATGTCCTTTTTTCAAACGGAGTGAACTTGATCAGAGCTGCCCATATGTTCATGGACAATCTACCAGGAGCCACACCCCTGAAGGAAACTGAGTCTCCAGCCATCTGCAGCCATCAGCTACAAAGAGCTCTCAGGCAGGAGCAGGGCTTCATGAACTCCTCCACCATCCTGGCTGGGATTCTGACTTGCTCGGACCCTGTACTGGTCTCATGCAGGCAACCACAGCTGCTGAGAGTTCATGACTGCAGTCGCCCTGCTATGTCTAGAAGACACCGTTTTATGGCAGCCCTCCCTATTCTCTGCTCTTATAATCTTTCTACTCCCTCTTTTGTGATGTTCCTGAGCATTTGGGGAAGAGTGTGAACACAGATGTCCCATTTAGGGCTGAGCACTCACTCCACAGACATTTATTTTCTGCATTCTGATAAACTGTGACTTAGCTCACCGTTCTTGACGTTATAAAAAACTTAGTATGCCATACATTTTCTGGTGTTTTATTTAGAAATATGAGATTAATAATAAATACAGAATTTTCAGTTGAAAGGATATATTCTGTCAAAAAGTAAATACAAGGTTACCTGTAGTAAAAGCAGCAGTATCAATGATATCATTGAGTGCTTACCAGGCCCTGCCCTGAGTAATTTCATGTCTATATCTAAGGGGGAAGTGGTCTACAATTTCTATTCCTCAGCTTGTATGTACTGTCCATCTCTCATACTAGACTGGCAACTTGCTAAAGCAATGCTACGTACTGTGAGAAGTGGGCAGGCTAAGGCTAAAGCAGGCCTTTTTGACTCTGAGTAAAACATTTAAACAGAACAACAAGTGATGGACGGAGCAAATGCAGTCAGTTTGAAGGCTTGGGTGTCAGAGTAGGCCCATTCAATCTCTCTGAGAAGCACTAGCATCCCCAGAGGAAGAGATGAGCTTATGAAAGTAAAAAGGGGAATGTTGGGGATGAAAGGTGTCAGGGACAGGAAGATGGGAGAGAGGAGCAGGTATGTGTCAGAGGAGCAGGGGCTCAATCTAAGATAATTATGCATGAAAATGCCATAAGGAAGCTTATCATGTTATATGCTAACCAACAAATTTAAAAAATTAAAACATTGGGGGCTGGAGAGATGGCTCAGTGGTTAAGAACACTGGCTGCTCTTCCAGAGGAACCAGGTTTGAGTCCCAGCACCCACATGGTAGCACACAACTGTTTCTAACTCCAGTCCCTGAGGAACTGATGCCCTTTAGCTTCAGGAGGTACCAGGCAAGGATGTGGTGTACCTACACACATGCAGGCAAAACATTATATACATAAAATAAAAATTTAAAGAATAATGACAAGATTCTAACCTTTAGACTTAATATGGAAAGATGTATCTTTTGTTTGTATTTTCTAGTTTGTATTTTCTTCTGTCTTTTAAGTACTATATCCACAAGACTCCAATGTTCTTTTCATTTCAATCAACAAGAAACTGCTATGCTATAGGAAGGTTATGGCTATGGTTCAGTTGAAGCATCCCTGCTTCTCTAGGACCAAGTGAACTTGAGCATGATGGATAATCTTTTTGATGTGTTCTTGAATTGAGTTTGCAAGTATTATATTGAGAATTTTTACAACAATATCTATCAGAGATTCTGACCTATAATTTTCTTTTTTGTTAAGCCTTTGTCCCTAATGTTGGTATCAGGGTAATATTGGCTTTGTAAAAAGAATTTAGAAATGTTCCTTCATTTTCTATTATACTAAATAATTTGAGGAGTATTGATATTATTATTATTATTTCTTCTTTCAAGGTCTGGTAGAATTCTGTCCTGAATCCATCTGGTCTTGAGCTTTTTTTATTTTTTTGGGGGGGGGGGCTGTTTAATTACTGTTTCTATCTCATTGGAGGTTACAGGTCTATTTAAATTATTAACTTCATCTTGATATAGCTTTGGTAGACCATATATATCTAGAAATTCATTTTAAGTGATTTTTTCCAATTTTGATTCTCTGAATTTCCCCAGTGTCTGTTGTAATATCTCCCTTTCTATATCTAATTTTATTAATTTGGATTTGTTCTCTCTTTACTTAATATGGATGAGGTTTGTTAATCTTGTTAATCTTTTCAAGGAACAATCATTTTATTGATTCTTTGTATTATTTTTCTTCATTTCTCTTTTATTCATTTCAGCCCTGATTTTGATTATCTCTTCCTGACTACTCTTTTGGGAACTGTTTGTTCTTGTTTTTCCAAGGCTTTCAAGTGTGTCCTTAAATTATTAATTTGAGATCTCTCATGTTTTTGATGCAGACACTAGGTAATATAATCTTTCCTTTTGGGATTCCCTTAATTATATCAAAGTCACAGATTTTGGCAGGCTGTGTTTTCATTTTAATTCAATTCTAGGAATTTTTAGATTTCCTTCACTATTTCGACTTTAATCCAATTATCATTCATGAGTGTGTTGCTTAGTTTCCATGAGTTTGTGCCATTTGTGTGGTTTCTATTGCTGTTGATATCCAGCTTTATTCCATTATGATCAGATAGAATGAAGAAAGTTATTTCAATTTTCCTCTATTTGTTTAGGTTTGCTTTGTTCTAATATGTGATTGATTTTGGAGAAAGTTCCATGAGCTGCTGAGAAGAATATATATTCTTTAATGTTTAGGTGGAATGTTTAGTAGATATCTGCTAGGCTCATTTGATTTATGATATCAATTTGACTCCAGTTTCCTGGCTGAGTTCTTTTGTTCTCGGTGTATTGGTGAGAGTAGAAATCACTCACTATTATCACTAGGTTGTGGTCAATCTGTGTTTTTATATCAAACAGTGTTTCTTTTATAAAACGGGATACCTCTATGTTTGGTGTATATATGTTTAGGTTTTTAATTTGAGACAAGATCTTGCTATGTAGCCCTGGCTAGTTTGTAACTCACTGTTTAGCCCAGGCTGGACTCCAACTCATATTGATCCTTTTGCCTTAACTTCCTAAAAGCTGAAATTATAGATATGAGTCATCAAAATTGTTATTTATTTATTTATTTATTTTAGTTTTTCGAGACAGGGTTTCTCTGTGTAGCTTTGGCACCTTTCCTAGAAATCACTCTGTAGCCCAGGCTGGCCTCAAACTCACAGAGGTCCACTTGCCTCTGCCTCCCCAGTAATGGGATTAAAGGCGTGCACCACCACCACCTGGTTTATTTTGGTTTTTTTGAGACAAGGGCTATGTAGTCCAGATTGGCCTCAAACTCACCATGTAGCCAAGACTCGCCTTGAACTCCTGGCCCTCTCCTAAATGCTGGGATTACAGGTGGTATGCCACTACTTCTGCCTCCCACATTCTCTTTTGGTCTTTTAAATTAAAACAACCTGTTTGCAGTTGCTAAAAATTCTCTACTTTTAAAAAATTCATTTATTTTTATTTTATGCGTACATGCAACACATGTGTGCCTGGTGCCAGAGAAGAACAGAAGAGGGTGTTATATTCTCCGGAATGGGAGTTTGAGGTGCTTGTAAACCACTATGGGATGCTAGGAACCAAATCCAGGCCCTCTGCAAGAACACAAAATACTCTTATTGCTTCTGCCTCGGTCTCCAAGAGCTTGGATCACAGTAATGAGCCACCATGCCTGGCAAGAGCAGCGAGGACTCGGAGTGATCTCTTCAGGCTAGAAAATTCTCTACTTTTTGTATATGGTATTGGGAACTGAACCCAGGGGCTTGTAATGAAGCTGTCTACTGCTGAACTACATCCCTCAATGGTCCTTTATCAAGGGAACTCTTGATCTAAATGCAAATAAGTAAACAGTAATACAGAAAGAGAACCTTTATCTTTTTTTTTTTTTTTTGCTCATCTCAGCAAACAAGGTAAACTCCTCTTAAATGCATTTTATTTAAAAAAGTGTTTGTGTCCATTTTAAAATTTTAATATCATTCCTACCAACAAAACTCAAATTTACTGTAAACCATGACAACAAAACAATGTAGCTGTTTTTTGAAAGAGGTAGAAAATTGCTTTTGACATTATTTTAAAAAGGTCATTGGGACGTATTCCCAAAACAAACTCAAATTCTAGTTTTGGGTGATTTATCCCAGAAGGCCTGGGACTTCCTAAAGCTCCAACAATCAAGATTTTAGGATATTCCAATATTAGGAACTAGGATGTCTTAGGGCTCTGTCAAATCTAGGAATCTGTTGCACTAGGGGAAAATGGATAAAAGCCTAAAATAAGCCCTGTTTTTTTTTTTTTTTTTTTTTTTTGGTTTTTCGAGACAGGGTTTCTCTGTGTAGCTTTGCGCCTTTCCTGGAACTCGCTTTGGAGACCAGGCTGGCCTCGAACTCACAGAGATCCGCCTGGCTCTGCCTCCCGAGTGCTGGGATTAAAGGCGTGCGCCACCACCGCCCGGCCCTGTTGTTTTTTAACTCAAGTTAAAAACTGGCTCCACAAAATGTATTGCTCCTATATAATTTTATATATATATATATATATATATATATATATATATATATATATATATATATATATATATAAACATCAGTAGCATCCACTCCTATATACAGAGCTAAATCCTTTCAAAACCTTAATTTTAGATTTTACTACTTTCCTGTGGCACAGCCACCTGCTCCTTCCTGCTCATGTTATAACAGAAACCTCCTCCTCCTTCCTGCAGCACACCTAGCTTTGGAAGCCTCTCCACTTCCTCAGAGTATCTTGTGTAGGCCATCCAGGATGGGAGTCCTGCTGCTCTAAGGGGCAGCCATGTAGACAGAGGTCACAGCAGCGGTTTAGAGATGTTACACACAGCACCGCAAACCAGGCACAATTACCTCTCGTCAGTTTACTGCAAAAACCACCCGTACCAAGGCGCATCAGTCAACTGAGTCCATCTGTGTGTGGCTGAGAACGAGAACTTGACAGGAAAAAGACAGGGATGAAATCATGCCCGTGTGAATTTTCACACCAAGGGTTTGTTTCTGCCTGTCCTGATTTCTCTCCATTTAACGAAATCTATTTTTCTCATTTTTCACAAAGCTATAACCTCCCTGAAGTACTAGTAACAAGGGACTCTCTTCCAGCTACAAATCTTTAAACATCAAATTGTCATACATCCAATCCCCTTGTTTTTGGCACATATACAAAGGCATCTACTTTGTACATGGCCTTGACTTTGGCTTGGTTTGGTTTTTCTGAGGCAGAGTCTTACTCTGCTGCCCACTGGCCTCCAGCTCATGGTGGTCTTCCTCCCTTAAGCCTCCCCAATGCTGGGATAACAGGCATAAACCATCGTACCCATCCGACTTTTGAAGGTACATTATCTTTTCATGGTATTTCCTTTCTCAAGAATTTATAATTTTGAATTTCTTTACTAAGACACACCTGTATAATACATTTGCTTTTCTTTTTTGGTTTTTTTGAGACAGGGTTTCTCTCTGTAGCCCTGGCTGTCCTGGAACTAGCTCTGTAAACCAGGCTGGCCTCAAACTCACAGAGATCCACCTGCCTCTGCCTCCAGAGTACTGGGATTAAAAGTACGAACCACAACTGCCTGGCAACAGTTTTATTTTTTTCTAAAAGTAAAAAATGCTCATGTGATTAGGGTTTATATATGTAATTCAGATTTGGGAAAAAATTAAAATTTGTAGCTAAAGAGGTTGAACTAAGCATAGAAAATGTATCATGGGTAAAAGGATACAGAACTCACTCTTGCTTGAGTGAGAGCAAACCCTGTTTTGGAAGGAGTATAAACAAGTACTCAGGACTGGGAGGAAATGAGTAACTTTACCTCTGTACAAGGAACAATAGACATGAAGAAGTGCTGCCTGGTATTATAGGCAGAATTCTTTCTGAAAGTTAAAAGTACATTATGGAGTAATGAAGATTCCTCTACATCTAGGATTTACTCAAAACACCCACCTTCAGAATTTTCACTTTTCCTAGATCTCTTACTAACAGACAGAAAATAATTCCCTTAGTTTTAGTGGCTGGAAACCTTCGACTTTCTGACATGTACTACAGTAATCAAGTTCTCAGCTCCTTTCTTAATCAGAGACTACAGCAAAGGGCCAAGAGTGCTGCTCTTACCTCCATGATGGGGTTGGAGGCCAAGACCTTTTCCTCGACATTGGCCTCACTGGCAGAACCACTTACAGTTGCGAAGTATCGCATGGCATATTTAGCTGAGACCGTCTTTCCTGCGCCCGACTCTCCACTTACAATGATGGACTGATTTCGTTCATCCCTATAAAACAAATAAGCGTGACTGCCAGTGCATCTACTTCAGAATGCGACGACTTACGTGCCTTTCTCCCCATGAGGCAGAGTGAGTTTCTGCTAGATCATATATACAAGGTAGAAGCAAATATATTTATTTGAAACATATAAACGTATTTGAAACAAATAAATGTATTTATTTGAAACTATATTTAAAAACGTATTTCATAATAAGAATGACTACCTATAAACAAGACAGAAAAGAAGGATATACCATTAACTTACGAGAATTATATAACTAAGAACAACTCTGTATTACAGGCATTCTGAATTTTCCATGTGTGTATCTTACAGTATTTTATTCATGGACATGTTCATTGGCATTTTATAATATCGTCAGCTACCATAGAATAAAAGAGGAATATTCTTTGGATCCACAAAAGAAGAATTTAGGGGGGAAAATTCTTAATTAAAGTTGTATAAAATCATTTGAAATATTTCAAATCTATCTGCTAATGATCTGTGAAGTAGACTCTCCCATAAGCTCCTGTTCCTACCAATCACTCACAGTACCAGGTAAGAATCCATTTTGTTGGCTAATTTCATTTAAAAAATGCCATCATTCATGGCTGAAGATACAGTAATAGAATACCACTATTATGTTTTGGTGTGTGTGAAGATGAAGCCTAAGCTACAATGGAGACCCCAGGATGTTGGAGATGTCAGACCGGGAGGCACTGATTACGGAAAGCTGCACGCAGAGAATGGAGTGACCACAAAAGAGAGTTATATGCTCCCTGTGGGTGGTAGAGCTGGAAGGGCTGGAAGGATGGAGCTACCCAAGCCTTTGGAACCATGTTAGACACAGAACTGCAGAATTTGGTATTTTTCCTGCTGAGTTTTAGTCTTGCTTTGTTCTGACCATTCCTTATTATGCCCCCATTCTTACCTGCCGCAAAGGAGATTTTCATTCTGTGCCATTATATACTGGAAGTATGTAACTCGTTTTTAAAAAATATATATATATAGTTTTGTTTTTGTATTTCAAGACAGGGTTTCTCTGCGTAGTTTTGGTGCCTGTCCTGGAACTCACTCTGTAGACCAGGCTGGCCTCGAATTTACAGAGATTCGCCTGGCTCTGTCTCCCGAGTGCTGGGATTAAAGGTGTGTGCCACTATCGCCTGGCTTGTTTTATATTTTATAAGAGCTTGTAGTTAAGAAATGGCTTTGAGTCTCACACAAGACTTGGACTTGGAATTTTTAAACAGTGTGTGGACTGCCAAATACTATGGTAACTTTAGAATTTGACTGATTGCATTTTACATCATGAGCTAGCTATGAGCCAAGGGGACAAGAAGTGAAAGGTTATGGTTTTAAAGTGATGTGTTTGGTGTCAAATTGACAATGGGTAAAGCTGTGATGTTTAAACTGACTGTTAAATTGATCAGATTTAGAATCCCTGGTTATGTCTGTGAAGGATTATCTAGACTTGGTTAATTGAGTAAATTCTAACACAAGTGTGGCAATACAACTCCGGGGGCTGGGGTCCTGAGGAGAAAATGAGCTGATCATCAGCAGTTATCTCTGTTTCCTGGCTGGTGATGCAAAGTGGTTTCTTCTGCTGTGACCTCCTGCCACAAAGGACTAGACCTTAGAGTGTGAGCCAAACAACCCCTTCCTTCCTCAAATTGCTTTTGTCACGTGCCTTGTTACAGCAACAAAGTAACTGATGTGGCCCGGTGGTGGTGGCGGTGGCGGTGGCGGTGGCGGTGGCGGTGGCGGTGGCGGGTGGCGGTGGCGGTGGCGGCGCACGCCTTTAATCCCAGCACTGGGAGGCAGAGCTAGGCGGATCTCTGTGAGTTCCGAGGCCAGCCTGGTCTATAGAGATCAGGACAGGCACCAAAACTACACAGAGAAACCCTGTCTCGAAAAACCAAAAAAAAAAAAGTAACTGATGCAGAGAGGAAATTTTTTTATATTTTAGTCCATATTCACTTGGGTCCCTTGTTTCTGGGACATGCTGACTCAGCACAGAACAAGGAAGCAAAAGCAAAGCTGCTCCCCTCATGGCAGCCAGGAAGCAGACAAAACTGAGAAGGGAAAGGGATGAGAAAAACCCTTGAAAGATATATTCCCAGCAGCCTATTTCCTTCAGCCAGGTTGTACTTCCTAATAGCAGATTCAGTTTGGAACTCATCAATGGATTAACTCACTGAAGAAGTCAGTGCATTCATTATCCAATTGTCTTTCAATAACAGTACCAAATCTTCAGCACACAAACCTTTGAGCCATTGTATACTAATATTATAACATAGGGCATATACACATGTGGTACAAAACCTGACTTAGGATGTACTGACTGAAAGTCATAAAGCATCTGTATAAAACCATCCTTATAAGGTAGCATGCATTACACCACACCCATTATATAACGAGGACACTTGGCACCACATGGTAGCTGAGTCACCATTGTTAACAGGAGAGATTTCATCATCCATAAGAGTAATTTTCCACTTAGCCAATGAACCTCAGGATACTGGAGCATTCAGAAACCACATAACTAAATGAAAGAAGGGATGGCCTAAGAAAGGCCTGGTCATAATAAAGTCAGAAGTAATAAAAGCAGTGACAATGTCTGAATGGATGGAAGAAGATTGAAGAGATGATGCTTCACAAAGATGAAAGGAAGAACTTGAATCTGAATTCCAATTAGTATTTTTCAAAGTGTTTCTGCACTTATCAGCTGATATAATTTTAAACCCTGGAAGAGAAGGACAGATACTCTCTTGTTCTCTTTGGAGAAAACAACAGAGGAGTTAGTTTGACTAAAGTTGGTAACTGGATGCCAATGGCGGGTGGTCACAGCCTAACTGCAGAGATCTGGGGAGGTCTCTAGTAGACTCCCTCTGGTTTGCTATGTTGCTCCTTAGCATGGTCTGTCCTTCACTAAGAAGAAGCAAAATGCCCATGCATTAATCCTATCATACATAACAATAGCAAATACATTTCACACTACACTGTACGGTCAAGCTAGACCACTTGTGAAACTGTTCCATCTTATAGTTGATTAAACAGAGATCCTGAGATTTAAGTTCTGTGATTATTAGGAGAGAAGCAATTAGTACAAACAGCTTTTTAAAAAAACTATATCCAGGTTAATTAGACAATACTAACTTTTTTTTCAATAAAAACCATAAATGAAACTTAGGAACATTGCTCTCTATGATTCACAAAGGACAGGAAATATATAAAATTAAGATAATACCCCACCACATGGCTATAAGGAAACAAAACTAAATTTTGATGTTTTAATGAAACTAATACTGTGATATTGGTAAAGGTGGGGTGGCTCAGAAGGTGAAGTCAGTTGGCTAGGTACTAAGTCTGATGAACTGAGCTCCATCCTTGAAATTCACATGGAGAGAGAACTGACTCCCGTAAGTTTTCCTCTGTGCTAACACACACACACACACACACACACACACACACACACACACACACACACACTATAACACACCACACCACATACAAATAAATAGTTTTAAGATGAGAAAAGACAAGTAAGAATGTGAGAAAAGGAATACAAGAGGAAAAAAAGACACGAACTCCGTTTGCCTTTTCTCCTCTAGAAGTCAACAGGGTCACTAAAAGTAAGAGTGTGACAGTATGTCACAAGGGCACTGTCCTGTAAGGAGCATGTTTAGAATGGAGATGGGGCCTGATCATTCTAAGTAAAACACCTATAACAGGGCTAACACGGTGGCTGTACAGGTAAAGGCACTTGCCACCAGACCCCTTTCTGGCCTCCTCAGATACTGCGCCAACATGAAGCACACACATACATGCAGGTGAAATACCCATACACATGGAATAAAGAAATAAACTAAGATGTTACCTCCCACCCCTACCACGTACACATGACCCACTCGTCCTGTAACTTCTTCATCTCTAGAAAGGGAACTGCTCACTTTCCAGCTCTCAGAACTAATCCTGTTGTCATCCTGACTCCCACTTCTCTCTTACCCTGCATCAGCCAGTTTTTTTCCCAGTTCCATCTTAAAAATATATCCAGAACCTATTTCTTCTCACCATCCTCATTAATATTCTGAACTAAATTGTCCTTTCTCAGCTCCTACCCCATCTCCTGACTTCTACCCCAGCTTGCTGTGTTTGTTACTGTAAAGCTACTCTGATGTGATTTCAAAGTGTAGAAAAGAGCACACCTAGCAAAACGAAGTCCTGCTTATGCTTCCCTCCGATGCAGGAGCTGTCCACTCGCCGTGTTTCTCTGTTTCTCTCAGTCTAATGCTGTCGGCAACATTGTGAGTGTAGGTTGTAAATATGGACACTCCTACCTCCTTCATGATGGTTCCTAAGTAGAGCTTTGTTCTCACCAATTTATACTGACACAAATCAGGAAGGTTAATATCACTATAATCAATCGTCCTAGTGACAGCTGACAAGCCTAAGCCTTATTTACTTTTATTCTGTTCCAGGCTTTGTTTGTGGGGTGGGACTTTTATCTAGTTTGCTGCTACATCATGTCCAGGACAGTGGTTGGCTTTTGGATTGTGATTATGAAATTTCTATCAGATGAATGTATCTTTCCTAAAGATGTGAGGGGTTTGTAGGAACAGTGGTGATGGGAAACACCAAGATTCATATCTGGGAAAGAGGGCATGTTTATTGGGTAAGGGAAAAAAAGGTAAGAAATGATTCCTGACTAAGCCAAAGCAAATACTCTGCTTGGTGACTGTAGCAGATTTTGTGGGTGCAGATTTATTAATATAAGTGATAAATATCCTAACTAACTGAAGCATATTTTCAAACTATAAGAGAAAACTAGGCAAAAAAAAAAAAAAAAAAGCAACTAACAACCTTCAGTTAAGAAATTGTACTGACTGACTCATGGGGAATATCACGTGGGATGAGGAGAATGCCAGGAAGCAAGCTGAATCTACTGACATTTGAGGGTTGCCACAATGAGGAAAGAACCATGCTTTCAGATCTAAGAAGAGCATTGGGGCTGAGGATATGCTTAGCATATGCAAAGCTCTTGCTTTGATCCCTTGAGTCAAAGAAAGCATTTTCCGAGAAGTCGTATAATTCTTGAAGTATTATGAAATTCTTCAGAGATCAATGTTAGAGTCTAGCAGTCCACGGACTTCCTCTCTGACCTGTGGGTCTCAGGCTGCACCTCTGGAACTAGAAAAATCAAGTACTGGATGGCACTGCCAGCCTAGAGGAGGATGCACTGACAGATGGAACTTTCTCAATGTTAAGCTTTAAACTTTGGATAATCATTACCATTTTATAGCATTTATCAGGCATAATGTAGCATATTATATACTGTTAATTCACTTAGTAATTTTATATTCAATATACTAATATTTTAGTGTCAGACTAATTGAATTTGAAAGATGATCTTCCTATTGATGAGACCTTAGAAAAATTATACAACTTCTCTGAGCCTCAGTTTTACCACTTGTAAAAATGAAGTTTTAATGTAATATTAAATTTAATAACAACACCAAACTCAAAAAGTTATGAAGATAAATTTTGTTAGTAAATTGAAAGTATATAGTTAACTTTAGCTCTTATGAGAAGTATTATTATTATTAAAATGTACTATTATTATTAAAACTTCAATGGGCTCTTTCATTGAAATAATTCTAAAATTATGTCATTCTTTGGCCCAAAAATGTACATTGGTTGCAAAAGCGAAAATAAAAGCCTCTATAATGTTAGCTTCTTTTCTATTCTATAAACTGCTTTGGGGGTTTCCCACGGCATATCTTACCAAGTTCCTCCTTCTAAGCAGAAGAAATTAGTTAACTATTTATGTACCCACCCTTTCACATTACAACATGTCATTTATTTTATTTCCCAGTCTCTGCCCTCAAAGGTTCGGGCTCTGTGGGTGATGGGAGACACTTTGCAGATGTTCTGTATACACACATATATTTTTAATTGCTACAAACAGATCATTTCCTTTGCCAGCTCCTACGTCTCTTAGTTATCTGGTCCTTGCTGAGTGACATTAGAGAAGTCACTTCTTACTAAGGTCACTACTAAACTCTGACTCTCTCACCTGTCCCTGCTTTGTCACAGGAGCATGATGAGATTCTGAAGGCAACTTAAAAACAAGCTATATGATCTGTTTATAAATGGGAGATGTTAATATTTAATTAAACAGTCCAGACAGTCTGAGACAAATTGGCCAAAGGTACTTAGGCAATAACTATTTACAAGTCCTCATTCTTTTTACATATTCATAACACAGCAAAGAATAAATTACCTTATCTAACAAGAGCCACGAAATGATGATAGAAGTTCCTACCAACCTTGCCATTTGCTTATAAGCCTCTTCAGCTACTGCAAAGATGTGAGGATCCATGTCACCCATGTTCTGGCCACTGTATGCATTAATAATGTCTTCTCCATAAATAGGCAGCTGTTCATAGGGATTTATAGCTACTAGGACTATTCCTGGGGGAGAAGGGGGAGAAAGAAAATGAAGTCAATGACATCCCAATGGGCACATCAAACTTGGTAAAGAAAGGCAGCACAAAACCTTGTTTCAATTTAGTTCATATTAAACTAATGAATTGCTCAAAAATCAAAATACACCACAGTCTTTGGCATTCTAAATTATTATACATAGTCCTAACTAATCTGGACTAGATTGTTTAAAATAATGTGACTTGGATAGGGATGGAGCTCAGAGCAGAGGTCTTGTCAATCATTTGGAAAGCTCTGGGTTTTATCTCCATTGTGGAAAAAAAAGTAATAATGTCTTAAGCAATTTAAATATCTTCAGGCTTAGTTAAAACAAACTGGGGGCTGAAGAGATGGCTCAGGGGTAAAGATCACTGCTCTTGCAGAGGACCTGAGTTCAGTTCCCAGCACCCATGTCAGGCAGCTCACAACTGCCTGTAACTCCAACATCTAGCAATCAGACCCTCTTTTAGACTTTGCAAGCACCCAAATGCATGTGTACACACACACACACACACACACACACACACACACACACACACACACACTCCCTATACATACAAACAATAAAATAAAAATTTTAAAAGCTCATTTCTAGAAATTTATCCAATGAAGTAATGAGAGATTCATTCAAAGGGTTTTCTTTTAGAAGGACATCACACTGGTAGTCAGTCATACACTAAAAACAGAAATAAACAAAATATATACTATAATCATTGTGATTCTACATGAGCATTTTTCCACACCACAAAACACATGCTTCTGAAGAACATTAAATGTCATAGAAAGTGGAGATAGGTTGAGGATCAGAAGTTCAAGGTTATCCTCAGCTACCTAATGAGTACCAAAACAGTCTGGGCTATATGAGCCTCAAATGAAAAAAAACATAGAAAAATATGACGTATGTGCAAAAAAGTAAATTGAGGGGCTGGAGAGACGGCTCAGTGGTTTGGAGCACTGCTACTGCAGAGGACCTGGGTTTGGTTCCCAGCACTACATGGTGGTTCATAACCATCCATAACTCCAGTTCCAGGGTATCTAATACTCTCTTCTGACCTCTACAGGCACCTGATACACTACACATGTGGTATACATACATACATGCAGACAAAACACTCCTACACATAAAATAAAATAAGTCTAAAAATATAAATTGAAGGAAAATATTTAAATAGGGACAAAAAAAGGTTATCATTAAGAATATATGAGACATAAATCCTCCTGAGAGGAAAAATGGCTGTGCCTGCTTAAACAGACAACAGTGAAGACAAGATAAACATGACATGGGTCAGCAAGCCAACGAACACATGGGAATGAATGAACACCAGATCTGGACCTCAGAAGAACCATGATTAGTAAGATAGAGGGATGGTCATGAGGGAGAAGAGCCAGAGAAGTGGGAGGAAAAAAATACGAACAAAGTAGAGCAGAGAAAAACACAGACAGATGGGCCGGGAGAAGAACTGAGGCCGTGCACACATGTTCAAGCTTCAGTTCTGAGAAAACCGTCATGAGCTGGGCTGCTGACAGCTAATACTGCGGGAAGGAGACAGGCTCACCACAATGTGTCCGTCTGGGGTGTCCAGGTGAGGATAAAGGCAGCACCGACCCTGCACCTGCACCAAATGCCAGTCTGGGGACTTCTACTCTTCATGGAGCGGGTTTTCACAAGATGAAAAGAACGGGTGACTTCAGCACTGATTCTGACGTGACTGGGAGGGGAGGGTCCCAAAGACGGACCTGTTCTTTTTATGTTGAGTGAAATCACAAATAACTTTATTTGACATGAAATGTAACTAGCTAGTGAATACTGGTGAACCTTTCTGGTAACTTTGAAGTGATTTTTGTATGTATGAAAGATTCAACCAAGCTGGCTTTGCCTGTGTGCACTTCCATCACTACATCCACCAAAGGAAAGCTTGCGGCTCATGAGCAAAGCACTTACCACAATACGTATAAATGAGTTTGGAGTCAATGAAGCGAACTCGGAGGTTATGCAGCACCGCAGGCTCATGAAGGTAGCTGAGGGCGGTGAGGTCATTCTCACCCACAAGGATGTCTGGGTTCCGTAAGTGAGGCAGCTCCTTGGTCTTGGGATCTAGACGGTATTCCAAATCCTGAGGACAGAGGATGGAACAGCTATGCCAATAAAGATGAACATGAAACAGACCTATGCACTTGATTATTTCCTTTTTCTGATCTGCCTCTTGGCTTTTATATGTATGTGTTTCCTGTCATTTTTCCATTATCAGAAAAACTGGTAAAAATGGCAAACAATAAAGAGTGGCTTTTTCATCAGACATAAGTATGCATAAATAATTTAAGGTTTTATTTTTATATTTAATTATGCACCATGTGTGTAGTGTGTAAGGGTGTATGTGTGTACATGATGCAGCTGTCCAGAGTCTAGAGAGGACATTTGATTTCCTGGAATTGGAATTACAGGCATGAGCTGCCCAATGCAGGTGCAGGAAACCAATCTCTGGTCCTCTGGAAGAGCAATACATACTTTTAACACTGAGCCATCTCTCCAGCCCCACTGTAATAATTTTTTGTTAATATAGTTAAAGAAGTCAGAGCCTAGAGATTTTAACCCCAAAATTTGAACCATTAGATGAGTTCTCATCTCCCTCTTCACTCCACATATGGGGAGAGATAAGATAGTATAGAAGAGGTCAAGAGCTCAGCTCTGGAGTCAGACTGACCTAGGTTCAAACCCTTAACTTCCATGTGGCTTTGTGTGCATTATTTAAACTAAAGCTTTCATTTGTAAGATGGTTTAACAAAAATAGCTCAAAAAGTTGTGGCAAAAGTTAAAGAAGCAATACTTGGCATGCTCTACGACCCCCTAAGAGCTCCAAGAATCCTCTGAAATTATGTGTCACACTATATGTACATATTTGGGATCAATAATGTATACTTTTCATTAGATGTTAATGAGGTTCCTGGACCCAAACATTAAGAAGTACCATGTGGGCTGGTAAGATGGCTCAGTAGGTAAAGGCTTTTGCAGTTAACCTGATGACCTGAGCTCGATCCCCACATAGCGAAAGGAAAGCAACTCCTGAAGCTGTCCTCGGACCGCCATATGCACACATCATGGCAGGAATGCATATGTGCACACATACGTGAATATGCACACTAAATGTCAAAATAAGTTTAAGAAGTACTATGCATTATAAATCATAGGCATATGGGACTTTTTGACAATGCCAATGACGGAAGCTGCCACTCTACTATATATTAAGGACAAATAGCATAGGACAGATGAGAAGGGGGAAAGGTAAGTTCAGTTACAATGGAAGCTGCTAGTTTGTCACTACTGAAGATGCACAGAGAGGTCAAATACTCAATCAGGTATGAACGGGTTACAGTACAGGACAGGCATGACACTTTGTGCCTTTCCCTCTGTGTTTTGTCCTTTTCTGTGGCTGACTGCTCACTGCATTGACCGTCAATCTACAACTGTTTCCTCACTGTTCCAGTCCGGGTCCTCTAAATTCCCCTCACTACATTCTGCTTGCCTGCTCACCTACAATGTAATGTTTGGGGTCAGGAACCTCATTTACCTTTTCTGTTTATGTCTAAATAGTGTGAAAATATGGGCTGATAGCAAGCCCTGGAGGGTGTGGGGTTTTAGAAATGCTCATGATCATCATGGTTTGATAACACAATTCATCATATGACTTCAGAACAGCAGAAGGACATCCCAGAATGTTCTTCTCAGTCTTCATGGGAGGATGGGCAGTTGCTTGGTCAATGTGGGAAGAAAATGGAACTGGATATTAGAGAAGACACTAACAAGGCCAGGGTCATCTATAACATATTTATGAAAATTTCCTCTTGGAATGGATATAATCTGCTTCTCTGAAATGACTAGTCATTATCAAATAAATATGCATTTCTAATATTGCAAAGACCATGTTTTTTCCTATTGTATTCTAGGACCTAAAATACTGTATTTCCTAAAAAAGACATTGGTTAGTTGTAGGGAGACTTTGGCTATTTTTATTTACTTATACCCTGTTCTAAGAATTACTCCTCTTCCTCCTCTTTCTCTTCTCTTTTTGTTTGGTTTTGGTTTTGGTTTTGGTTTCTCTGTGTAGTTTTGGTGCCTGTCCTGGATCTCGCTCTGTAGACCAGGGTGGCCTCAAACTCACAGCAATCCACCTGGCTCTGCCTCCTGAGTGCTGGGATTAAAGGCATGGGCCACCACTGCCCCAGCTTGTTTTTGTTTTTGAAACACAGGATCTCATGTATCCTAGGCTGGCCCTAAGTAATTCAGGATAACTCACAAACTTCTGATTCTCCACTCTACTTCCCAAGTGCTGGGACTACAGTGTGCTTGACTATATACCAGGTTGATGCCTTGCTTTTGTTAATTACATTGACTTCAGGCAAATCTATCTGATGCCTCTGAACCCTAGTTTCCTTATTTGGCAAACAGTAACAATATCACCTACCAACCCATAGAGCTGTGAACTGACATTAGAACATATAGCCCAGCAGGTCAAACAGAGTGTCTAATACTACGAAGCAGATGAGTAATAAATGTTGGATGTTGTAATTCTGTAGTTTGACATTCAGGGCTTTCTTAATTTGGTCTAATTCTCTACCAAGTCTCCTTGTCTCAGTGATGTTTTCCTGAAATCCATGTTCATAGTGCCTTCTCTGAAACACAAACTACACTATTTGTATTTTAAAACACTGTAATTGCTCCCCATACACTAGTGAAGTACAAGAGTTTTATCAAAAATACCAAGTTCCCTGTGGTATTTTTTTTAGTATTAATTATGAAAGCTTGGCCTTTTCCCCAACTAGCTCTTAAATTAACTTGTTTTTATTAATCTTTATTCTGCCATGTGGCTCAGTTACCTCTCCTCTGTACCGTATGTCTACTTCTTCAGTGTCTCACTGGGATCCCCCTGCCTGAGTTCCTCTCTTTGCCTGGAAGTCCTACCTAGTCTCTCCTGCCTACCTATTGGCCATTAGCTTTTTTTTTTTTTTTTTTGGTTTTTCGAGACAGGGTTTCTCAATGTAGTTTTGGTTCCTGTCCTGGATCTTGCTCTGTAGACCAGGCTGGCCTTGAACTCACAGCAATCTGCCTGACTCTGCCTCCCAAGTGCTGGGATTAAAGGCCACCACTGCCCGGCTGCCATTAGCTCTTTATTAAACCAAGCACTCTGACACATCTTTATACAGCATAAATAAATATTCCACAACATTTTCCCCTTTTTGTCTAAATAAAAAAAAGGAGAGGGTTTAACTCCAACACAGTGAACTATACATAAAAGAACAATTATCAGGTAGGAATTACACTCGCACTGTCCAGTCCATTTGGTTTTGGTTTGCATGCCACCCTCACTTCACATCCTAACAACACAGCTTGTTCTCTACTATGTATGTCTTCCCAGTCTATGTCCACGCTTTCCAGGGTGATTATGTATGTCTTCCCAGTCAATGGCCATGCTTTCCAGAGTGACTATGTATGTCTTCCCAGGCTATGGCCACGCTTTCCAGGGTGACTATGTATGTCTTCCCAGTCTATGGCCACACTTTCCAGAGTGACTATGTATGTCTTCCCAGGCTATGACCATGCTTTCCAGAGTGACTATGTATGTCTTCCCAGGCTATGACCATGCTTTCCAGAGTGACTATGTATGTCTTCCCAGTCTATGGTCATGTTTTCCAGGGTGACTATGTATGTCTTCCCAGTCTATGGCCATGTTTTCCAGGGTGACTATGTATGTCTTCCCAGTCTATGGCCACGTTTTCCAGAGTGACTATGTATGTCTTCCCAAGCTATGGCCATGCTTTCCAGGGTGACTATGTATGTCTTCCCAGTCAATGGCCATGCTTTCCAGGGTGACTATGTATGTCTTCTCAGGCTATGGCCATGCTTTCCAGGGTGACTATGTATGTCTTCCCAGTCTATGGCCATGCTTTCCAGAGTGACTATGTATGTCTTCTCAGGCTATGGCCACGCTTTCCAGGGTGACTATGTATGTCTTCCCAGGCTATGGCCATGCTTTCCAGGGTGACTATGTATGTCTTCCCAGTCAAAGGCCACACTTTCCAGGGTGACTATGTATGTCTTCCCAGTCAATGGCCACGCTTTCCAGGGTGCCTGAAATGAAATGTCACCTGTGCACATCCTTCATTTAGTGTTTACCTGACTCACTAGCTCCCTCTGATCATACATTCCTCTGACCTATTTTTAATTTTGTTTGTATTATATCTTGTGCCGTACTATTGCAAGTGTGCTCATCTCTTACCAGGAAATGATGTCAAAACCCATGCCTTTTGACAGTTCTTAGCATGGTTATGGTACCTAATAGCAGTTACCTTAATATGTATTTGCTGAATGAAAACACATACCTTTCTAAATATCCACCCCATGGGTTGGGGGTTATTAACTCAAGGAAGAGCAACTTAGCATATTCCTTGGGCTACACCACTGAGGAATATGACTCCCCATCCCTAGACACCATTTACTATCTGTAACTCTTCAGGGAGGGGTGGGGCCTTATAAAATCTTTTTCCGTCATGCTGTAATGTTTCTAGACCTAGTCCTGTGCAAGCAGTCACTGCTATGAGTTCAAGGTGCAATAGCCATGTTATGTCAGGAAAACAGCATTTCATAGAAACCCTATCCTAACATCCTCCAGCTCTTACATTCTTTCTCTCTCCTCTTCTGTAATGTTCTTTGAGCCTTAGACAGGGTAATATAGATCCCCATATAGGGCTGAGCACTCAACACTGGGACTGTAAATTCTTTTTTTTTTTTTTTTTTTTTTTGGTTTTTCGAGACAGGGTTTCTCTGTGTAGCTTTGCGCCTTTTCCTGGAACTCGCTTTGGAGACCAGGCTGGCCTCGAACTCACAGAGATACGCCTGGCTCTGCCTCCCGAGTGCTGGGATTAAAGGCGTGCGCCACCACCGCCCGGCCTGGGACTGTAAATTCTTTAAAGAAAATGAATGTCACAAAGTTCTGTTTATGAAAAAGTGTGACATATCCTGTCAAATGCTTTGGAACCAAGATGAGTTCACTCACTCATAATGCAGCCAGTCAGAGGCACGGCTGCTTGTAAGGTCTTCTGGTGACTAGCAAAATGCTTCATATACAACAGCTCCTTAGTAACTATTTCCAAAATACCAAATCTTACACTGGCACTTAGTTAATATGAAATAAGTGAAATGCTGTCCTAAACATAAAATATGGATGCACAGTCAAATCTTTAGTATTAAAATTAGATATTAAGGCAAATTTGATAATCATGATAAATGTAGAAGCTAAAATGATGCTGTTTTAAAGCATGTCTTGTTTTCACTGTCCTCTGTGTAGAGTACAGAAAAAGTATCATTTTTATCAAAATAGTAAATAACAATATTAGAGTAATCCAACATTTACACTATAACTGAGATTAAGCGAATTATAGTAAGGTTTTTTTCTTCCACCCTCCAGCTCTTCAGGCTAAACACAAAATGAAGGTAAAGTCCTTACCTGCCCTTCCTCAAGGTGAAGCAGGAGCACTTTATCTCCAGGCTTATAATCTTTCAGCAACTCTGCTGACTTCCACACTTCCTCAGGATCAGGTATCCAAACCCTGGCAAACTAGAAGACAAAAAGGAAAAAATTTAAGCTAGCAAAAATCAATCACCTAACAATCATATATATAACATGCCATATTACAACTTTACTTATAATTAATTTATTGAAAAGGCATCTTAAGCAAGGTATGGTGGTGCATGTCTACAATCCATCACTGGAAGGAAAAAGGAAGATCAGAAATTCAAGGTCAATCTTAGCTATATAGTAAGACCTGGAACCCTGTTTCAAAAACAAAACAAAACAAAACAAAATAAAAAAAGACTCTGGGCTATATGAAATTTGCATTTTGTTTGTTAGTTTGTTTGAGACGGCATTTTATTACATAGTCTAGCTTGGCCTTGACCTCACAGTCCTCCTGCTAAGGCCTGCTGAGTATTGTGATTACAGGTATATAACATGCCTGCTATGACACTTACTTTTAAAATTAGAAAAGTAGGTTAGCCCCAGTACTACTACCGTTCCCAAAGTATATAAATAATATGCTCTGAAAAAAATAACTAAAATTAAAGCCTGGCTTTGCTTTATATAGTAAATGTAATTTGGGGTAAAAATTTACATATAATGTCTATTTTCAAAGTTCTAGGATGGTAATTCGACAGCATAGTCATCTCTCTGTGGTAGCATTTGCAATCTAAATCTTTCATTGTGGTTTCATCATCTGCAAAGCCTTGGTGACTTCCCAGATACCCTTCAGAAACTATTCTAGTGGGGAGGTGAGAAATAAGCGTGTGGCCTTAAACCACAGGTGACTTATAGACTATATATCTACAATTTTCTTCGAAAAATGATTTCGATGCTTATTTTAAAAGTTGAAGAAAACATTGTTATTTGAAAATTTGCACACATTATTTTATGAAGATTAATGGAAATGGTATTTGGCTAGCAATACACTTGGCTCAAGTAGCCTCACTATCATGAAAATGTGTGATAATCACCACAAAGTCCTAAGACTATAGCCTCAACTAGTTGTTCTCTGGATCTAAGCCAGACAGGTGATTTTGAGAAAAAGTACAATATATATTAATATGCATGAATCCTACTAACACCACAGTGAAGCAGCATGCAATGTCTGCTTAGACTCTCCAAGAAGGAATTGCCCTTTAAAATATAAGTACTGTCGTCTCGGTTGTTATCCAAGCTAGCGGGAACTCATGAACTTTAGACCAACAGCTGTGGAGCTTGCATGGGACTGGAATAGGCCCTCTGCATAGTGAGACAGTTGTGCAGCTTGGCCTGCTTAAGGGGCCCCTGGCAGTGGAATCAGGATCTATCCCTGTGCATGAGCTGGCTTTTTGGAGCCCATTGCCTATGGTGGAACATGTTGCACAGCCTTGATGCAGGGGGGAGGGGCTTGGACCTGCCTCTACTGAATATACCAGGCTTTGCTGACTCCCCATGGGAGGCCTTACCTTTTGCGGGGAGGAGATGGGGGGTTGAGCTGGTGGGGGAAGGCTGGGGAGGAGTGGGAGGAGGGATGAGAGGGGGATCTGTGGTTGTTATGTAAAATGAATAAAAAATTTCTTAATAAAGAAAAAAAAAGAAGTACTAAGAAAAAAGGAAAGGAAAGAAAATATGAGTACAGGGCTGTGAGGATGGTACCGCAGGTAGAGTGCTTGCCACTAAGCCCCAGGATATCAATTCAATCCCTGGGACCCATGTGGTAGAATGAGAGAAGGGATTCCTGCAAATTGTCCTGACTGCCACTTGGCATGAGCTTCCCTGACATCCAACACACACACACACACACACACACACACACACACACACACACACACACACACACACCACAGAGGAAATGAAGAAAAAAAATAGTCTTAAGTTCTAATGTTGGGTTTTATGAATAGATCATAATGTAGGACAAGCTAGATCCAGTTGGCTGAGGGAGACATTGATATAGGCCAAACTAAATCTCTTCTTTGACCTGTACTTATATTCTCATTTTATGTAAAACCATCTCTAGATCCTCCCTCCCTATTCCCCACCTCTCTCTTCTCTCCTTCCTTCCTTCCTCCCTCCCTCCCTCCCTCCCTCCCTCCCTCCCTCCTCGCTCCCTTCCTTCCCTTCTTCCTTCCAGGAATGGCCGTACTGAAGACTGAACCAATGCTACGTAAACACTATCACTGACCTGCATCCAAACCCTTTTTCAGTTGGAAACAGGGCTCACTAAGAAGGCTTAACTTGCTTTGTAAATAAGGCAGGCCTTAAATTTATGACCCTCCTGCTGTGCCAACCAAGCCACTAGAACTACAGGTGTGCACCATCATGCTCAGCTAGACTTGAATTGTGTATGTGTGTATAGGTGCACATGCATGTGCATGTATGTGGAAGTGTGGAAGTCAAGAGTTTATATTAAGTATCTTCCTCTACTGCTTTCCATCTTTTTGCTTTGAGACATGGTCTGTAGCTGAACTTGGAGCTCACCAAGTCATCAAAACTAAACAGCCAGCAAACTTCGGCGATATGCCTGTCTTTACCTCCCTAGAGCTAGGATTACAGGCATGTACTAATGGTCTAGCTTTTTATGTCCATGCTGGAGACCTGAACTTGGGTCCTTTTGTTTATATGACAAGCACTTTACCAGCTAAGCCATCTCCCCGGCCCTGGGTTTCATTGTCAATAGTGAACAAGGTATAATCTACTTGGGTTTCGAGCTGAAATGACATCTGGATTTAGGTGTACACCATGTAGAGCTATTTCCAGAGTAGCTGTAATGTGACAATAGTCTAAGTGCTAGCCACAAGTTCTGCAAACCTATACCAACAGCACTCCCTAGTAAAAGAGCAATGTAAATGATCTAGTGATAAACTTAAAGGTGGGGAAAGAGAATAAAAAGGCTGTGGGTGACAGAAAGCAGAGGAGATCTAAGCCTCCAGAGAGCCTAAAGGGAAGGTCTCGGGGCAGGAAAACATTTATCTCAGCCCACCCCTGTACAAGACAGATGAGCCTCTGTACTGACAGATTTCTAAACCTTCCTTTTGAGAAACTACTATGACATAATGTAGTACTTTCAAAACAAACAAACAAACAAAAAAACACCCATTGCTCATGGCTGTGATGTTTAGAAAGCTAGGTGTAGCGGTGAACTCAGGTAACCTGAGTTCTTGAGAGACTGAGGAAGGAGGATTGACTAAGGTGAAGGTCATCTTGGGCGACATAGTGGATTTCAGGCCAGTAAGGATAACAACATGAAATTCTGTCTCAAAAAAAGAAGACAGAAACAAAACAGAAAATAGTATATTTTATATAGATTAAAACTCACTCAATTTTTTCATTTTTCTTTTATGATTATGGAATCATAAAAGAAAACAATTTGCAAAGGAAAGAGTACTGAAATTTTTAGTATGACAGAGTATGATGTTAGAGCTATATTATACTATATTACATTACATTGGCATATTATATCATATTAGAATTATAAGTTCTAGTCCAACTACCATACTTGCCTTAGCCTTTACTTCAGACAACTATAACAAGAGATGACAGCAACAGCAGTCTCTGTCTTAAGGGTTATACACACAGAAGCTTTGTAAACGTATAATAAAAAGTATTAACAATGTTCAGGACAGGTAAGGTTGCTAATTTTTCTCCTTAGGAAGTGATTTGTAATGTCATAAATAAAAAATGTTTAATGAAATTTGTTTTATAACTTTTTCTCTGGTACACAGTCTATAAACTGAGAAATAAAATTAAAAATCACTAATTCGACAAGAATTTCTATGTAACTTTTCTGGTTGTTTGAATGAGAACCGCCCCAGAGGTTCACATGTCTGAATACTTGGTTCCCAGTTGGTGGAACTGTTTGGGAAAGGTGAGGAGGTGTGGCCTTGTTGGAGGAACTGTGTCACTAGGGGTGGACTTTGAGGTTTGAAAAGACTTGTGCCATTCCCAGTGTGCTCTGTGTTGTGCTTGTGGATCAAGATGTGAGCTCTCAGCTGCCGTTCCAGCCCCCTTCCACCATGTCTTCATTCCTCCAGCATAGACTCTCACTCTAGGAATCCGATTAAGCACGTTTATAAATTGCTGTGGTCAAGGTGTTTTATCACAGCAATGGGAAAGCATCTATTACATGCTCCACCTCTTACTTTACAAAGTTAATATTTTGTATTTTTCTCTAAAATGATCTACTAGCTCCAGAAAAGAAAAACAAAATAAAACAACCCATAAACATTTGACATTCACAGTCATGAAATTACCTACTACCTTGACTGATGAAAACAGAAAACCTCAATGAACCGGGTAAGCTTGGAGAGGAGTGACCGGCCTTACCTAACTAGGAGGAGACTTTAGAGACGCACCTGTGCATTAACAGCTCCTATTTCCACAGGGCTTTGCAATGAGGACTTGTCAAAAGCTGCATTCCCAGAGCATGGCAATAATGCATTCATACAATTGGATGGCTAATGCCCTCACCTGCACATGAGGCAAGATATTTATACAGGCTTCTCTAATAATCAACTCCTTTTACCTTACTGCTACCTCTTAAGAAAGCATCCAAGGAGAAACAGCTATGAATCCTGTATATTCTTACAATTGCCTCCTTGTGCTTCTTCTCCATAGTAGTGAGAACCCAACTTTCATCCTAACATGCTTCTGTTACTTCTCACATTACCTTCCACTCCTTCCCCAGGACCCAATGCAAATACACACAGAAACCCCAAGCAACAGGACTTAACCCATTCACTTACATCCAGCACATGGATCAAGGGACACAAGGCAAAAAGACAAGGCCTCTAGATCACAGGGAAAACCTCCAATGCGACAGTGCAGTGAGAACCCAGCATCCATCAGAAATAGGACAGATACATACTGTGGATCAATCTACCTCCTACATTAGACTATATACTCCTTCAATGTCATCTTCAAATCCCTTGAATGTTGACAAAGCAACTTGGACCAGTTGTTGGGTAGCACACATGTTGATTTTATTTAAGATCAAAGGATGAGAGATGAAAAGGCTTGGATGAGAAGAAGCAAAGGTAAACTTTAAAGGTTTAACTTGGGGT